TTTTTAAAAGTCACACATTTGAGAATTTCACTTGGTAATGATTCTAATCCTAGAGATAAAAATAACATTGCACACCCTGGAACATGAACAGTCATCTTGGCCCTGGGCCATCTTCATTCTTGCCATGAAGATAAATGTCAGATAAAGAAGCACTTAAAATCCAGCTCTCTTGCCCCCCTAGCTTTTTACCCAGTTCCTTGCCCCGCCCCCACCCCACCCCCAGCTTATCCCCAGTTACCTGTGTATCAACTACACTCTGTGTTGTTGCTAATAGGACTACCATTGCCTCTGACACTCTGGACACCGAGGAGTCTAAAAAAAACCTCCTTTCTCCCTGACACAACAACTCCACAGGGAATGGGACTCCCAGTTCTTCTGTAGGGTCTCAGCCACCTTGTGCCTGGGGGTGCTGACCACTGGCAAAGGCCTCTAAGCAAGTCTCCAGCAGCTCGCTTCCCCATTCACCCTTTTCTTTGGAGGAGCACCTCACACTGTTTTCCCAGGTTCCACAAACTCCCCAGTCTGTGGAATAAAGTCCAATTCCTGAACAACAGGGCTTCCCACCATCACTTTTCCAGCCCTGTCCAGCCACTCAGGGCAAATCCATCTTTCCATTCCTATCCTCTGGACCTTTGCACATGCTGGTCCCTACCTGGGACATCCCCTCCTTCACTCTTCTGCGTGCCCGGCTGACACACAGTGTTTCTCCCTCAAGACCTCACTCACAACACCTCTTCTTAAAGTTCTTTTTGTAGCCTTCCTCCCAGGAAGGGCTGACCATTCTCACCTGTTGAGTGCTGGGCTGTGCAGCCACCTGGGGCTGTCAGCTCCAAAAGCACGGAGGCTGACCTCTATTCATCTTTGTGCCCCTCCTGCACATCTGTTCTGCTTTGGCCCAGCACCAGAGAAAGAGAAGCTGCTCCATGTTGGCAGAGTGAAGGCTGAATGACCCAGTCATGAACCACCACCTCCTTTCCAAGGTCACTGCTGCCCCGGACAGGCCTCTGAAGAGAAAAGAATGGGGGAGGGGTGGCAAGAGAGGGGAGGGAAGCATCTTGCTGTAATTCATTCATTCAAGAATGACTGTGGTACACCTCTTATTATGGGCTATGGGGAATATTTTTTTTTAAAGATTTTATTTATTTATTTGACAGAGAGAGAGAGAGAGACAGCTAGAGAGGGAACACAAGCAGGGGGAGTGGGAGAGGGAGAAGCAGGCTCCTGGCTGAGCAGGGAGCCCGATGCGGGGCTCGATCCCAGGACCCTGGGATCATGACCTGAGCCAAAGGCAGACACTTAATGACTGAGCCACCCAGGCACCCCTGGGGAATATTTTTTAAGAGATAAAAACCTGGGGGCTCCTAAGTGGCTCAGTCAGTTAAGTGTCCGGCTCTCGGTTACGGCTCAGGTCATGATTTCAGGGTTATGAGATCGAGCCCCAGGTTGGGCTCCTTGCTCAGTATGGAGTCTGCTTTAGATCCTCTCTCCCTCTCCTCCCTGCCCCTCCCCCTGCCGTGCAAGCACTCTCTCTCTCAAAATAAATAAATAAAATTAAAAAAAAAAAAAAAAGATACAAACCTGGTCCCTAGTTTCAAGAAGCAGAGTCGCAAAAAAAGTAGCTACATTCAGATAAGTTTAAATAATTATATCAGACGGTATGACCAGGTATCAAAGAAGTATGAAAGAAAATACTAACCTGAGAATGTCAAAAAGACCTGGCTAGGACTCAATCCCAGATCTGCCTCTTACTACCCGTAGGACCTTGGGCAACTTTCTTCTCTCTGCCTCGGTTTCTGTAAAGATGAACCCTGACCTTGTATTGTACGCATCCTCTCCTCTCTGCTCCAGCCACTCTGGCTTTCTCTTACGGATCCTCCAACATTCAGGTCACTCCTGACTAAGGACCTTGACACCTTCTAGTTCCTCAACCTAGAACACTTCCCCCAAATCTGAACCATTCAGGTCTCTATTCATACAACCACCTCAGAGAATTCCCTGACCACCGGCCTACGAGCATCTCCCCTCCCATGTCATTCCTAATTCCCATACCCTGATTTATTCACAATGTTTATTAGTACCAAAAATTACACTATTTGTTTACCACTTTTTAAAAAAATATTTATTTATTTATTTTAGAGAGAGAGAGAGCCGGAGCAGAAGGGGCGGAGGGAGTGAAGAGAATCTCAAGTCGACGCTGCGCTGAGCACAGAACCGACATGGGGCCAGATCTCATGACCCTGAGATCACGACCTGAGCTGAAACCAGGAGTTGAATGCTTAACCGACTGCGCCACCAACTGCACCACAGAGGTGCCCCTTCGTTTACCCTTTTAAATTTCTGCATCTCCCTCTGGGGCATAAATTCCTTGAGGGCAGGGTGTTAGTCTTAGCTGGATCCCCAGTGCCTAAAATGTCTGGCACACAATAAAATACTAAAAAAAATTGTTAAATAAATGGTGATAAGAGGAAAATAAGACCTATATCAAAGGGTTTTGTGTACATAGGGGGGTATAAAGTACTTAATAGAGTGCCTAGTAGTGGTAAGCTCAATAATGCTGGCTAATACTATTATCTAAGGAATCCAGAAGAGGGTGAGGTCAACATTGGGAGAAACAGTTACCAAAGTTTCAAGGAGAAAGCATCTTGAGCTTGATCTGGAAGGATAAGGATTTTTCTGATGGGCAGAGAGGTGGGGGCACTGCAGGGGTCTGGAAGTGTCTCCCCCTTTCTGAGCCATCCCTCACTCACATGTTCTTCACACCTCCATTAAATGCAGAGTCATCACACTAAGAATCACCGATCAGCCAGACTCTAACAATCCATTAATCCACTTACCTTTCATTGCTATACCACCAGAGCCCAAGACAGATTTCACTACAAAAGGGCACACAATAATGTTAACTTCAGAAATCTGTAGACCAGCAATTCAGCCCTACATGCCTATCCTAAGAAATACTCAAGAGTCAGCATTAGAAATCATGTACAAGGATGTCCACTACAGCAAGGCTTGCTGGGGGGGGGGGTATTAGAAGCACCCAGAAGGATCACTCACAGGGAAAAGATGAACATACTATGGTATGCACATAGTATACATCCATATTGTACAGAGGTTAAACTTAAGGCAGATGCTTATGTACTAAACTGAAACAACCTCTAAAACACGGTTCTATTGAAAAGAAAAAAAAAGGTTGGAGAATATACACTATGTGATCTCATTTATGTGAAACAAAACAAAATCTTAAACCCACACACATACAAAATCTAAAGATTTCTCTGGATATATATACACACACACATTTTTTTTTTAACCACAGTATTTTCAGCTCTTCAACACTATGCCTGAAACAGTAAGTTTTCAATAAATGTTTGCTGAACAAATGAAGACATATGTAAATCAACAGAAAAGGATTAGAAAGTAGATCTGCTTTTCATGCTCAATAATTCTGTATTGCTTGCATTTTTAAGTCACCGCGTTACTGTGTTACTTGTGTAATTAAAATGAACTCAAAATAGTTCTTTATAAAAAAGAAAAGTTGCAGGGGGCGCCTGGGTGGCTCAGTCAATTAAGCGCCACTCTTGATCTCAGCTCGGGCAGGTCTTGATCTCAGGGTCCTGAGTTCAGTCCTCCTGTTGGGCTCCACAGGGGGTGTGGAGCCTACTTTAAAAAAAAAAAAAAAAAGTTGCAGGACCTGAACACATCATAAAGAGATCCGCGCACTCTGAATAACTTCTCTAGGTAATTAAGTTAATCGTTCTGGGCAATTAAGAGCTCTTATACAGCAACTCGACGCTCACTTTACATCTCCAGCTTCAGATCCCTCAACACAAAGATGAATGGAAAAGTGCTGGGGTTTCAATCGTTCCTGCAAACCCGTTAACGCCATGCCTTTTCTGAGGGTGCTCTTGCTACGATCCCCGATTCCCCTGGGGCTGGGGCTCTGACCGCCCTGCGGCCACGCGGGGCCGCAGAGAAAGGCCGGCAGGTGGGCGTGGAAAGTCCTCCAGGTAGGTGTGAGCACACAGCGCCGGGGGAAGGAAACTTACTTTCCGACTGGCCTCTTCTCTGGCTGTAATCTGTCCTTCCTGTTCAAGCAACCTCCTCCGGAGGAGCCAATTTCTTCTGTGATCGGCCCAGAGCCCACAGGTCACCTGGTTAGTGGAGGAGAAGCGGGGCGTTAAAACCCAGGGAGAAGAGGAGCGGGCGGTGGGTGGCATCTTGCGGCTCGGCTTTCTCACCCGGGGATGGGTCTGGGGACGGGCCCCTGCATTCCAGACCAAGGGGTCAGCAGCCCTCGCCCTACGAACTGGTTCAAAGTTGCGCGCCACGGCGCCCTGGCCCTTGGAGGAGGGGGGGAGGCGCGGGGATGAGCGCCAGAGCGGAGGGTGGGCCTCGGACCCTCACTCACACCCCGAGGCGGCCCTGCCGGTGCCCCAGGCGGGAGCCGGTCCTCCCTCCCAGGTCTCCGCTACCTCGGGCCGGTGCGCTGCGGACTCGGTCTTCGGCCTCCGGCGTGTGCGGAAAAAGACAGGAGGGCGGGAGAGCGGAGCAGAGCCGGACCGGAGATGCAGATCCCAGGGCTCGCCAACCGCCGGCGGGGAAGGTGCGGCGTGGCGGGCGCCGGCTACGGATCCGCTCCGCACAGCTCCCTCTCCGCTCCGCGCCTGGCTTCAGAGCGCCGCGGATCCCACACGCTGCAGCAGCCGCGGGAGTGAACTCCGCACTTGGAATATCGATCTGAGCCGCGCAAGGGCCTCCCATTGGTCTCAACCGCTGGCGGGCTCCGGGCTAGGGGCTTCCAGTGGGGGGAGGGGGCGGAGGGCGGGTGCGCCGGCTGTCCATCACAGGCCACGCCCTCCCCAGCCCAACTCCCATTACGGCCCCGCCCACTAGAGGGGCGGGATGCTCGTGCGCCACGCCGAAAACTTGGCTCCCCCTCCGGAAGATTCTATTGGCTGGAAGGCCGTGGGAAGCTACTACCAGCAGCCAGTTGAAATGCACAATGTGCCCCGTGGGGGCGGAGAGAACACCGCCCGCTTCCTCAGGAGCCAATAGAGAAGAGGAACAGCGAAGCGCTTCCTGAGTTCGGGGGTCGAGGAAAGATGGCGACCACCAAAGGGGGTTGGTACCTGTGCGAATTATTGAGGTGAGGAGCAGGTGGTATGGGTTTGGAGGCGTTTTGTTTCACCGTGATATTTGTCCGCCCGGTGCAACTGAAAGTTGCGGGGAGGAGGAGCTTCTTGATACGGCTCTAGGCAATTTCCTCAAGGACAGTGAGCGCTCTTCCTCTCACTTTGGAGTCTTCTAATTAGACTGGAGCTGACTGGGTTAAAGACTCAGTTTACCGCGTTTTCTTCGCCTGCCCCATTCTGGTGCGGGATCGAGTTTCCCTTCTTGTTTTTTTCTCTCTCTTCTTCGCACTCCAATTCTTCTTTTATAAATTATTCATATTCAGTCCTCGTTTTTCTTTATGATTGAGCCACGAATCATTTTCCAAACTATCGTGTCTCTCCTTTTGGTAAAGAATAAACTGGCTCTTCCTTCTCCTGTCGTAGTTTCCCCGCTTTCACTCACTGGAACTGTCACTGTTAACATATGTCACTTAAGTATGTTAACCTTAAAAATAAAACAGCTAACTTAACAGCAAAAATGATTTTGTTTTGTTTTGCTTTGTTTTGTTTTCCGGGAATAGCAGAGAATTGCATTTCTGGATGCACAAGCTACGGCAAAACCATAGGCAAGTCCAGCAAAGGACAGGACCATTGTTTTATGGAGAAGGAGGAAGTTGGGGGGTGGGGGTTGAAGGAAAGTCTGGAGAAAAGCTAGAGTGGTGAGGATTTCTCATTGGCCGAGTTGCAGAAGTACTCTTGTAGGAGATGCGATGTACACCGTTCCCTGTTGGGGCCTGTCAGTGATGATTTCTTCCTGTTTAGGATTCTTCTTTTGGGGTCTATAATTGACAATTCCTTCCCTTTTAGGATTTTTCTGTTCGGAGGCTAGAATTGACAGTTCTTCATGACATTTAACGTGAGTGATAGGGTTCCTTTTGCGTTGCCCCTTCTGACCTGACCCATTTTAGTGAGGGTTCTTTTTATTTTCACCAATATAAAGTTTATGTTGCATCCTCTGCTTCATGATTATCCATTGATCTTTATTTCTGGTTGATGTAAAAATAGTTACATAAAATTTTATCACAAGGTAATACATTGTTTCTTGTAGAAAAGTTAGGAAATAGATGAGCAAAAAAGAAAATTCCCCAGGTATGCTACCATCCAGAGATGATTACTGTTAACATTTTGGTGAAAAAAACCCAGACTTTTTTCCTGTATTTGTTATTGTAATACTACTGTATTTTACGTGCCTTGCCCTGTATTTATAAAAAAAAAAGAAGAAAAAGAAAAAGAAGACCTAGTATATTCCATCTACACAGTTCTTTCAACACCTACCTATTTTTGTTCAGTTTGAAAATTTGTAATTAACACATAGCATCCTGAATAGCAGTATATACATATTCTTTCCAAAATTCAGGTATTGTTTCTTCATTTTTGTCCCCTCTACGTCAAATTCTATAATGATTATTTAAAACATTTTGAACAGGAAATTATGTTTTCTTTTTTTTTTAAGGAAATTCTGTTTTCAGAGGTATCGTATTCTTCCCTGCCATTTGAAATATCCCTAATTCAGTGCTGTGCACATTATAATGGCTAAATAAGTGTTTGTTGAATGAATGACTCACTGTTGATTACAGTTATCTTTTGAAAGCTGTGTGTTTCTATGGTAAGCATTATTTAATGGCACATATTTTTAGTTATATTTAAACATTCTAAAATGGGTAATTTTTTTAAGATTTATTTATTTTAGAGATGGGGGAGGGGCAGAGGAAGAGGAGGAGAGAGAATTCTTAAGCAGACTCCCTGCTGAGCTTGGAGCCTGGCAAGGGGCTGGATCCAAGGACCCTGAGATCATAACCTGAGCTTGGTTGGTGCGTGACTGACTGAGCCACCCAGACGCCCCTAAAATGGGTAATTTTAATGTACAAGTACTATAGGATGTTTAATAAACTTATTTATAGAGTCTGTGTCTTTGAAACTAATAGAATAAAGGACTGGCTCAACTTTAGTCATTAATATGATTTTTTTTTTCTGATTTTAAGTTAAATCGTTCAATTTGAAAATATATCACGTGAATCTTACCACTTAAATCATTAGAAGGAAATGCCATAAAAATCTTTGTACTCTATAGGTCAGCCACATTTTAAATTAAATAGGCTTTTGGCTTGTCCTGGGAAAGCTGTATGATACTGCTTTAATGAACTCATATATTCCAAATGTTAAATAAATCACAAATCTTACCACTTCTGTCAAACTCTGTTCATCCTTTTTTTTTTTTAAGATTTTATTTTTATTTATTTGACAGACAGCGAGAGAGGGAACACAAGCAGGGGGAGTGGGAGAGGGAGAAGCAGGCTTCCTGCTGAGCAGAGAGCCCAATGCAGGGGTTCAATCCCAGGACCCTGGGATCATGACCTGAGCTGAACGCAGAAGCTTAGTGACTGAGCCACTCAGGCGCTCTCTGTTCATCCTTTAAGATAGTGGTTCTCAAAGTATGGGCATAGACCTAGCAGGTCCCCAAGACCCTTTTAGTAGTTCTTCAAGGTCAAAACCATTTTTATAATAATTTAAGATAACATTTGCTTTTTCATTATGTTTGCACCGATAGTGCAAAAGTAATGGTGGATAAAACTGCTAATTAGCACAAATCAAAGCAATGACATCAAAGTGTTCTAATAGTCTTGTGTTTTTCAACACCATGCACTTGCTATAAAGCCAGTTTTATTAAGAATGTCCTTGAAACAGTAAAAATTAATTTTGTTAAATATTAACCCTTGATTTGAATACATATCTTTTTAATATTCTATATAATGTCTCCATACTGAAGTATGATGATTGTATGATTGCTAAGTTGCAAGCTGAATTAGATACTTTTTTTTATGGGACATGGTTTCTACTTGAAAAAATTACTGACAGATAAACTGTGGTTCTTCTGACTTGGTTATTTGAAAATGAAGTGATCTGTCACTTCAAAGAAAACAAGTGACAAAATTTGTTGCTAATAATAAAGTTTGAACTTTCATGTGAAAATTAGAACTTTGGAAAACTTGTATCTGCCATTCAGAGCTTGACCACTTTCCAGTAATTAAAAGATTTTCCTGATGAGATGGGTAGTGATATTAACAAATGTGATTTGGGGATATTGTACAATGAAATGTGCCCACATTTGGAAAGTCTCCATGAGTCATGAACCAATAATTTCCAAATAATCAAGTCATGATGTTACAAAATCATGTATAGGTAAAAGATTCATTCAAATTGTAAGATAGACCAATAGATTTCAATATAACAGAGTATGAAAAGGTCATTGATTCAGTTTCATATTCCATGTTGCACCTGGCCATTAAAAAATTGCCACTTGTCTAATTTGGTATAATATCACAGAAAAATACTGTATCTGAAAGGGCTATTTAAACATACTCCCTCTTCCTACTACATATCTGAGTGAGCCTGGATTGCCTTCATATACTTCAAATAAAACAACATAGCACCAAGATTGAATGCAGAAGCAGATGTGAAAAGCCACTGTCTTCTGTTAAGCCAGACATTAAAGAATCTTGCAAAAATATAAAACAGTGATAGCCTTCTTACTGAATTTATTTATTTATTTATTTATTTATTTATTTATTTATTTATTTATTTATTGGTTTGGAAAATATAGGGTTTTGTTTTTTTGTTGTTTTTCTTAGTAAAACTAAGATATATTAACATGTAATGGATTTGTCATTACTATTGGGATAATTCATAATGTTTTTAATTCCTCAGTTTCATTTCTGATATGCTAAATATTGGTAGATAAATCAATGTAAATGAGTAGTTCTCAACAAGGGGTGATGTTACCCCTGCAGGACATTTAGCAATGTCTGGGGATAATTCTTATGGCCATCATTGGTAGGGTACTATGGGCATCCAGTGGGTTGAGGCCAGGAACATCCTATAATGCATAGGATAGCCCTCACAACAAAGAATTATGTGGTCCAAAATGTCAGTAGTGCCGAGGTTGGGAAATCCTGATAGAAACAAAAGCTGTATGGGGTCTTCAGTTATTTTTAAGAGTATAAAGTTATCCTGAGACCAAATCATTTTAATAAGTCAAATACTTCTTCAGGTAATAGACTTATTCACAATAGGAAATCCCACATGAGAAATTTGTTTTCCAAACGAAATATGAATAAGATATTTATTTCTCTGAAGAATTCATGTGTTTTTTACTTATGGGGAACTTTGTAACTATACAAAATATCCTAATATATGCTGGGTCATTAAGCCCTTCAGAACCCAATCTGCTATTCACTACTATGTACAAACTTAGAGCTTCTATATCTTTGTCCCCCACTTGTCACCCCCTCCCCACCAAATACTTTAACTCTGTTTTCCCTGGTCCTGAATTTCAGTATTTAAGTTTTAGTATTTTAGTGTTTTTATGCCTTACAAGCTCTTCCTTCTTACAAAGGGTAGGCAAGATATAAAAACTATGGGGTTGGGGACCAACTATATTGCTCAACCCCTAACCTAAAAACATACTTCGAAAAATTATTTTAACATAATCTAAGAGACATCTGAGGAGGTAATAAGATTTTATATTCAGTCAACAGATACTTAGTGGATGCCTTCTTTGTGCCAGGTATAATGCTAGGCATTGGCATCCAGTGGTGAACAAGCCTGGGTCCTTCCTTGTGTTTGCAGAGCTTTAGTCAGCCCGGCAGTTGGAGAACCTTTTAGCAGTCAGTGTGGGAGTGAGTTCACTAATGTGCGTGAAGTAGATTGTTGGTGCATTTTTGGCAACTCATTTAGAGGCACCTGAAGGAAGGCAGTGATTTTAGGGTCATAGAAACAGATCAAATGCAGAACTTGTAATAGAAATGGAGGTATCGGGGCACCTGGGTGGCTTAGTCAGTTAAGCGGCTGCCTTCAGCTCAGGTCATGATCCCAGGGTCCTGGGATCGAGCCCCGTGTCGGGTTCCCTGCTCAGCAGAAAGCCTGCTTCTCCCTCTCCCTCTGCCTGCCGCTCCCCTTGCCTGTGCTCTCTCTATCAAATAAATAAAATAAAATCTTAAAAAAAAAAAAAAGAAAAGAAATGGAGGTATCTAAGTTCCTCTTGCCCCAGAAATTATTCTATTTGAGGTGAAGTGAGAGAATGAAAATGATTTACTATATAATCGAACTTTTACCTAATTAAAAGTTTATTATTGGGGCGCCTGGGTGGCTCAGTCATTAAGCATCTGCCTTCGGCTCAGGTCATGATCCCAGGATCCTAGGATCGAGCCCCGCATCGGGCTCCCTGCTCAGCGGGAAGCCTACTTCTCCCTCTCCCACTCCCCCTGCTTGTGTTCTCTCTCTTGCTTTGTCTCTCTCTGTCAAATAAATAAATAAAATCTTAACAAAAAAAAGTTCATTATTGATCATTCAAAGATATATTGCTTGAGTTCTCTGTCATAATTTTGAGGGTCAGATGCCATTCCTAATCATGTCTTGTTTAGGTTAGTAATTAAATTTGTTTTTAATCCCTTAACACCTACACACTGTTAGGAGAAAGGTGGCTCATCATTGATTTTCACTGCCAATTAAAAAGAAAAGTTATATTGAATTGCTAGCATTCTGTGGAGATCAAAATTAAAGAGGATTTGCCTTTTGACATTGGACATTTTATAGGTGTTAGAATATTAAAAATTGAGTATTTTGTTAGCAGACTTCCAGCTATAAAAATTTTGTCTTCACTATTAATATAGAAACGGATATGTAAAAGCAGACTTTAATTTGTAGTTTCTTTTGAACGGGCATTGTGTCGATTTTTACATTTTCCTTTTTGTTTCAGATTTTTTTATTCATTATTCCTCCCTGGGCTGACAGTCTGTGGAACTTTATGTGTATGTCTGTTCATTATCCTCTGGGGAATCAGACTGCTGCTACAGAGAAAGAAAACGTCAGCATCAGCTAGCAAAAATGGGAAAAAGCAAATGGTGGTTGCATTTTTTCATCCATACTGCAATGCTGGTGGAGGAGGAGAAAGAGTTTTGTGGTGTGCCTTAAGAGCCCTGCAGAAAAAGTAGGTATGCATCTTTCTTAGCTAATTTACTCTATTATTACCATTTAAAAAAAAAAATCATTATCCAGATATTCACCATTATCCAGATATGAATACCTTATTCATAGCCAGGAATTAACTGTTCTTCAATAAGGAAATAATTCTGTTATATGCCAACCCGCCTTACAAGATCCTATTGAATTTTAGTTGCTATGATAAAGAACTAGAAAGGGAAAGTACCTGCCCTTTGATGGCAAAATTTAGTGGGGATAACTGTCACCTTGGAAGAATGCATGGAGAAGAAGTTGAATAGTAAATATACCAAGTCATGGGGAGTGCTTTAAACCTGAATATTTTTAGTCAGTAGTGGTACACAGGAAATAATCTCTGTAAAAGCATCTATTTGATTCTGATGTTGATACCACTATCAGAAGTCTTAAGTTACCATGTTAGAAAGAGTATGCTGTTAACTGGTCATTTAAAGTTTTAGGCTTCCTTCTCCCCACCCGCACCCCCATACTCACCCCAAAAATGTTTACGATCCCCTTGTAGAGGGGAACAAACATGGTAAAGTCCAAGTTCCATTGATGGTTGTATCATGGGAGGAAAACTATTATTCTTCCAATGTTACGCTACTTCCTGGCACACCCCCTTCATCCAGTTCCAGAGCCTTCACGCGGAATTCCCTTCACTCTACATTTCTATATTCTTGGCTCATCCTGGCTTCCAGCCACCACCCCTGCATTTCCTCTGCCATCTTCCATAACTGCCTAGATTCAGAACATTTTCTTAAATCTCCGCTTACTATCCATCTCCTTGAGGCCTTCCCTACTCCTACTCTAATCCCTCCTGTTCTTTGCTTCTCATAACTCTGTGCATTAACTTGTCTAACTGGACTATCTAGCTCTTGAGGGCATTGGTAAAGTTTTGTGACAGCTCCACCATGCATGGACGTTGGATTTTAGTTTAGAGAGAGAGACAAGATCATAAGCAAAGAAGAAAAATATCAAATGGTGAGAAATGGTATGTGAGAAAACCGAATAGGATAATTTGTGAGTCCACACTTTAGACTGAGTAATTAGGGAAAATCTCCAGGGGGGCAATACTTAGCTTTAGTCTAAATGACAAAAGCAGCTGAAATTTACTGAGCATTTACTGGATGCCAGGCATTGTTTGAAGTGCTTTACACGCGTTAGCTCACTCAGTCCTCACAACAACCGTATGAGGTTGTTACTGTTAGCCGCATTTGACAGACAAGGAAACTGAGTTACCAGAGTCTGCATTATAAACCACAAACCATACTGTCTGCCTCAGGAAAAGACAGTGAAGATGAGAAAAGAGAATTCAAAGCAGAGGAAACAACTCCTGCAAGTCCCCTGAGACCGGAAGGAGCGTGGCTTGTTCACAGAAAGGAACCCAGTTTGGCTGACCCTGTGGGTACATGAGAGAGTGGAGGCAGGGCCAGGTTACACAGGGCTTGAGTGAATAGGGTAAGGAGTTTAGATTTTATTCTGAGTGCTATGGAAAACCCTATGAGGATTTCAGACAGAGGGATGACACTCTGCTTATCTGTTGCTGCATAACCTCCCCAAAATGTAATGGCTAAAACAAGAATGTATCATTATTTCTAACCGTCTGGAGACTGATGGGCCCTGTTGGGAATCCCTCATGCCAAGCAGCTGCAGCTAGATGGCAGCTGGGGCCGAGTCATCTGAAGGCCTCTCTTAACATGTCTGCTTCCTGGGCTGGGACAATTGCAACAGCTCCAGCGGCTGAGGGTGGGGGACACGGGTCAGGCATCTCTGTCATCCCGCAGCCTCTCCACATGACTGCCTTGGGCTTGCACACAATACGGCAGCCTCGGGATAGCCGGACTCCTTACATGACAGCTGACTTGTCTAGAGCGAAGTAGAAATTGCCATTCTCTCAGAGCCTGGGTCTAGAAACTGGCAAAATGTCACCTTTGACATAGTCTAATGGTAAAAGGAGTCACAGAGCCCACTGTTATTCCAGGGGAGGGGACATAGATCCCAAAGTGTCAAAGAATTTGTGGCCATCTTTAAGCAACCAGAGGTGACAATCCTTTTTACATTTTATAAGGATCACTCTGGCTGCTGGGAGGTGCAGTTAGATGCTCATCCTTTAGGCCTGCACAACACCCTATGGCTATCTTTATCAACACATATCACAGTGTTTTGCAGTTTTATGTTTATATATCTATCTCTGCCACTGGACTCAGCTCCTTGAAGGTAAAGACTAATCTCTGAATCCCCAGAACCTACTAGCTCATACTAGATACGGAATAAATGTTTGATGACTCAAAGAATAACTAAAAACACACACAATCAGAACAAATGCCAAAAGCATAAATAGTCATAAGAGTGTAGTTTTACATATTTCCATTATAATTATATCACATCTAATTTTGATGCAGGCACCAGATCGAGCTTTTAGAATCTTGTTGCATCTCAGATAAAAACACTGAGTAATGTTTTAGCATTTATGATCCTATCTAGAGATACATTTAGTAAATTTTAACTCTTGTTTGTGAATGTTATTAGTACTTTATTACCATTTTATATTGAGAGAGTTGTCAAAATAAAGTTTCTGAATATTTCTTAAAAATGGAAAGTCAATCAGCAATTTTTGTTGATGTCTGCGCTATGTGAAATTCTTAGAAGAGGAAATAGCAGAGAGTGAGAGGTCTTATTTGGAGGACTAACATTTCGCTTGCAGGGCAGCAGAAGACTCCGGAAAGAGGAGCATCAGTAGACCAAGTACAATGAATGAAAAACAATGGAAAAAAAATTTTTTTTCAATCTAAAAATAACCCTCTTTATGATTGTGAGAAAATAATTATCTACAACTTTTTGCTTGGTTTTCACCTAAACTAATGAAAACCTTAACTATTACATTCTATTTTAGGTATCCTGAAGCAGTTTATGTCGTTTATACTGGTGATGTTAATGTCAGTGGTCAGCAGATACTAGAAGGTGCTTTCCGAAGATTTAACATCAGACTCACTCACCCAGTAAAGTTTGTTTTCTTAAGGAAACGCTACCTTGTGGAAGATTCACTCTATCCTCACTTCACACTGCTGGGCCAAAGTCTAGGGTCCATTCTTCTTGGCTGGGAAGCTCTAATGCAGTGTGTTCCCGACGTCTACATCGATTCAATGGGATACGCGTTTACACTTCCTCTGTTTAAGTATTTAGGCGGTTGTCGCATCGGAAGCTATGTTCATTATCCCACGATCAGCATGGACATGCTCTCCGTAGTGAAGAATCAAAATGTTGGATTTAACAATGCAGCCTTCATTACCAGGAATCCTTTTCTCAGCAAAGTAAAGCTCATCTATTATTATTTATTTGCTTTTGTTTATGGACTTGTTGGTTCTTGCAGTGATGTAGTGATGGTCAATTCTTCTTGGACACTAAAGCACATTCTCTCCCTGTGGAAAGTTGGGAATTGCACTAACATTGTTTATCCACCTTGTGATGTGCAGACATTTCTGGACATTCCCTTACGTGACAAAAAGACGACCCCAGGCCATTTACTGGTTTCCATTGGTCAGTTCCGGCCTGAAAAGAATCATCCTTTGCAGATCAAAGCCTTTGCTAAATTGCTGAATAAGAAGGTGGCTGAGTCACTGCCTTCACTGAAACTTGTCCTCATTGGAGGTTGTCGAAACCAAGATGATGAGCTGAGGGTAAACCAACTGAGAAGGCTTTCTGAGGATCTAGGAATTCAAGAAGATGTGGAATTTAAAATAAACATCCCATTTGATGAGTTAAAGAATTACTTGTCTGAAGCAACAATTGGTCTGCATACCATGTGGAACGAGCATTTTGGGATTGGTGAGTCTGTCTGTACATTTTAGGTTCTCTCGGTAAAATGTTGATATTGTGGAGGTTTTTATCCAGTCTTAGTGCTCTTCTCCCAGTCCACCAAGTAAGCTTTTTTTATTTGAGACCCTGCAGGACATAACTGTATGTAGTCACTAATAATAGCTGATATTTATTGACAACTGACTGCGTGTGTAGGTCACTGTTGAAATCTTTACATTATCTGATTTAATCCTCTCTGAAACCCTGCTTCATATATATTCTTATTTCCATTTTACAAATAAAGAAACACAGGCACAGAGAGGTTTTGAACTTGTCCTTGTTTGGCCGCAGTAAGAGGCAGAGCCTGGATCCTCACTCAGACAGCCCCTGCTCTTACCTGCCCCACTTTCCCTGCCCCACCTAACCCCACCTGCAGACTGGGACAGGTTCCCGGCCTAATCTCACTGAAGGACCAAATCGGAATCTCTGGGTGAGGCCCACGTAGATGTGTTTTGGTAAAGCCCCTCAGGTGATTTTGCTGTACACCAAAAGCTGAGCCCACTGGGCTCCTCACAGTAATTCTGTTGGTTCTGCTGATTCCTTACTCATTACTGGAACGGCCCCTCCTCTTTCTGCCAAATCCCATTATAAGTGTCTGACTTTAATCTCCTTAGCCTTTAATTTAGCCTTCCTTGTTTTGTCTAGCACAAATTGCACTCTCTACCCCTGACTTCCTGCTATGCATACATTCTGATGTAAAATCAAGTGCTGGTTTGTGTCTGATCTGGTTCAAGATGTATCTCTCAAGTGGCTGCTCTGTGCCGCACACCGCCAGGTGTTCAGGGAAAACGGAAGAACATACAAGTGAAGTGTCCTCTCCTAAGGCCACAGTTTATCTTACACTCCTATCTGTCCCTCGTTGGTAGCACAGGACGAAGCCCAGACATGCAGCAAGACCTGTGTAGTCCAGCGCTTCCGTACAGGGCCTGACTTCTGTGCCTTCTTGCATGGAGACGCACCGAGCATTCGCTGTGCCAGGCGCAACCGGCGGGAGCTGGTGTGCAGAGACTTCCAGCTCTGTGTGTGCCTCCGACCAGTTCAGCAGCGCTTTACTGGACAGGGTGCTGAGAGCTGTGCCAGGGCAAGTGCGGGGCGACTTGAAAGCGCCCAAGAGAAACACCTGACACAGATGTGTGTGGTCGGAGAACAGTTGCCCGAGGAAATGACGTGCCATGGAAGCAGGGGCCCGAACAGTAATTGGAAGTTAGCCTTACAGAAGAGAGGAGGATGTCCAGCAGAGGGAGCGGCGTTGTGACCGGTGTGACAAAGGAGCATTAGCCGGCACACTCAAGGAACTAAGGGTTCGGTCTGGCCCGAACCTGCAGGAGGAACAGCACGCCTGTGGAGAGGGGACCTGGGGCCAGATCCCATGGCCGCGTGAAGCCAGGGGCAGAAAGAGACTGAGTCTAAGTGTTGGATTTAAAAGCTTTCTGTTTCCTCAAGTTCACTCTGATTGCCGCGTGGGGGGTGGATTGGTGGGGAGCAGGGAGAGCCGGATGGGGAAAGCAGGAGGATGTGTTGGGCAACCTAGACGAGGTGCTGGGTCTGAAGGTGGTAGGCGAACACGCTCGAGGGAGATTCTGAAGCACGACTGAACAGGACTTGGTAATGAACGGGATTTGTTAAACAAAGGAGAAAGAAGAGTCGGAGAGGACCTCCCGGGGCTTTTGAGTTTAGACAACTGTGTGAATGGTGGATGGCTTTCCCCTAGACACGGACTCCAAGAGGAGAGGCAGCTGATGAGCCAGGTTCCCTGCATGTAGAGTTAGAACGATCCGGGGGACACGGAAGTGTGTGTCCAGTGGGCAGTTGTCTACACGAGTCTGCAGTGCAAGTGAGGGACCTGACCTGGAAACACAGACTGGAGAGTTGTCTGGGTCGTTGTCCAGGTCATTCCAGAAGCCCCACGGATGAGGGTAGAATTGCCTAGAGAAAGTGTGCCCAGCGAGAGGAGGCCCCTGGTACAAAATGCTGAAAACGAGCGGTTCAGAAGTGGGCAAAAGAAGAGTTGCCAACAAAGGAGAAGAGAAGAAGTAGAGGGAGGAGGGAAACCTTCTAATGCTCTCATCTGAACTCCTGAAATTTCGCTTTGATACCTTTTTACACCTTTTACCTTTCAGTAACCATTAATTATCTGCCATCTTGCTAGCATTCTGTAGTCTTCTACTTTGTTTTCTAATCCGCAGTATGTCTGTTTTTTATAGACTGTTCTTGCTTGTCTGTTTCAGTGAAGAGTGAAGCAGCATTATTCTGAAGCTTAAAAACGAAAAAAAGCTTAGAATTATTTGGTACCAGGGAAGTTTAATGAGCAAATTTATAGACACAACAGACATTTACTTGAATTTCTCATGAGTGTCATAATTTGTGGAGGTTTCTGCTCATCTTTGTTCTCATGACTGCTCTCAAAATGTCATACGTGGTTTCTGTTTGTTTCTCAGGAGTTGTTGAGTGTATGGCAGCTGGCATGGTTATCCTTGCCCACAATTCAGGGGGCCCGAAGCTGGACATTGTCGTGCCTCACCACGGAGGGAGAACTGGGTTTCTGGCTGAAAGCGAAGACAGCTACGCAGAGACCATGGCTCATATTCTTTCCATGTCTGAGGAAAAGAGACTCCAAATCCGAAGCAGTGCTCGGGCATCTGTAAGCAGATTCTCTGATCAGGAGTTTGAACTGGCGTTCCTGTCCTCTGTGGAGAACTTATTTAAATAATGCCATTATCTGTCCCGATTAAAGATATTTTACATAAAACGGCTAAACACCTTCATATGTTAGTATCTTTCTAACCATTTTCTGTATTGTAATAAAGTCAGCCTAAGCAGTGCTCTCTGCAGTATGTATATAGACAGGATATTTATTTCAATGAAAATGAGAAAAAGGCAAAATTACCTAACTGGTTTAAATGAAAAAATTTTAGATTAGTATTCTGTCCCAAATTCTGAAAAATATGGATCTGACAGAAAAAAAATGAACATTCTTAATGTGGGTATAATCCTGCTTTTCAGATCCTATTTGTCAAATCACTGTACTTTAGAACCCAGGAAAGAGAATTTCCCTTTAGAAAATAGGAAATGTTGAATGGAAAATGGAAGACTGACAATTAGTTGATTAATCTTTTAGAATGGTTCTGACATCTTGGGAACACAGAAAAATTCTGGTACATTTAAATTCTAAATGCCACTGTGGATGACCGTCTTGAATATATCTGACGATTTTCTCAAAAGAGAAAAGACACTTGAAGCAGGCGTCATCACGTACTAAGAGCACGTGGTGAAAAGACAGACGGACCATGGCCGCCCCGCGGGTCGGGGCTGCCCCCCGAGGCGGCAGCTGAGGCCCGGGCGCTGCCCGCAATCTTCCCGTAGCTTGGGGTCTGTGAGAGGGGCTCTTTGTTCAGGGCTACCAGTACATCTGTACTGGACAGAGGGATACCCTCATTATCCCGTCACAGTTCCACATCTCGGGGGCCGCAAGTCAGCTTGAGCTGTTCTGAAGGTCTGAGTGAGAACATCGTGCTAAGTTGTTTTTCTCATAGTGACGATGGACTAACCGCCTCCGTCCGCCCGGTCTCTGTTGGGAGCATCGTGTGTTGTGAGACAATGAGGTGGCATTTAGAAAAGAGCTCTGGACTAGCGGTTAGAATACCGGGCCTGACCCCAGCATCATTATTTACAAACCTCCGACCTCCTAAAACTCAAGCTGCTTCTTAATCTTTTTGGAACTCCGATTCTTCGTCCATAATCTGGAGATGGTAATACCTCTCCTCGCTACCTCTTAGTGATTCTGATTTGGAAAGTATGTGAGAGTACCTTGAAAATTAGAGACTTTTTTTTTTTTTTAAAGGTACCTTCATAAAGTAATTTAATTAAAAGTAACAATAAATAGTAAATGTCTTTTGTAATCAGTCCTCCTTATTAATGCATTAAGACTCAAGCTAGACTCATGGATACTAAGTTGGTAGCTAGAACTACTGTGCTGATTTTAACATGACTTCTGTGCTGAATCACTAGCAGTAAAAGTATGTGGATGTGCAGATAGGGCTCTAGAGACCTACAACCCTTGGCGTTTTCTGCATACATAATTAGCTCCTACTAGTTCAGTGAACCGACCTCCTGCACAGTCTGATACATCTTTGTGTTAGGGGCATGTGACACTCCTCTCATCCAGTCATGGACCCAGCCAGCTTCATCATCTACTCCCAGTTACACTGTTGACTCGTCTGCAGGCCACCGCCTGTCATCAGATCAAAAAGCAGCAAAACAGAGTCCCAGGATGATGTGACACCAACATAGCTTTGGGTGGCGATGATTCAGTTTAGAAAAGGAAGACTGGTGGACATTGGAGCTGGAAGGAAGGAACCCTACAAATCCTCGGGTCCAGTTTTCTCATTTTCAACTTTATAGACAAGAACAATTTAAAGACCTTAAGATTCCTTCAGTCTCACAAAGCTGGTTTGGTTTTTTTTTAAGATTTTATTTATTTGAGATAGAGAAGCAGGAGCAGGGGAGTAGAGGGAGAGGGAGAAGCAGGCCCCTCACTGAGTAGGGAGCCTGATTCGGTGCTCGATCCCGGGACCCTGGAACCACGACCTGAGCCGAAGGCAGACGCTTAACGACTGAGCCACCCAGGTGCCCCACAAAGCTGTTTAAGTATAAACCCTGCAGGTTTATAAGCTGAGCATTCTGACTCCAGCTCAGTTGGTTTTCTTACAGCTAGTCTTGGGGCAAGATTCGTGCCACTGCCCCTGCAGTCTACCCATCTACCCTCAGAAAACCATACATTGAAGTGGATTAAGCAGAAGGAAAGGATGCAGTACAGGAAGAAAGGATTCTGAAATTCCAAAAAGCATTTTTTAATCATGTTTCTTCAAAATTACTTTTATTTGCCACACACATCACTGGAAACATACTTTGTATATCTGTTCACCTTCCCTATTGCTAATGTAGTTATAGGTCTTTTTTTTCGGAATGACTGATAACCATGAAAAGTGACAAAACAATGTGTCAGCTACTGTCTGTCTGGAGAACTTCTGAGTGATTATTCATTCCTATAAAACTTGTTTTTGAGTGGTCCAAATGCAGTATATTTTGAACCCCCAGCAGTGGGGATTCACATTCTTATTTGGGTTGTGCATAATAAAATACATGCTACATGTTCTTTGAATAGTAATCTCTTTGTGTCTAATATGACTTTGATTTAATAGATACAAAATGTGTTTGTATCTGTGGTATAAAGTGATTTTCATTATCGTGGATACTTTCCCCCATATGTACATTTGCACCCCCATGCAGTCTCCCAATGCTGAATTATTACCTACTACTAATATTTCTAAATTTCTAAGCTCCACATGCTAAGAAGGAAGGAAGGGAGAGAGGGAGGAAGGAATGAAGGGAGGGAGGGAGGGAGGGAAGGAAAAAGAAAAAAAAAGGAAGGAAAGAAAAAAGGGAGGGAGGAAGGAAGAAAGGAAAGAAGGAAAAAAAGGGAGGGAGGAAGGAAGAGAAAGGGAGGAAGGAAAGAAGGAAAAGAGGGGGGGAGGGAGGAAGGAAAGAAGAGGGAAGGAGAGAGAAAGAAAGAAAAGAGAAAAATAAGGGAGGGAGGGAGGGAAAGAATTCAAAGGTAAAACAAAATTGTCTTGCCTCTGATACCCAAGAAAAATAGGTTGCCAGGTTTAATAGACATTTTTCTTTTAACGAATATTTCAGACCTACAAAACACTGCAGAGCTTCATACACTTTATTTTAATAATTTTCAGGGGTTTTTACAAAGTCATAGCAAAATTATAAGTGGTCAGTGTAATTATAAATGTTTCAGAATACTTGTGTTTAATTATGTAAATGTACCTAGACTCCAGGACTATAATATAATAGAGTGTCTGCTAAATCTTTCAGTAGATTTGGGTACAACAAAAAAAGTTATCTAGGGACGCCTGAGTGGCTCAGTCGGTTAAGCCGCTGCCTTCAGCTCGGGTCATGATCCCAGGATCCTGGGATCGAGCCCCGCATCGGGCTCCCTGCTCGGCGGAGAGCCTGCTTCTCCTTCTCCCTCTGTCTGCCGCTCTGCCTACTTGTGCTCTCTCTCTATCTCTGTTAAATAAATAAATAAAAATCTTAAAAAAAAAAAAAGTTATCTACAACAAGAAGTTACGCAAATTACTAGAATCAATTTATGCCCTTGTAATTTTCTCTACCTCTCCCACTGTTCCTCAGCTGATTTTTCTCCTCTGTCCCCACCCTAATTCTAAGGCTGCCCTTGGCTTTAAAGAAGCATCAGTTCTAATACTTGAGTGCTTCACGCTCACTTGGACTACATGTGTTACAAGACTTAGAAGGGAAGTTAAGAGTTGATACACCATTTAAAGAATGATCAGTTTGGTAGCTATGATACGTAGTTACCAAGATGCATAATTTTTAATAAAATCTATTCTAAAAACACATGCAAGTCTGATTAATAGTTTCAACTTGACACATGCAGCTAAACCTAAACCCAGAATAAAGTAATCAATTGTGCCTCAAGAACATGATTTATGTAATGGTGTACATAAGATGGGTAAGGTAAATTAGGGGCTGAAGTTGGCTGAAAAACCTTGCAGATATGTGTACTTATCACAATGAATACTTCCTACTTTACAGCAAAGAACTCAATCTTAGAATGAATGTTAGCTAGAGACTTTAGCCAAGCATCTTGTCATTGGAGCAGACTCAATGACCTTAAACATTAATTCTCCGCTCTGCCCGCCCCCCATATAACTGAATGGTCTTCGGATCTTTGGGATTTTCAGGAACCATGTTTCATTTTCCATGCATTCAAATACTGCTTAATATTTGTTTAGCACACCAACAGATTTAGTATGTCTGAACCACATAATGTTCTGAAAGTAAATTAAACATGTATACATTGACCACTAAAGGACTCCTAAAATTAATGGTGCTCCAATCTCTCAGGGTCATGTGTTACCAAGGTTGACATTAACACAGTGGTGAGAAATTTTTAAATATTCTCAGCCTCATGATGTGACCATGCTGAGCACTCTCCCGAAAAGAGTAGATTATAACCCAATACACCAAGTTGAAAGAACAGTACCTCCAACATCACCAGGAAAATACAGGCATAAAAGACAAATCATGTGGGATGCATCCCTGATACTTTCCCCACATTTAATAAAATTATATCAAATGTAAACACTAAGCAGACCTCGAAATAATCTGACCAACCCTTCCTCATCTTTGTTTTCTTAGCTCAGCAATGGATTGATGTGCAATTTTAGTTGTATTTTTATTACAGAGCATATATCTTAGGCAGAATTCTACCACTTAGAAATGTAACCACTCCATCCTTCATAGCAACAACACAATAAATCAACAAATATCTGGTAAACTCCAGGCACAGTTTCAATACTGGGATTGTTTAATGGGGCACCCTGCCAAGCACCATATGTAAAAAGACCAGCATAAAATACAAGGACCAATAGTGTCCCTGCCTTTAAGAAGTTTATAATCTACACATTTGAAGCTATTAGAAATTAATTCAGTAAAACATAGTAAAATGATTACTTGGTGCCTAATTAACATGACATGCCTTGATCCTCTCTTTGCTCAGTTAACCTACTCCCTTAAGTGTCAATATCTGCTTCAAAAAAGTGTATTAAAAAGAAGACATTTCAAAGTCACGGTTTTCTAAAAATGGTAGATTCATTACTCTAAATGAATTAGTTTTCCATCCTTGTCTTAAAAAGTTATCAAACTTAGTTAAAACAACACACATTTATTATCTTACAGTTCTGTAGGTCAGAAGTCTAAAGCTAAAATCAAGATGTCAGCAGGACTCTGTTCCTTCTGCAGGCTTCTGGGGAAGTCCATTGTCTGGCCTTTCCCAGCTTCTAGAGGCTGCCTGCATTCCTTGGCTTGTGGCCCCTTCCTCCGTCTTCAAAGCCAGTAGCCCCAGGCTGAGCCCCTCTCACGCTGACATTTTCTGGGTCCTCTCTTCTGCCTCTCTTCCCCTGTTAAACAGCCCTGTAATTACATCAGGTCCACCTGGATAATCAAAAAAAACCTTCCCTATTTGAAGGTCAGCTGATTAGCAGCCTTAATTTCACCTGCAACCTTAATTCCCCTTCGCCATGTAACAATATATTCACATTGTTGGGTGTATTGTGGGGGGAGGGTGGCAGGAAGAGAGATACATTACTCTGTCTGCCTATCACATATATTGTCCGAAAGATTTCTTGATAGAAATTTTAAAGTAAAATATTAATTTCTACACTCAAATTGGTCAGTCTCAAGGTCTAAATTGGTATAAAAATTAATAAATCCCTGGGATTGCTAGAAAACTCTTACAAGGGCGCCTGGGTGGCTCAGTTGGTTAAGCGACTGCCTTCGGCTCAGGTCATGATCCTGGAGTCCTGGGATCGAGTCCCACATCGGGGGGGGGGGGGGGTCCCTGCTCAGCAGGGAGTCTGCTTCTCCCTCTGACCCTCCCCCCTCTCATGCTCTCTCTATCTCAGTCTCTCTCTCAAATAAATAAATAAAATCTTAAAAAAAAAAAATAGAAAACTCTTACAAAATGAATGTTTATGACTTGTGCCCAGATACTACAGTTAATAGATACTGACTTACCACTTATGAAAAAGTACAATAATCACACTTATATATTTTGATGGGTTGTTGATGTTTCTCGGTTTTCATCAGCAATGCATACTTTCTCATTAGCTCGAATAGAAATATTCTCTAAACCTTCATTTAATTCTGCATATTTCTGGGTGCCTATCCCCTGTCCTCTGAACTTTTCAGCACCCTTAGTGAAACCAGGAGCCTCTTCTCTTTTTTCTTCCTCTTTGGAAGTAGCAAGTTCTTCCAGGGATTCTACTACTTCGTTTCTCAACTCATCTTCAGATTCTTCAAAATTCCTGGAAATAAGAAAGAGGTAAAAATCAACTTTATGATATCAAAACAATGAAAAATAGATATGAAAAGTAGTTTCCCTTCTCACTTAAGCAATTTAATAGTTGCATTTTCACCCAGGTAATGAATTATTTATTATATCAGCCTGGCTTTCCAGACTGATTAAAAAAAAAAAAAAGCCATTATTGGGATAATCAGTATTCTGTTTACTTGGACCTGTGTTCAACAACCTTTATGATATTTATTAATACCCATCTACTCTTAAAAGGAGAGGAAGAGAGAAGAGGAAAAAAAGAATAAAACAGCTGCCAAAAAGTGAGCCCTTATCATACACCAGTGACTGCCCTGACACACTTTACACATAACTATATTTCATCTAATACAACACTCTGAGGTAGACATTCTCACCATCAATTTATAAAGAAGCTGAGGCTCAGAGAGGTTAATAAAACTTGCCCAAGGTCTCACAGATACTGATTAGTAGGACTAGGAATTGAAATTGTATCTAATTGTATCTAAGACCTCAACATGGATATTCTTAGAAGGGAAGAAGGCAGGAGACCAAGAAAACCATCTCAATGATCCGTAATATTTACATGGCAGGTAAAGAGGCTGAGGAAGATCTGGTAAGAGCCAAGAAAGTGTTCATCATGGACGCCAAGAAGGCAGAGAATTTCCAGATAGGGAGCAGCCAAATAAGAGGAAGACAGAAATGACAGTTGGACCTGGCAATTTCAAGGTAATAGATGACCTCTGCAAGAACATTTCAGCATGCTATGTGACAGGAACCATCATACAGGAGATCGAGAAAGCAGTAGGAAGTAAACTAGCAGTGACAAGGAGCTTAAACTCCTTTGAGGGGAGCCTGGATCTGAAAGGACAGTGTTAACTTGAGAAGATGAGGGCAATGATTTTTTGGTGTTTCTCAAGAAGGGACAGATTTCGGCATGTGTATATGCTGAGAGAAAATAGCTAATAGACGTTAAAACTATAGGAGAAGGACAGTAATAGGAACACATTCTCTGAGAAAGGCTGGGATTCAGAGTACCTGTGCCAGGATGTGCTTTCAGCAGAAAGGGAGATGGTTTTTTGTCTGAGAAGGAAGATGGGGAAAGAGGAAGACAATGAGGACTCATGTGGATAGAGAGAAGTTATGGAACTAGACAAAACCATTCCACTTACAAACCACATACTATCTCTGTGAAGGAGGCATGGTCACAAGAGTGAGGTGGATGGGGGTGAGTATGCAGGGTAGAGGGTTTGGAAGGAAGCAAACCAAGCATAGGATTGCCAGATACCACAGAGGACCTCACTAAAATTGGAGATCATAAATTTGGGGTGGACCAGCAATTAGAGCTCCCAATTTGTTAAGCTATCATTCCTGAGGTATGCGCTTACACGAGATCATCCCTTTGTCTTCATTCCTCTGTAGTTTAAAGTATGATGTGTCTAGGTGTGAATTTATTTTCATCGTTCCTACTTGGTTATTGTTTTACTTCCGAGATGGCACAATTTATGGCTTTCAATGATTATAAAAAGTTCACAGCTATAATTACTTTGAATATTGCTTTTCTCCGATTCTCGGAACTCCTTGTAAATGTATGTTGGACCTTCATGACTCTTAACTCCTCTTTCACATTTAATATCATTTTTTACTTCAGGTCTACTTGCAGTTATTAATTCCCTCAATAATTGTACCTATTCTGTTTTTAAACTGTCATTTGATTTCTATTAGTAGATTTTTTTCACTTTTTTAAGTTCTACTTGGTTAATTACCAGATCTTCCTGCTCCTTTCTGATAGATCTGCTTTTTTCTTTTGTTTCCATTCTTTACTTTGATTAAATAATTTTAAATGTACAATTTAAATTATTATATAAATATTAAATATTCATAGGATAATTGTATTATCTGAAGTTCTTTATGGTCTAATTCAGCTATTTGTTGTGCTTGCTATCTCTCATAGTGGATTCTATTTTTAGTTGTGAACTCATGTTCAGCAGTGCCTTAGTGAGAAAATTCAGTGTAGCCTGGATTGAGGTTATATCCCTCCAGGGGTTTCATATTTATTTCTTCTAGAGATCCCAGAGTATTATGATTTCTTACTATCAATTTTAATGTTGATTTATCAATATACATGTTTCCAGACCATCCAAGTGTTGTAAATTCTAAACCCAAGTGAAGGCAAATCTATGGTTATAAATTTCTCAGGAAGAATTCTTCTCCTAGAGATTGGGCCAAAACAGACAAAACATATTACTCAGATTTTTTTCTAGATCACCCTTGCACTGAAGTGTAACTCTTCAATGGCTCCAGCTAGCAAGAATGGAGGAGAACACACCGAAGAAAGCAAAATCTGATAGATATGCAGGAGGTGCACAGAGACAGAAAGGGAAGGAAGAAAATTTAAAAACAAAACATGAAACTTCTAAAACAAAATGATCCTGTAAACTAAAATTCCAAAACACGTGAATAAATCTGATGATAAGAGAAGGATAGGCAAAAAGAATTTTAAGTTGGACCAGAAACTAAGTCTAGATGGAATTACTTTTATGGAGGATTTTAATAACACTCTTAAAGTAAATATGCTCAAAAAGGTAAATTAAAAAACAGCATCCATTTTAAAATGTCTTCAAATTAGGGGAAATAATTATGCAATACTGAAACAAGAACATATAAAAATATGAACAAATATAAATCTTAGACAGGAGATACATAATCATTTTAAAAACTTAATAGATGATACCCAGATAGGTTTGAAAATAGTATTCAAGAATTCACCTAGAATGGAACAAAGAGATGAATAAAAAATATGAAAGTACAATTAGTTGTTATTGGGGACAGATTGAGAAGCTCCAAAACATATCTATTTGGAGGACCAAAATGGACAGAATAAGAAAAGCAACACTTGGAAAAATAATGTGTAAAAATTTTCCAGAACTAAAGACAGTTATGGGTTCTCAGAAGAAAGTGAGCCAAGCAGGATAAAAGAGAAGTCTAGACCCAGACATACATACAACAGTGAAACATAAGAAAATAAAGATAAAAAGAACATTATGGATGTGCTGGGGAGAAAGTTAGCATATCTATAGAGGGAAAACAGCATTTTTCTCATCAACAGTAATAAAGATCAGGAGAAAAATCATTGTCAAAATTGTATACCCAACTAAATTACAATTAAAACAATAAAACAATTTTGGATATGCAAACAATAAGAGTGTTTACCAGCCACTGACCTATCTTAAAGAATTATTAGAGGATGTACAACAGCAAGAAAACTGAAACCAGAGGAAAAGCATAGACTAGGAAAAAACTATAGCAAGTTCAGAAAATGGTAAACCACAATAGCAAATTAAGTTTGAGAATATATATATATAATTATATATAATATATATATATAATAATGTTTTTTATTATTTTTTTAAAGTTAAAATTGGATTACATGATTTGATGTCTCAGACTTATATATTATATATATTATATTACTTATATACTATATATATACTATATATACTAAGTAATAAGTATATTACTTATATACTATATACACTATATATATTATATATACTATATATAGTATATACATATAGTATATATATACACTAATATATATACTATATATTATATATACTTATATATACTTATATACTTATATAGACTTATAGACTTATATATATATAAAATAATACATATTTTTTATTATTTTTTTAAAGTTAAAATTGGATTACATGATTTGATGTCTCAGATTTAGAATGTTCCAAACCTTAAAAAAAGGTATAGGGGCAGGGTGGTCAGTAAAGAACAATGATCATTGTTAAGCTGTATGATGGATGCATGAGGGTTTGTTGTGCTGTGCTCTCTACTTTTACTATGTTTGAAGTTTTCCACAATAAAAAATGTTTTTAAAGTAAAATTATGACTCTAGATAACAATATCAGGATGGAAGGGTTTTAGTGGTTAGATGTGTTTGTCATATTTGGGAGGAAAAAAAAGAACACTGAACAACTTCTGAATTTGTTAGAACAATCCATAGGAAGTACATAAAAACAAACTATTAAAAGAATAGAAATATAATCTGTATCTTCAAAACTAGTAGTGAGAAGACTAGAGTAATACAGAAACGTTTGTTAATGTAACAAAAGGTTAGAAAAGAAGAGGGGAAGGAAATGACAAATGAAAGCAAACAGAGAATACAAAATCAAGCTAAAACATAAAGCCCAAATATGTCATTAATTTTAATGACTTTTATTATACTAAACTAATTAGGAGGCAGAGGTTATTATAGGACAAGAAGCATATCAACCAGCTACATGCATTTTATAAGAAACATATTATAATGAAACTACACAGAAATGATGAAAATAGGGCGCCTGGGTGGCTCAGTTGGTTGGGCGACTGCCTTCGGCTCAGGTCATGATCCTGGAGTCCCGGGATCGAGTCCCGCATCGGGCTCCCTGCTCGGCGGGGAGTCTGCTTCTCCCTCTCCCGCTCCCCCCTCTTGTGCTCTCTCTCTCTCTCTCTCTCAAATAAATAAATAAAATCTTTAAAAAAAAAAAAGAAATGATGAAAATAAAACAAATACATATCAGCAAAATACTAAAAAATAAAATAACTGAAAAGTTGGAATAGCAATGTCAGTATCCCAACAAAAAAGAATTTAAGGCAAACAGCTTTAAAGGGACAAAAATTACAATACATAATGTAAAAAGGGAGAGATACTCTACCAAACTGATATAACAATCAATAATTAGAACATGGCTTCTACTTATTTCAAGTACATCAAAAGGAAATAGAAATATAAGAAGAAATAATCACAGCCACAAACACAGTTGAAGATCTTAATGTACTTCCATCCAGAAGTGATAAAGGGGAAAAAAAAGCTATAGAGCAGTTTAACAAAAAAATGTTTTAAGCTTGATAATTATATAGAACATACATATCCCCAGAATAGTAAGAATATGCATATTTTCAAGTACATGTGTAACAATCATGAAATTGACACTGTACTGAATAGCAAAGGGAGTCCCAATAAACTTTTTTAAATCACTAAAATTCAGATGATAGTCTCTGTCCAAAGTGCAAGTAAATTGGAATTTCCAATTTTAGTAGGTGAGTAAAAAATGCATTAGTCAGAAACTTCAAATTTTGACTCATACCATTAAGAAAATGAATAAGAAAACCCAGACAGTGAGAAAATATTGACAAAATAGAGATATCTAACAAAGAACTGGTAGCAAGGATATATAAATAATGCCTATGACTCAAAAACTACCAAGACACCACACACACCCATTAGATTGGCTAAACTTTTTTAAATTGACCATACCAAGTGTTGGTAAATATGTAGAGCAACTAGAACACTTAGGCACTGTTCATGGGGATATAAAATGGCACAACCACTTTGGGAAATAGCTTGGCAGTTTTTTTAAAAGCTAAACATTCACCTGCCACACAACTCAGTCATTCTACTCCTATGGTTTTACTCATGAGAAATGAAATTTATGTCCACACAAAGACATGTACATGAATATTCATAGCAGCTTTATTTATAATAGCCAAAAACTAGAAACAATCCAAACATCAATCAATAGGTGAATATGTAAATAAACTGTGGTATATCTATATAAGGAATACTACATAGCAATAAAAAGGAATGACCTATCGATATATAGGACAATGTGGATGAATGTCAAAATTATTATCAAACAATAGGGTTTCCAGGGAGCTTAAGGGTGTTGTCCCTCAGAATCTAAGCAAAAGCTCAAGACAGAGAAGCACTTGTCTAAAAAAGATTTGTGGATCTGGTTTTTGTCTAATAAAGTGAATCCCAGTAAGATTTGCAGAGACCTACAAGATTTTCGAAAGAAATATATATGCAGAAACATAGCCAGCTTGGACCAAAAGGGACATGGACAATCCCAATTGAAAAGAGACTACTGGACTCCAAAATTCTACTGGCAGGAAGCAGCCTGAGAAAATTCTCTCCTCCCTTCCTTCCTTCCCTCCTTTATCCTAGAATCAACCTAGGCAGGTTGATTCTAATGTTCATATGGAAAAATAAACAAGCAAGACTAGATAGAAAAATACTGAAAAAGGAAAGCATTTAAGGGAACTAGCCCTCCAAAATAATAATTCATATTATAAACAATATGTTTATAATACAGTAATTACCCTAAAACGAATAAGAATTGGATGCAAGTACATATAAAAATGTAGCATATCATAGAAATGGCATTTCAAATGGGTAGCAAAAATGAAGATTTTCAGTAAATGGTGTTGGAATAAGTAAGGAGTTATTTGGAAAAAAGTAAAGTTGAAGTCACACTTTGCATTTTAATATGAGTGCAATTCAAGAGGAATAAATTATTTAACTAAATAAAAATTAAATCATAAAAGTACTAAAAAAAAATCCTGACATCATTTCTTACAATCGGTAAACCTAACTAGATAAAAATGAGAAATTTCGGGGTGCCTGGGTGGCTCAGTTGGTTAAGCGTCTGCCTTCAGCTCAGGTCATGATCCTGGAGTCCCGGGATCGAGTCCCGGGATCGAGTCCCGGGATCGAGTCCCGCATCAGGCTCCCTGCTCGGCGAGGAGCCTGCTTCTCCCTCTGACCCTCCCCCACTCATGTACTCTCTCTCTCTCTCTCATTCTCGATCTCTCAAAAATAAATGAATAAATCTTTAAAAAAAAAATGAGAAATTTCTACATGGCACAAGCCACTATAAATAAAATCAAAAGGCAAACAAAAAACTGGGGAAAATATTCTAGAGTCATATTATAGATAAAAGATCAATCTCCCTAAAATGCAAAAGGTTCCCCAAATCAATACAATGTTAGTAGCCTAATTTTTTAAATGGCTAAGGCTATGAATAAATTGTCCCCAATGAGGAAATAAAGATGGTTCTTGAGCATATGGAAAGACAACCTTATTCAAAAAAGAAATGCTAATTAAAACTAACCTGAGACATCATTTTGAACCAATCAATTGTGCAACGATCCATGTCTGGTAACACACTAAGCAAGAAAATGTGCAAGAAGACAGGCACTTCCATACTCGGTCAATGGAAGCGTTCATAGGTGTAACCTCTGTGAAGGATAACTTGACAATATCCAGTTACAAATGTAAAAACTCTTTGACCTAATACTTGGCTTTCCTGGGAATTTAAACTGCGTGTATACTACTATTTGTATATTATGATAGGTATTCAGGCTACAGTGGTAAGTGATAAAAGGAAGTTGCAGGATAGCATGTACGCTATGAAACTGTTTCTATAAAAAAAGAAAAAGAATACACACATACACAAGATCTACATATTGGCTTACAGTTTAATGGAATTCCTCAGGAGAAGTGTGCATAAGAGGCATATTCGACTGGTTGACTCTGGGAAGGGGAATTGTGTGGCTGAGGTAAAGAGATAGCAAGAAGACTATGAAAAGAGGGTAACTTCTGAATTTGAAGCCATATGAGTATATGACCTATTTAAAAAGTAAATTATAAAATTTTTAAAATTCAAAGGACTCCAAATTTTAGAACTAATAAAAGACTTCAGTCAGGTTACAGGATACAACATCAATAGTGTTCTATATGCTAGTAGTTGCCAAGTTGAAATACAGTAAAAGAAAAACAACCCCATCAATAATGACAATAACAACAACAACCAAGTTAAGTGGTACCTCTATTGTGAATAAAATTACAAAAATGCTGAAGGATATTTTAAAAGACATAAAGAGAAACAGAGCTATACTATATTCATGGATGTTCAGATTTATGATCATAAAGATGGCAAATCCTATAAATTAATCAACAAATGTAATGTCATTCTCAAAATCCTAACAAAGTTTTTCATGACCCTTTACAAGAAAATGCAAAGATGTATGTGGTAAGTAAAGGGCAACAACAGCTAAGATAATTTTGAAGAAAAAGATACGGAGGCTAGAAGCAGGTATGGGACTAGCCCTACCAGATACCAAAAGATATGGTAAAGGCACAGTAATTTAGGACAGCATATCACTCATGCAGAGATAGGAAACAATGCCATTGGGAAAGAAAAGAGAGCCCAGAAACAAACCCTTGTGTGAGTAAAACTTGGTCTCCTCAGCTAGGTCTAAGACTATTGTCCATATCTCAGCAACAGCATTTTAACTCTCTACCAGTGCTCCATTCAAGTATCTGGATAGGACCTACTTACGTATCATCATCGTCAGATCTTGGTTGTTCCTCATCTACTTCAATGCCAGAGGCCATTTCCATATTCCCCTCATCTTCTTTAGGAAGCCATTGTTCTAATGTCCCCACTGTTAAAGAAATAACAGAGAGATTAAAGCCTCCCAGCCTATACACATGATGAGGGGTATATACCCCAAATCCTGTACTGGACATCAACCATGAAGGTAAAGCCTGTGAATTGTTTCCATTAAAACAGAGAATATGTCTGGTTTTTTCCTACATAACTTCAACCTTGGTGTAGTCAAGAGCAATGTTGAGACAGATTTTCTTAAAATCTCAAAAACTAAAAGAGTTCACAAAAGAATTAATAATGCTGGCTTCTGAAGTTGGCTTTAAAACTATGTCTACACAGTCTATGTCTAGCCTACTTTTGACTCCCACTGTGGGAATTTTGCTACACATGTCTATATTAGTTAGCTTTTCCAGAATAAACCACCACATAGCTTAGTGGTTTAAAACAGTAACCATTTATTGAGGTCACTATTCTGCCATTAGGCAGTTTGGGCTGGGCTTAGCTGGCTGGCTCTTCCTGTCTCGGTTGGACCCAGTCATGCACGTGCAGTCACTTGCCAGGCCAGCTGGAGGCTGGCTGGCCTACTGTGGCCTCTCTTGGGATGGCTTGTCTCTATTGTTCACGTGGTCTCTCATAGCAGGGCCAGCTGGAGCTAGTTGAGAGAGAAACAGGTTTCCAAAAAAAAAAAAAAAAAAGCAAAAGCTCCTTAAATACTCAGATTTGGCACACCACTGCTTCAATTCCATCCTCCTCATGCACACAAATCACAAAGGCCAGTTGAGATTCAAGGGGAGGGGAAAAAAACATTTAATGGTGGAGGAGCTGCGAAGTCTGGAGGAGCTGCGAAGTCATAGTGCAAAGGGCAGGGATACAGGGAAGAGTGAAGGACTATACTCATTTTGGTAACCTACCAGAATCTGCCTTGCCCACATGCACTCTGCAACCATCTGGTTCCTAGGGGGCTAAACTGTGTTTCATGTTAGTCTCCAGGAAAAAAAATCCCTACCCTCTGCTAACAAGTGGGATCAGAAATGGGAACTTGGGCGCTTGGGTGGCTCAGTTGGTTAAGCAACTGCCTTCGGCTCAGGTCATGATCCTGGAGTCCCTGGATCGAGTCCCGCATCGGGCTCCCTGCTCGGCAGGGAGCCTGTTTCTGCCTCTGACCCTCCCCCCTCTCATGTGCTCTCTCTCTCTCATTCTCTCTGTCTCAAATAAACAAAAAATAAATAAAATCTTAAAAAAAAAAAAAAAGAAATGGGAACTTTTCTCCAAAGATGCAATTAAAAACAAAGTGTGGCTATTTTTTGTTTGTTTTTTGGTAAACTGACTATTCATGCACATACCTACAAGACAAAATTTTACTACGCTGTACTTAAATATTTACCTATTTTTAATCAATATGTGTCATCCCAAATCATAGCCTACATTATTTCCTACAGTGCATTATAAAATAAATGAATTGATTGATATATCTCATCTATGAGGTAGTCTGGCTAATTAATAGCAGCCTGAGTATTCCACTTGGTGTGGGAATCATAGTTTTTGTTTTCTTGTTTTAGGAAGACAATTTTAGGAGGCTTTTATTTTTTTGTTTAACAGGATAGAAGAAAGAATGAATAGCTAACTATAGAAATGTAAATCAGCTGTTATCTGGATGTGCATCTATGATGTTACCAAGGCAACTATGTGGCCTGAAAACTTACACAAGAAAAATGGAGGTTACCTTCCCACCAAGGATCCCCGTGGAGTGGTTAAACTGTAAACAAAATTATTGACCTGAATGAATTATGCACACATTAAAAAAAAATACTTGTCGTTATCTCAAGAGTGTAGCTTTTACTAGTTAAAGTCATTGAAAAGGATTTTACAAAGTCTTGCTATTTTAAACTTAAAGTTAGGATAAATTAAATAGGTAGTTGATAAAGTTTCACTTTTTAATGGAATGCAGGGCTCGAAGCATGAAAGCAATTTATTTTCAAGGAGTTGGAAGTTTAAGCTAAACAGTGATGAAGGACATATGAATAATGCTTAAATGTATGACCATAGCTAATCCTTGAAAGCCTTTATAAACTGTGTCTATTATACTTGCAATCAAAGTTATTAAAACTTACACACACAGGAAGTCTTCATGAAAACTCTACACAGTTGTAAGAATTATTTTTCTTTTTCTTTTTTTTTTTTTTTTAAAGATTTTATTTATTTATTTGAGAGAGAGAGAATGAGAGACAGAGAGCACGAGAGGGAAGAGGGCAGAGGGAGAAGCAGACCCCCTGCTGAGCAGGGAGCCCGATGTGGGACTCGATCCCAGGACTCCAGGATCATGACCTGAGCCGAAGGCAGTCGCTTAACCAACTGAGCCACCCAGGCGCCCCAAGAATTATTTTTCACATTATAATTTCCCTTACCAACTTGATGGCAATACGAATATTGGTAATCACATGCCTCTGCATAAAGTAATACTAAAAACGTGCTATGGTTTTATGTTCATTCATAAAAACAATGGCCACCTGCTAAGTTCTAGGCACTAGGGAGAGAGACGAAACAGGGTGGTAATCAAGACAAAGCTCTCATAAGCTTACAGTCTAGTGGGGAAGAAAGATAATAAGAATCAGAAATTAAAGTGAAGCTTATTTGTATGATCAGAGAATTACAGTGTCTTGTGGGGTATTAATCAGCAAAGCCAAACCTAGAGGATGCAAGGGAAACATGCTCAGATCTTTCTTAATCATTTAAAATTGAGGCTCCCCGTCAGTGGGGACACAGGCAAGAGTCTGAGATCCAGGTTTTTCATAGCAATCACTAAAAATTGAAATAAACTCACTACTGCATCTTTTTATGACATGAATTTAAATGATAAATACAGTGATAAAATGTCCCTATTTCATGCATTTAACAGATATTGGAGCATGAATGAGTTTGAGCGTGAGACTGAATATGAAATTGTCAGAAGCAGCTAACAGAAAAGGCAGGGAGAGAGTAGACAAACTTGAGGACTTCCTAGAATTTTTTGGATTAAAGAGAAGCATATTAATATAGTTACAGGGTCTTCCACTCACTCGTGCAAAAGAACACTTAAGGATCGATGTCATTCCAGACCCATTTACAAAGCCCCGTCGGGTAGTACAGGGAAAAGCAGGGAGAGAAGAGTACCTGCCCTTCACCACCTCACCACCCACCATGACACATAGTGACAGAAATGGGAGGAGGCTTGTCAGAGGGAAATCTTGCAGGAGCAATTATCCTGGCAAAAGGAGGCAGGCATTCTAATCCGAGGGAGGGCTATCTGCTGGTGGAGAAATGCTAGCAAGCCTGGCATTGCGATGGGCCACACCAATCTTCAAGGTGCTCAGAGTCTGCAGAGAGACTGATTTTATCCTGAGGGTAAGAGGGCATCTTTTGCAGGATTTTAAGCTGAAAAGAGATTTGGTCCATTTTAGGAGGATTATCTGGCAGGGGTACAAAGGGTAGAGCTAAAGTAAGAAAAGATGACCAGGGACAGGAAGTCAAGAGGCCAACCACAGTTAGAGGCGGAGCTCAGCTGGGGCGGAGGGGTGTCAGCACCAGGGCAGGCTGTAAAAGAAAACATCCGCACTCTGCTTTGAACGCACCTGTGGAGGCAAATTCCTATTTCCAATCTCACTTGACAGATAAGTTGCTCATATATGCCCAATGTAAAGCCATCCATGTAAAAATACAGCAAGCTCATGAATGAGTTAATCTGGCATGACAGACCAAATGAAGAGTTTTCTATGACTCTCTCCAAGAATCACAGGGACAAACGCAAGAAGAAACATCATAGCCACCAAGTATGTCCCCACCTCAGTGTCTTGATAACCTGGCCTGGGATCCCAGCCCTTGGCTTCCGGACCAAGCACAGTCAGCCCAAAGCTTCCTCCTTACTGCCTCCAGCCCCATCCTTAGGGACAAGGCTTTCATCCCAGGACAGAAGGGAAAGGAGTAAAGACAATACACTGCTTTTTGTAATTTGAAGGTACTGGAAAGAGTCTGAAGGGCAGTTTCTACCTTTCTCCCTCTCTCTCCTCTTAACTTTTCAGCAACAGCGTGATAACTGATAGAATTCATAAGACCGAAGGGTTTCAAAGGACTTCGTATGCTCAGGGACTCTGGCCCCCTCTCCTGCTCCTAGATTTCAGTCCAACCGGTTTTCTTACTGTCTGCCACAGGCCTGTGTATCTGCAAGTCCTCCCCACCCGATACATTCATCCTTCTGGACATTCTTGGAAGACGCAACTTTCACAAAGATTTCACGATTGTGAAGTTTAGGCTTCACAGGCTGGCAGACTCACTCTGGGGCAATCGTCAGGCACTTCTGTTACATTATCCTCAGGGTGGGACATATTTTTGAATTGTTCCTTTACTTTGTAAGTACTTATCAGCCTCCGTTACACCTAGGTTGTATCTCTGCCTCCTTGTCGCCTCAATCTCGCGTTCCTGAAACACGGGTCTCTAAGCGTGCCCCTCTGCAGCTGCTCCTTTTCTGTCCCTGCCTGCCTACGGCAACCTTCCTTGTAGCAGGGCACACCTGCACCTTCCGAAGACCAACTCCCCCTGTGACGTGAGTTCCCTCAAACTTTTAAAAAGGATGGCTGGCTTCCCATAAAGTAAACACAAGCATCATCTTGCTAAAAGTCAGAGACAAAAAAAAAAAAAACAAAACCCTCCCCCAGACCAAGAAACTCTACGATGATGTGTTTTCATTGCCTATGGAATAGTAATTTGAGTCTGTCGAAGAGCTGTCAGAAATATACCGTCAGGTAGAGCTAAGTAGTACCTGCTTACCTTCTACAAAGCCACTTGCCCTACTTATTTTCATCAGTTGTCAACCGATCCCATTAAAGAAAATTACCCCACTCTTCCGGGAAGCTCGAGGCTTGTTAGTGGCATCTGGAACAGGCTTGGACAAAGCAAATCAGCTTCCGAAGAGGCTCAGCCCTTTCCAGTTCTCTCTCCAGGCTGAAGGTATTTTTATCCCTTTCCGCATTTACAAGTCTCTGACAAAATTCCTCAGGGGACTGGTTATGTTCTTAAAAATAAACTGCATACCCAATTCGCCTTCGTGGGCAGAAAACGAGCTACTTGTTAGACGTGCTGCAGCCAAAGCACTCATTAAAGCTCCTGGCACTTCGTGCTGCCACCGTCTCCTATTTTCTGGAATGCCTTCGGTCACCGTCCCTTGGCCACCTGAGGAGGAGACTGTGTTACTGAAAATAAAAATACTTCATCTGACTTCTTATAAAATCACAAAACGTGAGAACCTCGGAGGTAACCTAATCCCACCCCTCGTGTTACCAGCAAGAAAACGGAGATAAAGTTTAGTGACTTATGTCACATGGCTAATGGGTATGAGAGTGACTTGCTTTGTAAACACTTCAGTGTGTTAAATTTTCTATTCTACTTGCTTATTTGAAATTGGTCTTATTGTCTCATTGGCTTATGGTGGATTAAATTGTTATGTTTGCAAGCCCCTTCTTGCAAGTTTGGGGGCTTCAGTGTTTCATAATGGTATAAACGTAAGTCAGTCCACACACTTATAAATGGCAGTGATTTACTTACATATTTCAATTTATAAAATGGGTATACATTTTAGCTCTCCCCCAGCCCCATGTTATCAAGAGAAACATAGGAAATAAGTAATAAAAATCCTCACCACCTGTAAAAATAACACCCAGATGTTGCTGTGAACTTCTCTTGTGCAAAGACTATGCTGGAAGCTCAAATGTAAATGGAGGAATTTGGGTTGGAAATATCATCATATTCTTAACACTCTTAACATTTAAAATAGCACACTGGCTTACAAAGCAACTTTGTATGTGTTTTTGCACTGCTAACTCTAAACCTTATGGGATAGTTATTATCTTAATTCGGATTTTATTCATGGAAAAAACCAACCCCTCCAAGGAATTCCAAGGAAGTGACTGGGCTAACATGGAAGGCAAGTCAAGCCAACTGCCCTTCTTTAGACAATCTCCTTCAACCACAAGGAAAGTGGGATTCTAGATCTTTCCTCCTTTATATTCTCATACCTGGAGTGGTCAGTTGTCTAGGATACTTAGCAGGCAAGTTTCTCAGGAGGTGAGGGAGATACCAAAACATTATCTTGGAAAGATATTTGATACCAAATCTATGGGGATTGTACTGAAAAGAGAACTATGGCGTCAGGGTGAGCGCGAGGAACACACCTGCATCTGAGGCCTTGTCTCCCTGTGCTGGCAACTCAAACCGAATGAGTGTGGAGTCACCCTCGGGCACAGTGGTGCAGGTAGAGGTGATGTCACCTGCTGTCATCATCTCTAGCACAGTCTGAGGAGCTAGCGCATCCCACTGTCTCCTGCTCTCTGCAGCAGCCTCAGTGTCTGGAATGAGCAACTCTGGGTACGAGAAAATAACTCATTAATTTAAAAGCAGTCAAAGTGCATCTCATTGTACCAAACAGTTCTTAGGAAATGTGGAGGTAGTCCATCTGTGGGTACCCTCAAAAACAGAGAAATTACCACCTCATTCGAATATTGATTGTTATGGACTGAATGCTTGTGTCCAACCTCCCCCCAGATTCCTATGTTGAAACCTACAGCCCAACGTGCTGATATTGGGAGGTGGTGGGGGTCTTTGGGGGGTGATGAGGTCATGAGGGTGGAGCCCTGGGGAATGGGCTTAGTGCTCTTATAAAAGAGACCCCACAGAGTTCCTCACCCTTTCTGCTAAGTGAGGATGTAACAAAAACATGGCAGTGGGCCCTCACCAGACACCAAATCTGTTCAGCACTATGATCTTGGACTCTCCAGCTTCCAGAACTGTGAGAAATAAATGTTTGTTGTTTTTAAGCCACAGAGTTAATGGCATTTTGTTATAGTGGACCAAACGGACTAAGACTAGATCATAACTTGCAAGACTGAAATTATAAACAGGCTTAAACATTGGTTTTTATTATTAACATTTGAGTGACTAGGTAATATATCTAAATGTAAACAAATATTAGTGACAAGAATGGACACATTCTTTGAGGCACCTCTGAGCATTTTACTTCAGTCAGTTTCCATAGAAATGCAATCAATTGTTATCTTTTTTTTAAGATTTATTTATTTATTTGAGAGACAGAGTGAGAGTGGGGTGGGGGGGAGTGTTGGGGTGTGGTAGAGGGAGAGGGAGAGAGAAACCCAAACAGACTCTACGCTGAGCACAGGGCTGGATCTCACGACCCTGAGGTAAGACCTGAGCCAGGAAACTAAGAGTCGGCCACTCAACTGACTGTGCCCCCGAGGCACCCCCAGTTCTGTCATCTTAACTTGGAAAAGCTTTTTCTTTTTCATTATTACAATGTTTCATTATAGGAAATATGAAAATCAGGTAAGTAGAGGAAAATAAAAATCACCCATAATCTCACCATCTAGAGACTATTAAAATTTCAAAAATTTCCCCTTGAATATAGTGTCTTTGTTTTGAAACAAAAATGGGCCTCACACCATGCATAACTTTCATAACTTGCTCTTTTCAAAGAGCAACATTATCATACCCAGTTTATTAGGCACTGTTCTATACAACCATTGTAAAGCAAATACAGTATTCTGTGACACAAACGTATTACAATTTAATTCTTTATGGTGGGACGTTTAGTTTGCTAGCAATTTTTCACTATTATAAATAATACTATAATGAAATCATTGCAGCTAAATGTTTATGGACATTCATGATTATTCACCCTAGATAAACTATTGAAGGTGACAATTCTAGGAGCTAGTATTATTTGCTTCATCAAAGCTTTTCACTGCTAAAGTGGAATCTATTACTAATTTACCCATGATTGTGTTCCATGTATTTTGAATAGCTAGTTCTTCCCTATACAAAAAAAAAAAAAAAAAAACCCACAAACTCACCTATATTTTCTTTTATTTCTTTTTTTTTTTTTTTAGTTTTTATTTAAAATCCAATTAGTTAACATACAGTGTAATATTAGTTTCAGGTGTGCAATATAGTGATTCAGCAGTTACACACCCAGTGCTCATCACAAGTGCCCTCCTTAATCCCCATCACCTATTTCACCCATCCCCCACCCGCCTCCCCTCTGGTGACCATCAGTTTGTTCTCTATAGTTTCTTGGTTTGCCTCTCTCTCTCTCTTCTTGTCTAATTGCTCATTTGTTTTGTTTCTTAAGTTCCACATATGAGTGAAATCATATATTTGTCTTTCTCTGACTATTTTACGTAGCATTAATACTCTCTAGCTCCACCCATGTCATTGCAAATGGCAAGATTTTATTCTTTTTGATGGCTGATATTCCATTGTATATATAAATATACCACATCATTATCCATTCATCAGTCTATGGACACTTGGCTATTGTAGATAATGCTGTTATAAACATTGGGGTGCACGTCTCTCTTTGAATTAGTATTTTTGTATTCTTTGGGTAAATACCTAGTAGTACGATTGCTGGATCATAGGGTAGCTCTATTTTCAACTTCTTGAGGACCCTCCATACTGTTTTCCAGAGTGGCTGCACCAGTTTGTATTCCCAACAACAGTGCAAGAGGGTTTCCCTTTCTCCACATCTTTGCCAACACAAAGATTCTCATTGTTGTTGGTTTTAGCTATTCTGACAGGTGTGAGATGATATATCTCATTGTAGTTTTGATTTGCATTTCCTGATGATCAGTGATGATGAGCATCTTTTCATGTGTCTGTTAGCCATCTGTCTGTCTGCTTTGGAAAAATGTCTATTCATGTCTTCTGCTCATTTTTTTTTTGTTATTTTTTAAATTTTATTTTATTATGTTATGTTAGTCACCATACATCATTAGTTTTTGATGTGGTGATCCACGATTCATTGTTTTCGTATAACACCCAGTGCTCCATGGAGTACATACCTTGGGATTTCATCTTCTGCTCATTTTTTAATTGGCTTTTTCATTTTTGGGGTGTTGAGCTTTATAAGTTCTTTATATATTTTGGAAACGAACTCTTTATCAGATATGTCATTTGCAAATATCTTCTCCATTCCATAGGTTGCCTTTTGGTTTTGATTGTTCTTTTACTTCATTTTCTAACATATAACTTCATTTTTTATGTATAAACTCTTCGGTTTTTTAAAAATTTGTTTTGTTGTATCATTAAATAAGGTCTGATTTTACAGTTTTTCCCAAACTGTTAACCAGTTGGCCAGCAGCATTTATTTGATTGAGCCTTTCTGTCCCCCTGACTTGTGATGTAACTTTCAGCATACACTGAATTATTATCCATCCTAGGGTTTGTTTCTAAACTCTTTCTTCTTTTCACTGCTTTATCTGTTCTGGTGCTAGTATCATATTGTTTTATAATTTGCAGAATAACAGAATATATTTTGATACTTGAAAGTGGATGTGCCCCTTCACTGCTCTTCTTTTCTAAATTTGTCTGCTTAAGAGTATCTAAGATGCTCCAATCTGGCAAGATGTCTCCATCTTTTTGTGGCTTTGATGATTTTGATTGAAACTGGCAAAATTCCATATATTTATTTGGAAAGAATATTTCTAATATGTAACAATGTTATTTCTCCCCATTTATTCGAGTGACCTTTAAATACTTCAGCAAGGTTTTATAGTATTCTTCACATGCTCTGCATAATCCTTATGAAGTTTATTCCTAAATTATATATGTACACACACACACACACACATACAGTTGCTGCTGTTACTAGAGATGAGATCTGAAAACCAAATGACAAAAATACTTGTAATACATATTACAGGTAAAGCTTTAACCTAAAGAGTCTTATAAAGGAAAAAATAAATGCCATTTTCAGTGGATAAAGGGATGAAGGATAAGAGCACATAATTCACAAGAGACATATGGATGGTCAAAACCTATGGAAAAACTTTTCTAACCTGAATTATAGTTATAGGAATGCAGACAAGTTAAAAGACAATTTTCAGTATGAAAATGAAGGGCTCCTTGTGGTCAAATCCGTAGGCTGTTATTCAACCCACCTCACTTGGCCTCTCTCTTCTGGTTGATGCTGCCAACCCTGCACCCTCCTTCTAGAACTTTCTCTCCTCCTTTGGCTTTGCTCTCTCCGGATTTCCCCAAACCTTGTCTAAACATTGCTAAGGTCTGTCCTAAGCTTCGTTTCCTTCTCACACTAGTCCCTCTGCCTAGGTATTTTTGACCATCGCTAAGGTGATTGTGATAATAACTTGTGTATGCTAAGGAAACCCTGATTTGCCCCAGAGCTTCCTTCTCACACAGCTAGCATCTTCTAAGCATCTCCAGCTGAGGCTCATGAAGACCTGAACGCCAATATGGCCCAAATCTAGAGCATTATACTATGTCCGCTCACCTCCCTCTGCATGATGGGTGTGCCCGTTTGGTTGGTGACAGCTTCATCCATCTGAATTAGGACCCTCCTAAAACTAAGAGGGTTTTTGATCTCCTTCTTGTCCTCAACCCCCGCACTCAGTGGTTCGCACTTAGTGTCTATTCTCACCGCTCTGCTCTGGCCTGTGCCCCTGTCGTCTCCCACCTGGGCCGCTATCCTCCTGCCCGCAGTCCCACCGCCCCACGCCCTCCTGATGCCGCAGCCAGCATGATCTTTCTCCGTCACAGACAGGAGTTAATTCCCTTCGACTGAAGGTCATCACGCAGGATAAAGCCCCAGCTCCTGAGCATGCCAAGCTCTGTAGGAGTGGGTACCTTCCTGACTCTAGCCAGCCGGCGCTCGGACGATGATTAGTATGTGGGCTCAGAAAACATGTTTTGTGCCTCCTCTCTTCGGTTCACAACACCACGGTGATGTTGAGGGCGGACCCCGTTTTCATTCATCTTTGAGATGCCTACCAGCTGGCACAGTCTGTGCACATGGGAGGTTCTCCCTAATATGCCTGCTGAACCAAATAAAGGTGTTTCCAGATGGAAATGAGGTGAGATGTATTATTCCAGGAAGAAGAAACTGAGCCAAGCCAGGGTGTGCAAATGCTCACGCAGCTATGGGGGGGGGGGGTGCTCCAGGAGGCTGTCTGGATCCCATCATCAGTGGTAGGAAAGAGGGGTGCTGGGGCAGGAAAGGTGGGTCACAACAAGATCAGGCCCCACAGTGTTAAATAGAATACTATGTGGAATGGGCAATGGGGAATCCTGCAGGCATTACCCAAAAATATAACAAATCTCCAGCAACCACTTAGAGAATGAAGGGGGAGATACTAGAGAAAAGAAGAACACATAGGAGAATAAGGCAGTACAGCGAGAGGCAAAAAAAAGGGGGGGGGGCAAGTTAGAAATAGCATTGGTTAAGCACCTACCATGGGCCAGGTATTTATATATCAGATTTCACTTTAGTCCCCCCGGTAAGCCTGTGTGGCAAGTACTAGCATCCCCGTTCCTAGAGGAAGCCGAGATTCAGAGCACTGTAGTCGCTTGTGAAAGGTCACCCAATCAGAAGGCGGCAGTGCCAGCTGGGATCCAGACTCCCGTCTGCCTCCAAAGTCCCAGCACTCACTGCCTCACCCCACCGCTCCGAGATGACCGGGCCCGAAACCAGTGGCAGAGGGATCGGGGAGGAAAACTCCAGAGACATCTCAGGGGAGAGCCTTCCAGGCTGCTCACTGGGAAGGAAGAGCTCTGAAATTCAACTGGACAAATGGTGAGTCTGCGAGCCTAGTGGGACAAGTCCGTGGAACCTTCCAGCAGATAACGAGAAAAGTGGCTGGCGTGGGGGTGCTGGCTGGGGGCGGCTGCCCCAGGAGACGGCACGGGGCAAGAGCACACGGCCGGGTCTCAGACAGCAGAGCCGGGGCTCTGCCCAGCTCCGGGACAACGGTGTTGCCGGCCAGTGAGGCCGGGGACTGTGATGGACTGCTGATAAAACACCCCTTCTAGCTCTGGCTTTCAAGGGGCACGACACGTACCTGCTTCTGGGCAACAGAGTTCTTCAAATGCTTTGTCTGTATAATCTTCATACTCCGTCACACACTTATATTCCTTAAGCTTCATGCCATGCTCAAAGGTCAGAGTTTTATTTTGCACGTCCATTGCCTAAGGCAATGCCATGGTGTTTCATGACGAGCCATGTTTTAAGGAAAAAAAATATGTCAAAAAAATTTTTTGTGTTTCCAGTAATAACATTTCCCAAGGCATATGGTAAGTATTCAGTATACGTATATTAAACAAATAAATTATAGCATTTTAAAATTGGAACTCTGTTGGAACAAGATAGAAACAGGAGTGTGTTTCTTTCTTCTCCTTGTCAACAGTGACAAGCACTGATCATATGGCAACTTGATTTTTTTTTTTAAGATTTTATTTATTTATTCATGAGAGACAGAGACAGGCAGAGGCAGAGGGAGAAGCAGGGTCCCTGCGGAGCAGGGAGCCCGATGCAGGACTCGATCCCAGGACGCTGGGATCATGACCTGAGCCGAAGGCAGACGCTTAACCGACTGAGCCACCCAGGCATCCCGGCAACTTGATTTTATCCAGATTTGCTGCCTTCGATATTATTCTCCTGAGGTTCCAATCTACAGAACTCTCAAGGTTATCTCGTCCACGCCCTGCTTTAGGTGCACAATGTTCCCAAAACGGTCCCTAAAACTACTCCTAACACCCCATAATCAATACTAAAATGATCACTCTGTTTCAAGCACATCAAAACATCGAGTAACGAAGGGTGAACACCGTGGCAGATAAAACTTTTTCACTCCATCCCTTTATACTACCAGGCCACCCTCAGCACCTGACTTGACAGGAGCACTGTGGATGTACCACTCCAACCCAGAAACGGGCCCCCTCTGATCCTCCTAGGTCTGGGACACTAAGATACCTAATGCTTAAAGAGGTGAGAGTTAACAGTCACCACTCTAAGAAGTCTCTATGTGACAAAATGGTAGGAAAAATCTCAAAGGAAAGGAGAGCACAAAGGATTTTTAGGGCTGTGAAACTATTCTGTGTGGTACCATAATGATGGATATGGATTGTTACGTCAAAACCCATAGAATGTACACCACCAAGAGTGAACCCTAATGTAAACTGTGGATTTGGTTGATTATGATGTGTCTATGTGAGTGTATCAGTTGTAACAAATGTTCCACCCCAGTGCGGGGGAGGCTGTGCACGTGAGGGGACCAGGAATAGATGGGAAATCTCTGTACCTTCTGCTCATTTTTGCCATGAACTCAAAACTGCTCTAAAACATAAAGTCTATTCAAAACAAAAAATCTGAAAGAAATGATAACATTAAACATTTTTCAGCTAATGAAGATGAAAGAAAGAAATTGAGTATCAGATGTGATACAGAACTTATATGTCCACACACATAACTTTTGGTCATTTAAAAGGCAAAGTTAGAGAAGGTGAAATGGAAACACAAATCAGTTGATTTTGATATTTGTTAGCAGGTCTGATAAAAAGTGGGATTAAAAAAGATGTTGAATACAAGTAATAAAATGAGGTTTGAGTTTACTGTATTTGTGCATTTATCACTGTGTCAATGAGAGCCTGAGTGCATAATTGAGATTCACCCAAAGACCTGCACAAAGTTACCGATAACTAATTAAGACCTAAAATAAATGTGCATGGTTTCAGGGTATCTGCTCAATTTTTTAGGTAAGTATATTAGTTGCTGACTATAATTAAGTATCCTATTTTAATTTGGCAATGACAAGAAAGTTAATATTATGAGGAAAATAATTCCTTTATAAGAGAAAAATAAATTAAATTGGAATAATCCATCTAAGGGAATAATCTCAATGAAAAAAGAATGGGAGGATAAAAAGCATTTTGGAAGACTCGTTTGAACACCAGAGATCCTTCTAGGAAGATTTAAGAAAATTCTTCCTATGACCTATGGAAAAATTTCATTAAATATGCTATTAAGACGCTCATTTTTCTTTTAACTGTTAATGGAAATAAATATTTAATGGCATACCTCTTCCTCTTGGAGGGTGTTTTCATCAGAAATACATTGGTTTAAACTAATTTCAAACTTCACCCCTCTCTAGAAGAAAGGAAGGAAAATAATGTTAGTTTAGCAATCCAATAAAAATGTTAAAATCACAACTCCTATTTGACATTACAGATACTTAAAACCATTCGTCAAACATTGCAAAATTAGGCAAGTCCCTAAAATAGTAGGCGGGGATATCCTGTAGGCAACCCAGATTGCAAGGTGGGGACCCCCAGCGAGCTGTTTAATATGACACCGCAAGACAAAATGTTTATTACCTTAGCTTTACAGTTTTGTTCTAGAATTTTACTTTCCTTTATGTTCTGAACTCTAATTTGTTTCAAGTCTCTTTCAATGTCCTGCAAGTTTAGAGAAAAATTAATATCTAGCATTTAATATTGATCAAACAATTATAGTTTCACAATCCCTGAATTCGCAGCATGGTCTGTTTATATTATTTGACTTCTGGATTGAATCCCATGATTAATTTGAGAATAAAAACATGCCTTTGTAAAGGAAAGTTAATAATAATTCACTAAAAACTCACTACAAACTTGGACACAGCACCCATTAACTTGAAATATTAATACACTGAACAGTGGCCTTGCAGTGGGGAAAATTCCATAATATGACAGTGCTTGTCACTCTGGTCCAGTACAATCTAATCTAATTCAAGAATGTTTTGAAGATTTTACTTGTTTATTTGAGGGAGAGAGAGAGAGTGAACTCGAAGCAGAGAGGGGCAGAGGGAAGAGCAGACCCCCCACTGAGCAGGGACCCTACGATCATGACCTGAGTCGAAGGCAGATGCTTAACCAACTGAGCCACCCAGGAGTCTCCCCGTTCTGCTTTTTTTTTTAAGATTTTATTTATGTAAGAATGCAATTTTGGCTACAGGATCCCTCCCTTAGGAGGTTTATGATGGTAATCAGGAAAACAAGAAAACTGCACTGCTCATGATAGTAAAAAGGAAGGAGAGGGCTCAAAAAATTGACAGGCAATTTCAGAGAAGAGATGGCTGAAAGTTGATGGCAAAAGGGCCAAAGGAGCTGTAAGTTCTGAGCTTTTTCAGGGTCCGGTCCTGGGCCCTCGGCCCCTCTCTTCCTCAGTGGATATAAGCACCACCTTTATGCAAGGACTCTGAAGTGTGTATCTCCAGGTTTGCTCTTTCCTCCCCTCTGAGCTACAGGCTCACATACTCCGCGGCTTACTTAGTATCATCTTTACTTTGACATTCGTTCCACAAATTCATGCTGAGCACCCACCATGGGCCAGACACTGTCCTGCACAATGGGTTAATGCAGTGAATGTGACCAAAGGTCCCTGCTGACACGGAACTTACATTTTACTGGAATAAAATAGGTAATCCATGAGGTAAATTAACAACCTAACTTCAGAAAGTACTAAGTGCTGAAAGGAAATGAAGTAGGGTAACAGCAGAGAAGATGAGCAGGGGATGAGAGTAACGCAGGAACAGCCTATCTCGGCATTTGGCATAAACCCTGGAAAGATGTTGCACCGTGCGTGTATGAAGGTCTGGGGAAAGCATGATCTGTGCTGGGGGAGCAGTGAAATCAGCACTGTGAAGGAGGTATGGAAGCCCTCAGGTTTTCTCAAACTCAACTGATGTCCGAAGTGGTACTCTTGATTGCCCCCCACCACAGGCTTGCTCCCCACTCTCCCCAGGCTTTAGTAAATGGTACCACCCCTTTGTAGCCAGAAGCACATGGGTCTCCACGGTGTGTGTGTGTGCACGTGTGTGTTTTAATGCTTTCTTCTCTCCACCATTTTACACGAGGTCGCTATCATCTCTCCCTTAGAATTAATTGCTGCCCCGTCTGTAGGTACTTCACATACAGGATGTGTTGGTTTGACTCACTATTACCTGTTTGCCCTGCACCCCTGGGAAGGGTGTTTTTCTGCCTTGCAATATCATGAACTCTGAAACAGGACTGTGGCTTTTGTATCTTACTTTCTTTGTGAAGTTGGCTGTCTGATTGGATTGTGTAGTCTCGTCGTCTCAATTGTAGAAGTGTCCTATTTCTCTATTTTCCTTAAAATACAACCATCTTAGACTCCTGAGCCCCATCTCCCCTACTCAGTCCACTTTAGAGCTCCCCGGCATCACGTCATGGAAGGTCCCAGGGTCTTTCACAAGGCAAAACACTTTCGGTCTTCACCCAGCATGGGTCCCCCTCACATGCCCTTAACCAAGCCCTCATGGCACCTTGAAGATAAAGGTGAAAGACCTCCCAGAAGGGAAAAAAAAAACTCCTTGAGAGCCATTTGATAATTCATCTCTGCCCAGTTCCCTCCTCCCACCAAAAACTCAAGGTTGACGTAGAAAGACGTTAACCGGGCGCCTGGGTGGCTCAGTCGTTAAGCGTCTGCCTTCGGCTCAGGTCATGATCCCAGGGTCCTGAGATCGAGTCCCACATCGGGCTCCCTGCTCTGCGGGAAGCCTGCTTCTCCCTCTCCCACTCCCCTGGCTTGTGTTCCTGCTCTCGCTATGTCTCTCTCTGTCAAAAAAATAAATAAAATCTTTAAAAAAAAAAAAAAAAAAGATGTTAACCATCAGATTTCTGACCCATGTGTCTGAGACCCTGACTTGAACACCATCCAGAACGCTGAACTCTCAAACAGGCACGAGAGCAGGTCTCAAACTGGGCTGCACCCTGAACCACCCAGCCAGCTGCTGCAAACGGGATGCCTGGGCCCCACCCCAGGCCATTTGGGGTAGAGCCCAGGCCTCTGAGTTTTTAAGAACTTTCGCCCATGGTCCCCCGCACGGTGAGGGCTGAGAACGTCCAGGCTAGAGCCAGCTTGCTGAGAAACCCATTATCATCACATAATCATCACCTGCACAGGCGCTTCTTCCTTGGGGGCCTCTTGGTGGACGGGCAGGTCGCTTTTCTTCACTAAATAGGTTTTATGACTTATTTTTGAGTCCTCCTAAAAGTACAAATTATACACAGTCAATCGGATTGGTTCTGAGTGGGTTCTGAAGTCCACAGTGTGGACCGTGGCCAGTTCTGAGTGGGATTTCTAGTGAGGAAACACTCTCCTCCCGCTGCCAAGGCGCCATCAGTGGAAATGGCTGGAACAGTGCCTTCCTTCCAGCTCCTTTCCCCTGTGGCTGCCCTCGGCATGCCCCACGTGCAGCTTTCATGGTCTCTCTAGAAAAGTCTGCTATCCATCCTTCCTGGACTCCAGTTTCCCATCACAGACATGCCTTAAAAAACAAGGCTCCTCACCATTAACCAATCCCCTGCTCTAGAGAGAACTGTCTCCCACCTTCCCCGCTCCAGGGCCTCCAGTCCTGTGTGGACCTCTGCGTGGTTCCTGAAGAATGCCTTCCCCCTCAGCTCTCCCTCTGCTAACTCTGCTCCTCTTCTCAGACCAGATTAGACCATGAAAACGCTCACCTGGCTCATCCTTACTCCTGTGCCCTTACAGAGCTTAACTATGTTCAGTCTTACTCAATCATTGCTCATACATGTGTGTCGTATCTTTCCAACTCTCTGTGAGTATAAGTGCATATGTTAGAAAGAGTAGAGGTTTCAGAATCAGATGTTTAGTCCCACCTCGTAATATCAAAGTGACTTTGGATGAATTATTTACCTTTCCTATCATGGGGAGTAAGATGAGATAAAGTATGTGAGCACTCTAGTTCGGAGCCCGAGTACGTACAGCTGAATTGTACGCTATGCTCCCTTCACCCATATTAATTCATCTATGTGCCCTGAGGGGTGGGGAAGAGGGAGAAAGAAATCAAGTCCAGCGGTGTGGGTAATTCCACACCATGCCTGTGAGCTGGGGGCCAGCCGTGTCCTCGGCAGGCCTCAGAACCACAGGCCTCTTATAGGAGGAGCATTCCAGGGCATGAGGGTGGTGCTATGGTTAGACATTTGTGTGTTTTTCATGCAACATGGTCTCCAGACCCAGGCCAGCTGTCTCAGCTGGAGCTCTACTGAAAAAGCAGTGATCTGAGAGATGGAAGATGAGTTTCCAATGTGGTGCCTTTAAGGGATTTTCAAGAATCAACTTTTCAAGCCAACTGCACTCAAATGTGGCCTTATCCAGACTTTTCGAACCTTACCCCTGCATATGAGGCTACTCCAATCTAGCTGAATTCAATAAATGCTCATCCTTTTCCCTCCCTTATGGGCATGGACTTACTTTCTGCATCTAATCTAGTTCTGGTGTAAAGTAGCCGCTCTGTCAATAAGTATTGACTGATTCACAAGGAAGACAATGAATATTTTTAATAATAGCCATTCCTACGGAGAGTCTCAGATGTCCTCACCAGCATGGGTAGTCTCAAGTAAACAATAATAAAAGCTTCAGTTAAACGTTGGCTTTCCTATTAAAAGTTTGCATGATAACATTTTATCTTTTCTATGAGGAGATCCTTACTTTTGAAACCTGCTCAACTTAGATCTAAATCAGTAGAACCATGTTTCCTTTAGGAGAAAAATGTGTTCACCTCCAGTTCACTCCCCATCTTCTTCTTAATTTCCTTCATGTCGTTGTGGTACTGTTGGCGAATTTCCTCTAACTGCTTCCAATATTCCTGGAAGACAATCCCAATTTAAAAATGTTAAATGCTGGTGAACAATTGAACAGAGTAATCTCTACACAGCCTATGAATTTAAAGAATGTGTGATCAACAGTAAGAATTAGAAAACCCAGTGTTCCTAGAGATGATAATCTGCCTTACGTTTCAGCTGGGCTACTTCCCTCCCTATGAATGAGAGGGGGGCTTTGGGCGATCTCACTTTTATATATAACCCAGAATGTGTCAGTGACATACAATTACTTTATATACCCCACTTTTATGGGTTTAATTTTGTTCCCCCCCTAAAAAAGATATGTTGGAATCCTAACCCTCAGTACCTCAGAACGTGACCTTGTTTGGAGATAGTGTCATTGCAAATGTAGCTAGTTGAGCTAAGATGTGGTCGGTCCTACTGGAGTGGAATGGGGCCCTAATCCAACACCACGGGTGTAAGAAGCCAGCCACGTGAAGGCAGAGACACGCAGAGAGAAGGCCACGTGATGACAAAGAGTGGAGTCATGCAGCCGCGAGCTAAGGAATGTCAAAGATTGGCAAGAGGCAAATGAGTCCCCTCTGGGTTTCAGAGGGAACATGGCCGTGCTGACACCTTCATTTTGGACTTCTGGCCCCCAGAACTTGGAGACAATACATTTCTGGTGTTTTAAACCACCCAGTCTGTTATACTTTGTTAAGGCAGCCCAAGGACACGAATACAAATTTCAGAAATGGTAATGGTGGACAATTACATTATCAATCTGAGGTCAAAAGCCTTATGAACTTCACTCTCCTGCATTCTCTGAGGAGGTGAAATCCAAATCTCTGATCCCCTGAAACTCCCAGCAGGGAGCTTCACATGAGTGTGTCCAAGGCTTGTGCAAGAGGCCTCTCCCTAAGGCGTACTGCAGATGCTGAAAGTAATATCCTATGCAGCACAAAGACAAGGTGCAGGGACACTGGTAGATCCGGAATCAGACTGTTTCTAACCTGGTCCTTCATTTCGTTTCTCCTGATCTGCAGCTCCTGGAATCGAGACTCTTCTCTGTTGCTTCTTGGCTTTTGTCTCCAGTTGTGATTTGGCTCAGCAGAAGATGGACGAAGACCCTATCAATTGAATGAAATGATTTATAAAGCATACTTGCATTTTAGAAATGTCTTCTCATTTGACCTTGGATCTTTTTCTTTAAACAAGAATTATATCGTGAATCAAATTCACTGCTGGGGGCGGGCAGTAGAATTTTCTTAGTTTCAGTATGATACATTTAAAAAGCAAAGAAAATTAATAAAACCATTTGTGTTGTTTATCATAAGCAATCAATATTTTACGCTACCATGGGAGACACCTCGATCCATTTTCTGAACAGTTCAACTATAATTGTGAAATTGAAGTTCTATCAAAGTTGAGCCACCCTGGGGCATCAGGTTAAGTAGGAGAATAGAACTAGAGCTTTTGAGCAGCCCAAAATAAGAGTGACAGAAATAGGATGCACATCCAGCCTCCTTTAGCCCCAGAACTCTGACACTATACTTAAAGGTTAGTTTTCATTTCAAATAAAATACAATAGTCACCTTTAGAAAAGTGTATTGAATGCTCGGGGAACCTGGATGGCTCAGTCGGTTAAGCGGCTGCCTTCGGCTCAGGTCATGATCCCAGAGTCCCGGAATCGAGCCCCACATCGGGCTCCTTGCTCAGTGGGGAGTCTGCTTCTCCCTCTGCCCTTTGCCCTACTTGAGCTCTCTCGCTTTTGCTCTCTCAAATAAATAAATAAAATCTTTTAAAAAATGTATAGAAGTCTAATAAGTTAGAATCAAAGAACTATAGCACTGAAGGGGACCTTGAAGCTCATCCACTCTCAAACTGTCATTTACAAAAAGGAAACTGAGGCTCAGAGAGGTCATATGACCTGAGTAAGGTCACATAGCAAGTGATAGAGCCAGGGAAGAAACCAGACTTCCCAGACCGTGATTCAGGCACATTTCCATTATTCTTCTTAAGCTATTAAAAACTGGAGAAGGTGAAGGGTAGTCCTCATCCTCTATGTGGAATGCACTTTGATTTAAGGACCCATGAATATCTGTGAGCAGGAAATTCCTGATTGCCCTTAGTAATTGGAATTTTACTTACCAACTGCTTTTCCACTTTCAACTTATATTGTTGAGCTTCAAATTTCCTCTGAAGGTATTCAGCAGGCCTTAGAAAATAAAAATGTTCAGCTTGAGTAGGAATTTTCACTAGTCTTAGGCACAATTTTAAGGAGTGGATTTTATTTATTTATTAGATTTCTTAATGAGATTCACAGTTTACCTGTGGCTTGAAAGTTCTGAATTCAAGAAGTAGTTTGAAGTTATAGAATGCATACTTGGGAATCAGGAAGAAAGGAAGCAAAGAGAACTGTACCAATTGGTGATACAGGAGAGGATCAAACAGAAAAATATTCCGATGCAGTGATATTTCTTCAGGATAGGATCAGTCCATCCATGGTCTACATACAATGTGTTGGAGGGAAAAAGAAAAACCCTTTCCAGAATCTTGTCATGCTTTGGACAGGTATCTGATCAATAGCCTCGACACCCCCGTTGCTTGTCCATTTCCTGCACGATGCTCTGAGCTCCTTGAGAACAAGATGGTGTCGCATTCCTTTACCTCTATTCCTCACACTGGCACACAAATGAAAGATCCCAAGAAAATAAATGCTAAATGAAAGGTATTTCCTTTTCAATATGTCTCAAATGATAATTTGATTACAATTCAATTATTATGGATTAATATTAATAACTTCTTTGGAAAATGATACATATATAACTATTTTCATCCTCCTGGATGGTGGAATTTACTAGAAGGAAGGAAAAATTCAGGAGTATGAATTTCTGCTCATGGTTCAATGGATAAGAAGATAAGCTACATTAGATTTGAGATGAAACAGGGTCAATGGAACTGTGAATTAAGTATTCAAGATGGAAAGTTTGGAAGTTCTTCTTGGATTATTTGTTTTAGGAGAATTGGAAGGGCTTCAGAATAAATGTTGATATATCAAGATTATTTTCAGAGGACCAAAGTTTAAGTTAGACTCTAACATTACCATTGACCTGGTGATGGACTGTGGCTTTCTTTCTGATTATAATTCTTCTCAACTCCAGAATCTTTTTGAGGAACACAGTGGTAACTTGGTACGTGCACTCTCTTCCTCAACACATCAAGTTGGGCATAATAATAGTCATAATGTCCACGCATTGCAGCAAGTTTGGGCCTTTCTACCATTTTTATCTGAAGGATCAAAAAGAAGAGGAATGACTTTAAAGACACATAATTAAAATCCATAAAAACTGACAGTTTGATAGTGACCACAGCTAAAACAAGGCACTGTAAGTATATTTTTGCTGTTTTTGCTCTAGACTCATTTTTTAGAGTAAAATAATCTTAGGATCCCCAAATCCTAGAACTGGAAAGTATTTTAGAAGTCTAAGTCCTACTGTAGCACAGTAGTTTATAATTTCACTAAGGTGTGAAGAGGAATCCTGCATACTTAATGGTTGGTCTACCAAAAATGCTTAGCTAGGGACTTTGCCTACCCAACCCAAGCTCTGAAACTAAACTCACTATTATTATTTTCTATTTTTATAAACTTCTTTACATCTTGCTGTACTTTTAAAAATCTTGCCTTCTTTAAAAAATACAATTCTTCAATTAAAAGGCAATAGCCATTTTATCATTTATATACCAGAAGCATTCCACTAGCATGGACTAAGAGGTTCAACACTCTGCTGACGTGGATTCAGACAACTAAGCCTAAAAATCCCTAGGAAAAAACCATTGACTATATAATAAAAATTTCTCAATTATATATACCATGTTAGAATTAAGGGAATGAAATGCACCATGTTTTCTGCTGCCATACAACTCACTTATTCTATATGGAAAAACCTTATTTAAAGAAATCGAAAGGTTTTGAGTTGTAAAAGGAAAACTAAAACTAGTACATAGAATACTTATAAGGAAATACAACTGGAAGTTGTTCAATGAAGTACCACTTTAATGCTCATTATGGAATGATTTTGCTCATAAGCACAAAGCTAGTATTTTCCAAAGTAACACGCTTGTACCCTAGGAACATGTGCAAGTAGGTCTGTAGGACATGCCACCTGCTAACAAATCAGAGAAAGAGTTTAGTATGACTTACAGATACAGGCTTCTGAGCTCCAGCTGGTGGGATCCATTCATTTCTATACAATATCTCCTTCCTTTTAATTGGCTCTGATGGCCTTGATCTTGGTAGGCACTTTCCCTGGAATCTCGCTTTCTGTATCGTAGAATCTTATTTAACCAAAATAAAACAACTTCAGTTTCTTTAAAATGTCCACATCTTAACATGGATGCTTGTGAGAGTGCGAACATAAGGGACCTTTCACGACACAGGAAGTTCGCTTTATCCCGAGATATTTAGACCCAGTAAGAGAAGTCCCCGTGGAAAACTAGTCTGCGTTGTCTTTTAATGGAGAAAACCATTTTATCCAGGGTTCCTTCACATATTTCTAGTATATATAACACTACCTTTAAAAAATTAGGGATTAACGCTAACATTTACAGAGAAAGGATGCATAGGATAATGGCCCAAGTAATTACATGTAGTGATCATCGCGTGGGTTATAGACCACACCACTCACACCACACTGTTGGGTGAAATGTGTGAGCAGGTTTTTTTTTTTTGAGAGAAAGCAGAAAGGGAGGGGCAGAGGGAGAGGGAGAGAGAGAATCTTAAGTAGACTCCCTGCTGAGTGCAGAGCCCCATGCAGGGCTTCATCTCAGGACACACGTATATGAGACACACATAAGAAATGTTTTTTGATCACGTGGTCAAATCGTTCTTACCTTGCACCCCCTTCCCTGCAGGCTGAGAAGCCAACGGTCTTGCTTTATGTGTGAGGCTGTGACTGAAGTCCTCCCGAATGACCTAAGACGGAACACATGTGTCAAGGACTTGCTAACCAAAATCTCTGTCAAAATCCACATGGAATCACCTCAAAGCTCACCTCGGGAGTCAAGTATTTGGCAATAAGATTCTCTAAAAAGGGCCTTTTCAAAATGGAATTAATAGACGGCCGATCTCGGGGAGATACTTCAAAGAGCTGAGATATCAAGGCCTGCAGGTCACGGGAGAACCTTGGTGATATCGGGGCAAAATGCGCTTGACAAATCCTCAGAACCAGCTGGTGTATGTTGTTACCCTCAAACTGAAAGGACAAGGAATGATGATACTAAATCAGTGAAAACATTGAATAGTAGCTTGTAAAGAAGTATCAAGAAACAAAACAGGTGCTCACCACAAGGGCTGCCACACTTGGGGCCGGGGCCCTCTGCCTGTCACCCTCAGATTTTTGCACCCCAGGACTGGGGGGGGCTGGTAATGACCACCCTTCCCTGGGCCAGCTGAGGGACCCTTGTGGAAGCAGCCCTTTTGCTTTTGCTCAAGCTGGACTTTTTAAATAAAAAAAGTGGAATTTGAATCTCAAAACAAAACAAAGCAAAACCAAAAAACAATGTTTTAAAGCTTCAGTTAGAAGTATTATGGTCCACCTTAAATGGTTTTCATCAACTAATATTTCATGAGTAGATATTATAGGCAGTTACACAATGTGATGCCATGTTATATAAAACAAGGTTTTTTTAGTTTTAGTTTTTTCTTATCAAAATAATACTTATTCATTATAAAAAACTGGAAGATAGAGGAAGCTACAAACAGGGCAAATACATATAATTTTGTCAGCCAGGGGTATATTTCCTTCTAGTCTTTTTAAAAATAATGTTTACTGGGGCGCCTGGCTGGCTCAGTGGGTAGAGCATGCAACGCTTGATCTTGGGGTTGTGAGTTCAAGCCCCACATTGGACATAGAGCTTACATTAAAAAAAAAAAAAAAAAAAAGTAGGGACGCCTGGGTGGCTCAGTCATTAAGCGTCTGCCTTCGGCTCAGGTCATGATCCCAGGGTCCTGGGATCGAGCCCCACGTTGGGCTCCCTGCTCAGGGGAGAGCCTGCTTCTCCCTCTCCCACTCCCCCTGCTTGTGTTCCCTCTCTCGCTGTGTCTCTCTGTCAAATAAATAAATAAAATCTTTAAAAAAAATAAAAATAAAAAAAATAAAAAATAAAAAAAGTAAAATAATGTTTACTTTACAGAGTTGAGGTCATAATAATATGGAACTTTGCACCTTGCTTTCTAAATTAACATAGCATAAACATTTCCTCAAAAATTCTTCATAAACCAGAAAATCTTCCATTGTATGAGGCCATGGGTTTACACATAAGCATAACGCTCAGCGGCACTGTGTGGCAGTGAAGATCAGGTTTGGTCAGGCACTTACTAGCTGTCTGACCTTTGACAATAATAATAATTAATAATAATAATAATAATAATAATAATAACAGCTGTGTAGAAAAGAGTTCTTAAACTCTTTAAGAGTGCTCTTCTTAGAAAAGCCTGTTTATCATATTGGCCCTTGGCTGGCATCTGGGAACTCACATTTCTGGAGAGTTCCCACCACTCCCTAAATGTTCAGAGTGGCTCTCTTTACCTACATTGGTGGCGCAAACAATATGGTTTATGCTGAACACCTGCTTTCTTCCTAGGAGTCTGGAAGCTTGGTACCTGCCAGGCATAGGATGCCCACATGACCAGTCCCACATCCAAACCCTGAGCACTGGGTCTCTAAGGAGCTTCCCTGGTTGATAACATTTCACACGTGCTGTCACTACTTGTTGCTGGAGAAATTAGCATGATTCCTGCATGGACAAGTCTTAGAAGCTTGTGCCTGGTTTCCTACGGACATCACCCCACGCACCTTTTCCCTTTGCTGATTATATATTCACGCACAATTTATTTTTAATGAAAATATGCTACATATACTATTCTGTAACTTGGGTTTTTTACTTTACAAGTTGCACATCTTTCCATGTCGATATATATGGATCAATCGTTCATCTTAATAGCTTGTCCATGTAATTTTTAACAACCTAATAACTCCAAACATTAACCTTTTTCCTCTCAAAAGTTAATTTCACTTTTATAGTTTCAATAATTCAAGATTAATCTGATGATTAACATACTTACAGGATGCTTGAGTGTGCAAAGCTCATACAAGACACAGCCAAGAGACCAAATATCCCTAGGAAAGATAAGAGTTCACATGCCAAGAAATATCCATAATTCTCAATTAAAGCCTTTATCCTTACAGTGCCTTATATTTGTGTATCTTGACAATTTTATATTTTATATTTTTATTTATATTTTTTACAAATGCTTTCAGATACATTTTCAATTCTTAGTCCTACTAAGGTGAGAGGTCAAATCGAAACAGTGCATAGTTTGTCAGAATCAGAGCAGAGCAAAGGTATGCCAACTTTGCTACAATCTGAGGGCTCAGTATTTACCTCAGCTTCATGTGCTCAGAGGAAATATGTGTCTATATGGAATTCTGAGCAATCTGGAGGAAGCTGGCAGGACTCAAACACAGACTGGTTTTGATTCAAAGGGTAAAATTTGGTTGATTAGGAAGGTATATTCTACTCAAGGCTACTGACAGAACCAAAGTTCTACTAAGTGATGACATAGTATCTGGCCCTCAATAAACTTGAAAATTGTGCTTGCAATAGATGACTAGAGACTTGCTCTTTAGTACTTAGCATTTATATGTGATTAGTTTAGTATGGAGTTACCTTACAGAAAAAGCATCATTAAATCTAAACACCAAAGAAAATACAGTGAGAAGTGAAACACAGTCAAAACAAGGATTTGGTAAATCGAGGAAAATGGTTCCACTGTTTAGCAACACTTCCTCTGAGTGTGCCCAGGAGGAGCAGAGGGAGACATCCTGAAGGCTTGAGGAAATGAAGAGTGATTACAGAATAGGTAGGAAACAACTTCCAACTGCTTTCTAGTGTTTTTCTAAGAGTTCCTAGGCTCACGGACCACTTCCCACGACCACACAGAATTTTATCTTCACCAGGTCTTCCCTGGGCCCACATCCTCCCCTGTTCCAGAGTGCCCCCTATAGCCAGCCAATGTGGTCCCGCAGAGAGTGCAACCACCCCCGGCTGGGTGGAACCTTTTCTGAGTCTTCTAGGGCCCTGCCCTGCGTGTGGTGGGGGCTGCGTTGAACCAGGGACCTGTTTCCTGCTCTACAGCAGCTACCCAGCTGATTATTGCTAAGATCTTCCAATTATCGAAAGCACCAAATCAGCGTATTTAAATGTTGACTCCAATTTTTTACAAAGCAGTACAAAACAATGCTGCTGACCCAGGGTGCTTCTCTGGACAGTCTCACCTTCTACCCAGGCTCCACTAGCCGCATTCCTGCTCAACTGGAGGCCAAATCCCTACTTGGTATTACAGGCTATTCAAAACAAACAAACAAACAAACAAAAAAAACAACAAACCTGTTTTTCTATTATGCAGAGAAGTATCTATTATTCTTTCTAGAAATCTCTACCATCTGGGCTCTGCCCTCCACTTATCTCTTGCAAAGTCAAACAGCCAAATATCCCTTGAGTATTTTCCAAAACAAAGGGAAAATTAACTCCCTGAAGGAACTCAGTCTTCCTGCTAAACCAACTAGTTCCTCTGGCAGCCGACTTTGAAAAGTGAATTTTTTTTCTGCTTCTCCTTACCTGGAAGTAAAAACTACCTCATGTTCACCTTTTACTCTTGTGCATATTAGTATTATTCTGCCAGGGTAGGCTCCGGTATCCCACACACAAAACTAGTTGGGTTTTAAAGCTGGAAATACCTTAACAACTGCCTTGCCAACACTCTCTTTGTTACAGCTAGGGAAACTGAGGCCCACAGTGGTCAACCAGCAGGGTCGAGATGGCGGCAGGGCCAAGACTAGGGCTCCTCGCTCCTAACCCAGCACCCCCGCTGCCTTCTCTCTGACCCAGCCACAACACTTCCCTGTGTGAGGCTAAACGGTGTTCGGAAGGTATGACAATCAAACAGATGCACGTCACAGAGACTGAAATTTCCAGTGCTAGTCTTTTTATCACTTGTATCTTCAAATGAAATGTCTTTCTTCTAAATACGTTCTAAAGCTTCAGGGGACACTGAAGTGGTTGGAGACAGTCGCTGCGATCCCCTTTTCACACGTGAAGAAAATACGAAATTATGAAAGTACCATGAGAAAGAGAGAATCCACTCGCTTTACTGAGACTTTCACACCAGTTGTCAGCAACTCACGTTTTGTTGTTGTAGGGTTTATTCTGACAGATCTCTGGGGACAGGTAGTATGGTGTTCCAACACAAGTTCTAGCAAGTTCCATGGAACTAGGAAGTTATGTTAGATAATAAAATAATATGGTTTGTTACTGGAGTAAGAAAAGGCTTAAGACACGGACATGCAAGAAGAAAGTATAAAAATGGATAACACAAAATTTGATGAATGTACATCTTAAAATAAAGCCAACACATTACATATTAATAACAGAGTAATAAAATAAGTTGATTTTTAAACTTATAATTCACCAGCCCAAAATCTACACGTAAAAAATATTTATGGCTAAAGGCATCACAAAGAAATACAATTGTTACATTACAAAACTCTTAGATGTGGAAAGAGTTCCCCCTTTCCAATTACCAAAGTAATGCAGTCCCATGACTTAAAATTTGGAAAATATGGAAGTGAACAAAGAAGAAAAAAATTACCCAGAATCTTACTAGCCCGAAACAGCTATTATTAAAATTTGGATATATTTCCTTCTTGTCTTTTTTTCATGCATATTTTTCATATAGGTGTGATCACAGAGTATTTAAAATTCAGAATTCCAGGGGCGCCTGGGTGGCTCAGTTGGTTAAGCGACTGCCTTCGGCTCAGGTCATGATCCTGGAGTCCCGGGATCGAGTCCCACATCGGGCTCCCTGCTCGGCGGGGAGTCTACTTCTCCCTCTGACCCTCCCCCCCCTCATGCTCTCTCTCTCATTCTCTCTCTCTCTCTCAAATAAATAAAATCTTTAAAAAAAATAAAATAAAATTCAGAATTCCATTTTTGTCTTAATATAACAAAGTTTGTTCTCACATTATCAAGAAGTCTTCAAAATCATCAATGTGAGTGGCTACATAATACTCAGGTACATGCTTGTGCCAAGCTTTATAAAATTTACCCATGTCCCAATTATTAGGCATTTAAATTATTCCATATATCAAACTATTCCTTTAGAATAGAACATTAAAAAAATCTCTTGACGTTTACTTCCACCAAATTGTCTTCCAAAACAGTTGCATCAATATATCCCCCAGAGCATGTGTGAATTTGCCTGTTTCACTCAATTCTCACTAGCTTTATGCATATTCAGTCACATCTCATTTGATAACCTTATATCACACTATACATTTCTATTATACCAAGATTTATCTTGGAAATTTTAATCTTAGGCAAAATATCATCTGAATGAATGATGCATTTATAGAAATAGTTCTCTAAAACTATCTGGAAACCAAACTTTTAATATCTTAATTCATGATACCTAAAAATACATATTTTGGCTGTTATGAATCAAAGAAAAATGATTTTTAAAAGTACTTACTTGTTCAGAACTCTTGCTATACCAAAGTCCCCAAGCTTTGCAACCATTCCGTTCTTGCTAAGAAAAATGTTCTATAAATGGAGAAAATGCTATGTTGTTGGAGATATTTCAAGAAAACAAAAGATCAGTTCTGTCTTGATCTTCTCTCTGAGCTGTTACCTGCGCTTTTATGTCTCTGTGTAAGATCTTCCTGTCATGAATATATTTTAGTCCTAGAGAAATCTGTACAAACCAACTCAGAATCTGTGGAGGGAACATAAAACAAAGCCAGTCAGTAGTCTGGTGGTCATTGAAATGTCTTCATGAAAAGATGCGAAAAGAGAGAAATAACATATTTATGTGTATGTATTTATATGAATGAAATTACTAGACATACCATCTTATCACATGATTCTCTTTTTATAGAAAAAAAAATGAAGGTGCAAAAAGGAAATCTAAATGTGCTGGTATCAAAGGGAACTACGCACACAGAGAGAAAGGTAAGTAGAAGCAGGGGAGAGAGGGAGGCAGTTCATGATTTTTTTTTTTTCTTAACACGAGTTTGCTAACTGCATCAGGATAGCAGATAAGCAGCATTTCCTGATAACCCTGGTGCCATCGGTGTTTCCTTTTCCATGGAAGGAGGGTGCCAAGGCAGAGAGGGAAAGAGGAAGAAGCAGAGAATCTGTGCGGTTATTAAAATTTTCAATGAAATACCAATATATGTGTATATGATATAAAAACAGATATTATACTTTTAAACTTTTTGAAACTTAATTTCATTTCTTAGTCATGATTTTATTTTATCGAAGCTGGCCACGAGCCTCTTCTTAAAAAATGTGTTCTATGCCTATAAAGACTTCCTTAAACTATTTCAAAATGTCATTGGTTCTTTGTCTGCCGGATGCCACAGTAAAAGGAAAAGAAAAGCAAAAATAGCCATACTCCAGATGCTAAGATTCAGTTGTAATTTTAGTTCTTTTCCAACAAAGGGAAATGTAATTCAAAATTTTGTGGATAAAAGTGTTTTTATTAAATGTGGCAAAATAATCCCTAGAGGGGAAGAAAGGAGGGTTTCTACAAATACTGAATTAAATATATAATGTAAAGGAGCAGAGGAAGGATGGTTGATTAAATTTACAAAGTTTAAAGATACCGATTCTTGAATCATATGTACATTCAAACTATTCCATTTTAGCTCCAGGAGGAAATGATAGAGGCATGTGGTCCTTAAACAGTAAAATAGGACACAGAAACAAATGGCTGAAAGAAAGATGGCGGGCCATTCCCATGCACTGCTCCAGGCAGTGGCCTGCCCCACCTGTCACACAGGCCCCATTTGGATTCCCTTCCACACACACATTCCTGCTGTCTCCTTCATGAGCACAGCTCCCAAGAGGGTTCCAAAGGAAGCTCAGAGGATGGAAGAAAAATGTGTTTGTGCAAAGAGAGAATGGGAATCGAGGCTATTACTCTTGGCCTTTCTCTCTTCTCTCTTCATAATCAATGAAACCAAATAGCCGTTGTCACAAAGAGCTTCCATGCTCCCTAGCAAAGTGGGATAGCTATTTTAAAACAGCGTACTAAGTGGTAAAAGGAAGAAGAGTGAAGCTATAAATGTGTCACACTTAAAATGGCTGAGGAGCATCCATATTCACATTTTTGTAGCCATGAAGATTGATCTCAAGGGCATCCTACAGGAGATTGTCCAAAAATACAACACTATCGTTTCTCAAAGTTCACTCTCAAAAAGAGATTCAATTTCAGCTCAATTGCAAACATGTTCTGGACTAAATCTATCAAGAATATTTATCCACTGTTTTATGGTTTGAATTTCTTTACCAGAAACCATGCTGTATATAAACATGGCCTACTACTTATGGCATTATAAATTTAATTCCCCCTAATATAAATTAAAAGGCAAATTGGAGGGGTTTTTTTGTTTTGTTTTGTTTTTTTAAGATTTTATTTATTTACTTGACAGAAAGAGAGAGAGAGAGCGCGAGAGAGGGAACACAAGCAGGGGGAGTGGGAGAGGGAGAAGCAGGCTTCCTGCCGAGCAGGGAGCCTGATGCAGGGCTTGATCCCAGGACCCTGGGATCATGACCTGAGCTGAAGGCAGATGCTTAACGACTGAGCCACCCAGGCGCCCCCAAATTGGAGGTGTTTTTACCTGATCTTCGCTAAATAACACTCCCCGTTGTCTATGGATCCTTCTCATGAGATCTCCTCCGTCACAGTACTCCATCACAATAAACAACCTGTTGTTCTCTATAAGAAAAGGCATCATTACCTTTCATGTTCTCAAAGGTGGAGAATATACAGAAAAATGCAGTATACAACAGTTAAAAAGGTTGGCTGCAGAATCATGATGGACTGGATTCTCAGCCCACTTCGCCACTTAACATTCTTAGCTCTGTGACTCTGGGCAAGTTATTTAAATTTCTCTGTGCCTCATTATCTCATCTGTAAGGTGGAGATAACAATATAGAAACTCCTCTAAGGACTGTTGCAAAGATTAAACGGGCTAATCCACGTCAGATGCTCAGAACAATGTCTGCATATAATGAGAGTTCTGTAAATGTTAACAATGATTATTAACACATTCCTGCCAGAGATGAGAAATCTGCTGTAAAATAGCAGCCATGAATCTTAACCAAAACCTCAGGAAGAATTAACGGACCTTTGACCTTGGGTGTAAACTTTTATTTATATGGCACTTACTTACTCAACTATGTTGCGGAGCACAATAGACACTCTTCTAAACTAACCTCGGACTGACCTACTTTCTAGAGTCATTACCATTACTGCTGCCCACTCAGGGTTACCCTGGTAACTACTAGACTCTCTAGCATGCTCAGGTACCTCTGTTCCCACAAATTCTCACCAAGATCACTGTGTTCATCCCCAAATCTGTTTAAGCCAATTATACTTGTTACTGTCATTATTGCATGAACTGATGAAAAATGAATGGAAAAGAGAGAGAGATGATTATTTCTACAAAACCTATGTTGACTACTGTGGAGAACTCAGTAAAAGGGAGTAGTTTTAAAAAAATAATAATAATAAAAGGGGGGTCTTTGACCTAAATGTTGGATAAAGAAGTCGAAAATAACTGAGAAAGCTTTAAAAAGACTGTGCACCCAGACTATCTGTAAATTCTGACTCCACTCTAAAGAAAAGAAATTGGAAACCAGAAATGAGGGGAGTAGTCTACATAGGAAGGAATATTCAGAACTCTATTCAACACGCTCATCATCAAAGATGAGTCTTTGGTCTTATATCAAAAGTTTGGCAAATGACTGTGCATTTATAGACAAAAAAATATGTGTGTATGATTTCCTGCTTAACCAGCTCTTTCCCGGAACCAGCCAACCACCAGCTGGGCTCCTGCTAGGAAGGGCTCCTACTCAGTTGTTCGTTTCTGCCACTCCTTTGTGGGTTCCCTGCAGACAGAGCCCACACTTTGTTCTTTTGTCTTCCCTGCGCCTGGCACAGTAGCTGCCACATGGAAGGGGCTTCTTAAAGGGTGGTTAAGTGGTGATTAACATAACATAATAAAATAAAAAAAATTTAAAAAAAATCTAAGGAGCACACACAAAAAATGGCACAAAATCAGGCTTTAAAGCAAGTATTAATCTTCCTCATGTTTTGCCCAGTAGTTATGGAGCATCCACTAAATTTCAGCATCTCTTGCCAAATAGCTATCATTTGCTCCCTCTCTTTTTCAAGGAGCCTAAACCAGCTACCAAGTGTCTGTGAGCATCCTGACAGCGTCTGCCCTCAGTTGCCTCCGAGTCACAAACTCAGGGATCCTCTGACACAACACTTCAATTCCCACCTCCTTAAAGGGGACAGATCCATTCATTCATCAACAGACCGTTATTGAGGACATGCCAAGGAATGAGGTGCTGGGAATATAGAGCAAATATACTGATATTGATATTTGCTCTATATTTGTTCCTTGGAATTAGCATGTAATGGTGCATCTTCAAACCAATGACCCCCTGCATGAGGAGGCGACCGTTTAGTTGGGGAGCTGGTCAGCATACATGAGAAGAGTGACCGTGGATGTCTGTGCCTTGGAGGGCAATGAGGACAAGAGACAGTGAAGGACAGACTTGGCGAGTCCAGGAAGGTTTTAAGAAGGTGTTTCCGGACATGCCCTAATTATCTAGGGGGTCAATTATCTTCAGGAATGTATGAGTTTTAGGAGAACTGCTATTTCTCATAGCTCAGTCCTTGAGAGGGTCACTTTGGCGATGAAGGAAGGGCAGTGGCAAAACCACGGGACAGGCAAAATCAGAAAACTAAGGAGAAAAGGTTCCATTTTACTTCCTTGCCACCAACCTCCAACTCACTCAGCCTTACACTGGTTTTCCACAAAAGAAGTTAATTGCCTGCTTCAGGATTAATCATGGCTGAGCCATCTAGAAGAAACTATTTGGGTCATTTATGCATCATTTGGTTCTAAATATGCATTCCCCCCCCCCCACTAGCCACTGTTAATTTCATATTTAATGGGGTTAGAACTGTCTGGAAAGATCATTTATGTTATCAAATTTTCCATCTGTTTAAGAAAAGTAAAGCACTGTGGTGGGCAGGGAGAGGTATAAGAAACAATTATTGTCCTCATGGCCTCCAATCTCATTGACGGAAATAAAGGCTATACACTAGCATTATAATAAAGCGTATTATGTGGCACACGAGTAAGAGTTTGGAGAGTCTCAGAGCAGAGGTGAGACAGGTCCCTTTCCGTTAAGGGACAGATCTGTGTTCAGTCTTAAAGCACGTATAATATTTGGAAATGCAGAAAGGAGGAAAAGGACGCTCTAAAAAGGAAGTGCAAGACACACTGTAGGGCATCAACTTCTGGACCTGAAAAGCTCACGGGTCATTGACCTTTCCAAACTATTGAGGGGCACTCACGGTAGGAACTAACATTAAACAACCTTTCTATTGTCAAATTCCAACGTGTAAAAAACAACTACTGTAATTAATTCATTCTAAACTGCGCTTCTTAAAAAATCTTAAAAACATTGGCATCTTCCAATCGGTTGCTGTGGGCCCAGCAGTCTTGATGTTATTACTGCCTGCATGATTTTTAGAACCCCTTAACCAATTTAATTTGCTTGTAGTTTCTTTTTTACATATGCACAAGAGTAACAGAAAGTAAATACCTCTTAAAAAGCTCTTTTAATACATAGAAAATAAAAATTGGGATAAGGAAGAGCACTGTGTTATAGTTAAATTGGCAGTATTGTTCCTTGGAATTAGCACGTAATGGTGCATCTTAAAACCAATGGCCTCTAGATTTGATGAAATATGATCCACTACCACCATCATTCCATAAAATAAAAGCATTTTAGCACCCCAAATCAAGGAGGGACACAGAATCAGCATCAAGAATAAAAGCATCTCTGCTCTTCTCCCTTGTCCATTGCACTCAACTCACACGGACGTCTCACAGAGGGCTCTGTGCCAGGTGTGAGGTTCTACCCTACTTACAAGCCTCTGACTTTTTCATGGATGCTGGGACATGCGACTCCTGGGCCAGTGGCAAAGGACTTTATTACTCTTGGCAAAAGCAGGTGTCAGAGCTTCACGTTAGCACTCGTTCCACGGAGGACATGCGCACCTGCCGTGGGCGACGGACGTGGCAGGAGAGGAACCTGAGGAAGCTGCTGCTTTCTAGTGAGCAGTGCATAGGCCAGCTCTGCCTTGGGACAGACGTCTCATCCTTCAGCGTCGCTCACTACAAACGCAGTCAGGAGATACAGCCTGGGTAGACAGCGGTCAGGGCAAAGCCCTCCTGGCACGTTTGGCAGAAATGTGCAGAGATGCTCAGGGCCCATAGCAGATTGCCTTTCCCAAGAGCCTCCTGGCCAGTCCTTTAACCCACCAGGCCTGCTCTTGCCCTCATGCCATTGCAGTGGCTGCTCCCCTGGCCGAGAAAGCTCTTCTGCAGAGTTGAGAGTGGCTCTTCAAGTCTTTGCTCAAATGACCGCTCTGTCTTAAATAGTTTTCGCACTCCTGCCTCACCCTATTTTATGTTGCCACAGCATTAATCACCTCCTAACATACTATACAATATGCTTATTAGTTATGTTTACATTTATTGTCTGTCTCTCCCTACCTTTCCCCTTAGCCTGCAGACTCCGTAGTCTGTAGCAGGCAGACTTCTAAGATGGCCCCCACGCACACACCCCGTGGGCTCCCGCCCCTGGAGTTCAGGTGGAACCTGTAAATAGGAGGGGCTATCACTCCCATGACGATGTCATGCATACAGCAGAGGGGATTTTGCTGTTATCACTGAAGTCAGTTGATTAATAGAAAAGGAGATTTTAACGGAGGGAGGGGGGGGTGCTTGACCTAATCATAGGAGCTATCCAGATCTAGGTCTAGAGGTCAGAGACAGAGGAAGTGAGAGATTGCAAGTGGGAGAAGACTTACTGAAGGAGCCACATGGCAGGGATGGGCAGTTGGCCCATAACCACCCCCAGTGAACAGCCAGCAAGAAAGCAGACACCTCAGTCCTATGATCGTAGTGGATGAACTCTGCCAACAACATGAGTAAGCACGGCAGAGCACTCTGAGCCCCCGAGGAGGGGGCAGACCCAGCTGTGGGACCCTGAGCAGAGAATCCCCTACGCCACACCCAGACTTGTGATCTAGAGGGGTCAGGAGAAGATAAATGGGTGTTGGTTCAAGCCACTGAATTTGTGGTTGTTTGTTATGCCGCAGCAGACAACAGTGTGGGGAGGGATTCTGGCCTACTGTGTTCACTGATGAAACCCAGAACACACCTAGCATGTAAGAGGTACTTGATAAATATTTACTGAAGGAATTTAAGTGGAATTAATCTAGCTTTAGGAAAATCTCACTACACTCCCTTGTTGTTCCTACACTACTTCAAACTTAAAAAAAGTTCATGCTTTCTATAGGCAAACATTTACTGAACTAGAGCCATGGTTCTTCTGTTCAGAGACAAGCTGTTGAGGGTAAACAAAGGCTTTATCTTGATAAGCTCCAGGTTTCAAGTCCCAAAAACCTGCCGGGCAAAGCCAGAGGCGTGCCCATAGCTCTGGCCTTCCTAAACACAGGGGCACTCTACTCCAAAAACAAAAAATAAAGCTGTTCTAAGAAAGCTTAAGCTTACAATATAAACACACTTGGCGGAGGTCATTTCTACCGTCCAAATGACCTCTAATTTTATAACAGCACCAGTGTCAATGGTCCTCAAATGTCTATTTTGCATAAAGACATATTCTACTCTGTGGAAGTGGTCCAGTCCACGTACTCACTCAGCCAATGTGTATTAAGCACCTACTCTGTGCTGGATGCTGAGGATCAAGTGATGACAAAAGAATTCATTAGGTTTGCTATCTTAATGGGACGATCTTAAACCAATTCAGACTTGCATATGTAAACAGACACACGCACACAAAAGGACGGAGGGGCTATGCACGGTCAGTAAAGGGTGCCATGACTGGAACTGTGATCTCGAGAAGGCCTGAGCATGAGTAGGTGTTAGCCAGACAGAGGGAGTCACAGTAAGAACCCAAAGAATGAGGAAAAGAAAGATCGTCTTCTGGCTTTGTTAGGAATCAAAGAATAGGAACGGAGGGCACTTTATTCAGTGGCTGCCCCTTAGAAGTTGTTCAAAACAACTCAACTCCCTGCTCACATGTACTGCTCCAGTCCCAGGAAGACCACACAAGAGCCCTGAGAACTCCTTTAAAATACCCAGCAGTTGAAGAGGGCCATACAGAGAACTGCTCTGAATGCAGTCGTTTTAGTTTGTAAGAAACCAAGTGCCCTACACAGTGTAAAAGCTCAAAAAATAGTGGCTATGTATATTTATTTCCTGATTTGTACACCCCTGAGGGCGCTGGAAGACATCTAGGTAACATTCCTGCTCCATTAACTACGTTCCACCTGTGAATCCAAGCACCCTGCCCAGGGCTGGGGGCTGGGATGGGGATGCTCCACGGTGAGTTGCGGGCAGACACAGCCCTGTCACAGCCTGATATGCACCTGACGTACAGTAGACGTGTTATTGTCTGTCTCTCCCCCTAGAATGTAAGCTCCATGAGGACAGGAACTTTTGCCTGTTTTGCTCACTGTTCTATTCCTGGCGCCTAGAACAAGGCCTGGCATATAGTGAGCGCTCAGTAACAGTTTGTTAAGTGAATGAATGGTCTCTCACCAATGCTCCTTTCATGTTTTGTTTTGTATTTTTACCTTGGAGCCAGGTGGTAGATGAAGGCAGAAGAGATGTTGTATTCGGGCATCCACAGGAAGGGAACCGCTTCCTTACAGTTTCTCCCCTGTAGTGTGGCTGTTTGCTTGCCCGTGGTGCGGGCTGTTTGCTGCCCTTCTCTAACAGGATTGCACGGCCCCCCTGTTGCCCCAGCACAGGCAAGAACTCTCAAAGGCAGAGTATACCCTCCCTGTCACCACGTTATCAGGGTTGACTGTGTGGCTGCTTAGCCGACAGGAACAGGAGCTCAGAAGGAAAGTGAGAAACAGGCCACATCCTAGCAGGGCTCCGAGAGTGATCGTGTGGCAGGCTCTGTGTCTTGTCCCTTGCTCTCCCTCAGGAGAAGAGCATGCTCCTTATCTGGGCTGCTCCATCACCTGGACCCCAGACTTAAGACCCCACCCACTCACAGCCAACGTGTAATGTGAGAAATAGATGTGGATTCCTGGAGGCCACAATTTAGGAGTTCTTACCGTAGCAAGATTAATATACCAGCCATTAACTGCTGATGCAGCAAGAATTAAGGAGAGGAGGGAAAACTTAATCAAACTTAAGGAAGTTGTCTACAGAAACTTTACTAGAGAAGAAATAAAGACTGTCTCAAATTACAATTTAAGTAAATGGGAAAATGAGTCCATTTACAAAAAATGAATTTGTGCACAGTTCTCAGGAATGTATCTTTTATAGATGTCTATGTACCTACACTTTATTATTAAAGCACTTGAAGAATATTAGAAAGTCAAACCTTGAAACGAACTGAAGAATGTTACAATGTTGGGATGCTTCATCTTGGCCAGAAGAATTACCTCTTTCTCTGAAGCTTCTTTTTCTTGGATGGGCATCTAAATTACATTAAGAGACAGAGTAGTCTGTAAAGATAACTTGTTTTCAAGAACATGCTTTCTGCTCACTATCATCTAAAATTCTCCAGGATTTCACTGGCTTCTAATGACACTTCTGAAACTGATCTTTCAATGGCAGGAGATGACATTCATAGAATTAGCAGCGTGACCAATATCGAATCAATGGTTTGTCAGTGACAATCGTAAACAAGAAAATAAATATTTCTGGTGCAGGTACGCTGTAGTAAAGGTTCAGTTGCATTGGTGGTGCTGGGTTAATTACTTAGGCATCTGGAGGAAACTTATTTTAATATTTATCTCTCAGCAGCAAAGAAATTCTTTATAGAAATGCAATGTTCCTGCAGCAATCACTGCTGAGAATTAACAAATGAAATTTTTTTTAAAAAGTCATACATCACATCAACCAGAACGGTAAATTCTGTAGTGAGATTACTACATTTTTAATTTTCAAATAAAAATGGTCTCTTGTGACTTCATTTTAGATTTGATGCATTTTCTTATTATTCGATAGATCATCTATTGACGGTATTTTTTAATTGTTTTGGTGCCATGGCAATGGCCACACTTCACTCCCACGTCTTCTTCCTCGTTCTTGACACTTCGCTGTTGCTTGACTGGTCATCCGCACCCTGACCCCTGGCCTGGCTGCCCCACCTTTCCAGCCCCTGCTGGTCACCTGTTCCTCTCCCCTGCTCCCTCTGTAATGTTCTTCAACACTGGTCCACACACAATGTGTGAGTTCCCAAATTTCTCATCCTCACTGAGAGTTAAGCATTTTTTAAACATTAACGTTCTCAAGCCCAGCTTTACTGCCTCCTACCTACGAATCCTTCCATAAATCATTTAAATCTCAGCTTCTGTCTCTTCCACCCCAATTTAAATTTAAAAACAGCTGCTACATGTGAGTTTCAAAACACAAGCAACTGAATTACTCCTACCAGATTGACAGACTTGGCTACTCAACTTCTTTAATTTTAACTACTGTTTTTCTAAAGAATGTCATACACCAAACCAAAAGGCAAATGTAGGTAGGTGACTGTATTCTTATAGTTAGGTAAAAATACTGGCAATAAATGTGACAAATATTTCTGTATTTATAATATATAAGGAATTCTGGCAAATTAACAAGAAAAAAAAAAGGCAAATCTGCCAATAGAAATATGGCCAAATACACGAATGGGCAACTCCCAAAAAAGAAAAGAAACAAAAATGACTGATAAACAGAAAAAAATATCCAACCTCACTCAATAATCTATGGAACAAAGACTAAAACAAAATTTGATATAATGTTATCAAGAAGAATGTTAATACCAAGGGTTACCCAAAGAGAGCAGCAAACCGGCACTCATATACTTCTGCTGTAGGTATATAAATTTTGGAGGGAAGGCAATTTTACGACATGTACTAAGAAACTTTAAAAATTCTCCTGTTTTGGGCTTGTTATTTCTTCTAGAAATTTATCCAAAGAAAATAATCAGAAATGTGCCCGAGCATTCTATATAAAAACCTTCATTGTCATGTTTTTAGTTTTTTAGTTACTGTCATAATACACACGTGTGATCTTAAAAAATATTTGAAGGCAGACAGAAGCGAACAAGATGATAGTGAAACTTCCCCTTGTCCTCCCCACCCATTCCATGAATTCCTCTTCCTTAGGAATAATTGCTGTTAATTGTTAAATGTTTTTATTTAATGCACACATAGGTAAACATGTGTACATAGTTTGTTTAATGAAAATGACTTAGGGGCGCCTGGATATCTCTCTCAGTCAGTTAAGCGTCGGACTCTTGGTTTCGGCTCTGGTCATGATCTTGTGGTTATGGGATTGAGCCCTGCGTCACGCTCTGCACTCAGCGTAGAGTCTGCTTCAGATTTTCTCTCCCTCTCCCTCCTGCTCTCTCTCTCTCAAATAAATAAATGAAATCTTTAAAAAAATGACTTACGGGGCACCTGGGTGGCTCAGTCATTAAGCGTCTGCCTTGGGCTCAGGTCATGATCCCAGGGTCCTGGGATCAAGCCAGGCATCGGGGTCCCTGCTCGTCGGAAAGCCTGCTTCTCCCTCTCCCACTCCCCCTGCTTGTGTTCCCTCTCTAGCTGCGTCTCTCTCTGTCAAATAAATAAATAAAATCTTTAAAAAAATAAAAAATAAAAAAATCACTTATATTCTACATATTACATGATATTTAATCATACCTAAAAAATCAAACATAAATGTCTGAAAATACAAAAAGAATTAAATCATGGTGTTTTTAACCTGATGTCATATTATGCAGTCATCAAAAATCAAGGGAGCCAATGTGTCATAGCAGAAGGAGCAGAGGAAGAGTGAGAAGAATCTGTTGGCTACTGGGCATCGTTGAGCAAATCACTTAACATCTTCAAACCTCAGCTCTTTTACCTATGAACCCATGAGATCTATCTTCAGGACAGTTGCAAGGATTAAATAAGTTGATTATGTAAAGCACGTAGGATGGCAGCAGGTATAATAGGCACCCAGTAAATGGTAAGCATTATCCTTATTATTGGGAACATTTAATATTATTATATGAGAACATTTTTTTAAGTTTATTTTCTTTTTCTTTTTTTTTTTTAGTAATCTCTACACCCAATGTGGGGCTTGAACTGATGACCCCAAGATCAAGAGTCACATGCGCTTCCAACTGAGCCAGCCAGGTGCCCCAAAGAGCATTTTATTATATGAAAACACTAAATGACTTGAGAAAATATTCACGACATATTGCTAAGTACAAAAAGCTACTATAGAAGAGTATATCTACCGAGGCACCAATCATTCCAGTATTTATGCATTAAAAATAGCCTGGAGAAAAATTCACCATAATGTTAAAAGAGAGAGGTTATAAGTGATTTTTATTTTCCTCTAAATGGTCTTATTTTCCCCTTCAGTTCTTTTCAAAAATTCCTATAATGAACACTTTTATTTTATAATAAGAAAATACACAACATATTTTTGGAGGCAAGAATCAAAAGAATAGGGGTGGCTGTCTGGCTAGCTGCATCACTAGAGCGCTCAACTCTTAATCTCAGGGTTGGGAGTTCAAGCCCCACATTTGGGGGTAGAGCTTACTTAAAAAAAAAAGAAAAGAAAAGAATCAAAGGAATATGCTTGATAATAGCAGGATGATGAGAGAGAAAATAGTAGCTTTTTGGTACCTGTAAGAAAATAAGCCATTCAAGTTCTGGTGTTTAGAGTTTACGGCATGGAGAGGCATTGGAGATGTGAGAAAATGTAGATTTCTCTAGATAAGAAGTAATGAAAAACTACTTTAGGGTAGAAAGGAAGAAAGAAGCAATACATATTAATACTGGGACACAGGCGTTGCTAGGCAAATTTAATAACATAAAGAGATACGGGAAAGCAAGAAGAACAAGGCCTAACATGACATTCTCCTTAGTGATGTCCTGGAGGCCAGGGTGGTTCATGAGAAAAAGGATGAAAAAAATCAGTGCTGTATTAGAAAAATACGGTTGTCTTTTTATTATCTATACTAAGAATGGGAGAGATGCTATGAAATGAATTAATATATATTCTTATAGAAGATTCACCTCCCAAATAGTTTCTTCTTTCCTTAGAATTAATATGGTGTTATAATTCCTAAGTATGTACCAGCTTAACAACAGAGGTATAAGGCCTGAAAGTATCTAGCCTTTGAATTATTTATCCAATAAAAATGTATTGAATACCTACTGGTGCAAAGCATTATTAGGTGCTGTGTGGAATACCAAGATGAATAAGGTATGCATTCTGCGTGCATAGAACACACAGTTTAATAAGGGGGAGAAGGCACACACCCACACACACAAAAACCCAGCCAAAGCATATCAAGGTAGAAGGCATTCAGTACCATAGCAGCAGGACAGATAAAAAGCTATCGAGTTTACAGAGAGAGAGAGAGAGAGTACTTCAAGTGGGAAGGTCCTGGAAGGTCTCCGGGAGCTCAGCCAGAAGCAAGTGGGATCTTGATGCTTAGAGATGGGCAGGCAAAGACCTTCTGGAAAGAAAGAGCCCCGCGGGCAAGCACAGGGGCTGCTGGGCTGCAAAGGACACATACGTGGAGGGGGAGTGGAAATGGAATTTGGGAAAACAAACCAGAGAGAGTGTGAAAACTAATCTGAAGAGTGAAACAATATAAAAGTACAGGGCAAAAATGACTCACAATCCCACATTCCACCTACATAAGAACAATCTAGTACATCTTCCTTGTATGTATGTGAATATATATGCATGGGTATCTATATACCCCTAGAGAGAGAATACATATTTTTACAAAGAGTGCCTCGTTCTACGCATACTGTTTTCTCAATTAGCAGAAGCCGTGACATTTCTCAGGTCAATACTTCACCTGCAACATGATTTCTAAGAGCCGCTTCATTTTTTATAAATTAAGTAACCAATCCCCTACTGTTGGACATTTAAGTTGCTTTCTGACTGTACGTCTCTGGGTATTTCCTTGGAATAAACTTCCATAAGTAAACCCTGGGATGTGTACTTTTTTCCTTGTCTTTTTCAAAATGAAGATAGCTTTTCCTGTCTATACAAATAATATAATTCAGGGGCGCCTGGGTGGCTCAGTCAGTTAAGCATCTGCCTTCAGTTCAGGTCATGATCTCAGGGTCTTGGGATCGAGCCCCACGTCGGGCTCCCTGCTCAGTGGGGAGTCTGCTTCTCTCTCTCCCTCTGTGATCTCTCTCGCTTTCACTCTCTCAAATAAATAAATAAAAATGTAAAAAAAATAATATAATTAATAATTTAAAAACAATATATGCTCCATATTAAAAATTCTGAGAAATGCAGAGAGGAGTGGTGGAAGTGAAATCCTATCACTCAGCAATAATCACTGTTAGTGTGCATGTATGTGTGTGTACTGTTAATATTACATACACACATAACTTTTTGTGGCCTGATTTTTTTTTTCATCTTTACAACATACTGTGGACCTATAATACAAACGGCATGGATCCTTCCAAGGTTTTGATACGTACTGATGAATTCCCTTCAGAGTGATACCGATTTACCTTCCCATCAGCAGAGGAAGAGAGTGCCCACTTCCTCCAGTTTTATATTCTTTCTAATCCTTCCCAAATGTATAAGCAAAAGTGACATTTATTAATTTATATATCTTAGTTTACTAATGAGTTTGAAGTTTTTGTATGATGACTTCTTCAGTTACGGGTTTTTTTTTTCTTTTATACATTTATAAAAGGCTAGCACCTCTTTTGTCAATACGTGCAAATGTTTTGGCATTCTGTCAACTTCCTTTTTATTTATTCATGGTGTCTTTTGTCATTCAGAAGTTTTAGGATTTTATGTAGTCAAAGATGGCAATGCATCTGGTCATCTTTTCCTTGACGACTTCTGTCCCAGTGAAGGTCTGGGGACACAAATGGAGCATTATCAGAATTTTGCTACACAAAAGCCGGAGTCTCGGCAAAGCTCCTGAAGCAGCCCAGGGCACTGACAAAAGGAATAAAACAAACTCAGAGGAGAGAAGGAGTCAACAGTATGTAGCAAGTAATTGGACGTGGAGGGAGAAAAAAACTCACCGATGACCCCATGGTTTTGAGCCTGGATATCACAAGGACACTAATGTCACAAACACAGTGTGGCACGGAGCAGATAAAATGCAGAACCGGGGGCTGGAAGGGACCAGGGCTGGAGAGAGAGTTGTAAGAGTGGTCTGTTCACTGGTGAAGAAAGAAGTGAGGCGACTGCCCAGAGAAAGAGTCGGCAAAGAACAGATGGTGGGGGACATAAACAGGGTGAGAGGAGAAAGGCCTGAGAAAGAGGAGCCAGATATTTTGGGAATCACAATCCCACATTCCACCTACATAAGAACAATCTAGTACATCTTCCTTGTATGTATGTGAATATATATGCATGGGTATCTATATACCCCTAGAGAGAGAATACATATTTTTACAAAGAGTGCCTCGTTCTACGCATACTGTTTTCTCAATTAGCAGAAGCCGTGACATTTCTCAGGTCAATACTTCACCTGCAACATGATTTCTAAGAGCCGCTTCATTCTTTATAAATTAAGTAACCAATCCCCTACTGTTGGACATTTAAGTTGCTTTCTGACTGCACATCTCTGGGTATTTCCTTGGAATAAAGGAGAGCAAGCAGAATAATATCGTGGAAGGAAGGAGAGCGAGCAGAATAATATCGTGGAAGGACGGATAGCGAGCAGAATAATGTCGTGGAAGGAAGCTCTGACAGGCCGCTAGAATAAGAGGACAGGCGCAGAAGTATGCCATGGAGCCATGAAGAGGGACCTATACTGGTAAATAAAGCATTCTCCCTGAAGCTAACCATCTACACCTGAGCTTTAATGTAAGTTTGAGCAGTCCTTTTGCTTTCCTTTGCAACTTTAAAAAATTGTGGTAAAATATATAGAACATAAAATATGTACCATTTTAACCGTCTTTAAATGTACAATTCGGGGGCATTAAGTACACTCACACCGTGCAACTTGTCAAGCCCATTTTTGCACACACTTTGGGGTGTTTTTGTGTTTTTTTAACTAAAGAGTTTTTTTTTCAAGATTTTTATTTTAAGTAATCTCTACACTCAGTGTGGGGCTCGAACTTATAACCCTGAGATCAACAGTCACATGCTCTACCAACTGAGCGACTGAGCCAGCCAGGTGCCCCATTTGCACACGTTTTGTATGGCACGTTTTCTGCTACTCTCATTTATAAATCCTCCAGAGGACAACCAACAAGACTTGCCTTAAAATTAATTCTAGCATGCGATGGAGATTGTTGTCCCAATACAGTATCACTAGAGGGGGTGACACAAACACTTGACCGAGAAGAATTCAGAAATGATTCCTTTTCAATGAAATATACTTAATCACTCTTCAAAATCGTTGGACTAGCAAAAGGCTTTGTTTTCCTCCATTCATTTGACGCATTCAGTAAATGTCTGGAGCCCCTATCATGTGCCAGGCACTGTCCTTCATGCTGAAGAAGACGGACAATAAGCACATGAAGAAAAAAGTGAGCAGAGTAATTCCAGATCATTATAAATGTTATTCAGAAAAGAAGCCAGGGCAGTGTAATAAGGAGTGATTGAGGGTGGGACAGGGATGATTTGGGGAAGGCCTTTTTGTGGAGGGGACCTGATGAAGGAGATGCAGTCAGAAAAAGAGCACCAGCCTATGGCAAAATAGAAAAGTTGAGCAATGGAGGAGGGCAAACCTCACAGGCCTTGCAGGCCACCCTGAAGACTGCCACAGGAACCAGTGATATAATCTTATTCTTTTCTTCTTTCTTTTTGTCCTTTCCTTTCCTTTTCTTTTTTCTAGTAAAATACTGGTTGCTCTTCGGACAACAGACTTAGGAGTGTGAGCAAACCAAGGTCAACTGAGGCTTTTTTTTTTTTAAGATTTTATTTATTTGAGAGAGAGAGTGAGCAAGATAGGGACAGGGCACAGGCCAGGGGGAGGGGCAGAGGGAGAAGGAGAAGCAGGCTTCCCACTGAGCAGGGAGCCTGATGCAGGGCTCGATCCCAGGACCCTGGGATCATGACATGAACCGAAGGCAGACGCTTAACCAATTGAGCCACCCAGGCACCCCTAGTCAACTGAGGCTCATATCATAAAAACAAACAAGCCAAAAAATGAGTTTCTTTTTCATACTGAATTTTAAAAGCCAGCTGAATATATTACTGAAAATGAAAAGGAATGTGAACTTCGTCACTTTACCTTCGCAAAATCGATCTCTTTTATAACACAGTGCTTGCTATCTGATTTCCCTTTAGCCAAGAATGCTTTCCCGAAGGCACCTTCCCCAATGGCCTTGATCAGATCGTAATTATCCATGGTGTCAATGCGTGGTGGTTCCTGAAATCAGAGCGCTGAAATTTTATCACACACTTTTCATAAACGTGAACAAAGTCACACAATTGATCACTACAATGTAAAGGAACTCCTTTTGCTAAAACCTTCCTACCAACCTCACCAAGACATACTCAAATAACTTTCCTTGGGGCCACAGGTGACAACCGAAATGAAACGTTGCTTCTTGGTGGAATCTGAGCTCAGACTCAGCTTTGATACACTGTAGTGTTGTGATCCTGAGGAAGTCACTTAATCTCTCAAAACCTCACTTTCCTAATTTCTAAAATGGAAATAACAATCCCTGGTTTTGCAAGATTGCTCTGAGAATCTAAGATACAACACCCCGGGCTTGGCTCCTCGGTAACGCTAGAAATGTCCTTAATGCTGGTGCAGTTTCACAGTTCAGCCCTTCTCAACGGGGACGTGCTGTCCCCTAGGGGATATTTTGGGAATTTGTGGAGGTTTTTCTGTTCCCTGCAGAGATGGAGAAGCACTGTGGCATAGAAGTGGTGGGGGTCTGGGATACTAATGTCCTGCGATGCGAGGGGCCGTCCCGAAAATAAAGGACGATCCCGCGGCCCTACAACCTTAGCAAGTCCTCACACGCATTCATGTGCGTGGAAAAGTCCATTTATAACGATCTGCAGCTAGAACCAAACTCCATTTTACACGTAAATACAGAATATTTTTTGCACAGTTTTACTGAACATCGAATTTTCGAGGAATGCAACTGCGTGTAAATCAAGGCTTGATTGTACTTTGTTGTGTTTGGAACGTTACCAAGACCGGTTTGGAAAATCACGCCCCCGCTGGCTGAGCTGCTCTGGGTCGGTAGCCGAGACGTAACAGTGGGCGGCCGTCAAGGTCAGGTGCCTCCCTGCCCAGGCTCGGGCACTAAGCAACTTCACTACTTCTTCAACTGTGGTCGTACCAAGCATTTGCAGGCTGAAATGCAAACTATTATAAACCGTTTCCTTGCATTTCCTCTTTATACCACAATTAGGGCATCGTGCCCACTTTTAAAAAACTTGCGCGAGCAGGCAGGTCAGGTTTTCGATAATTTGCGTCAGGGTAGGAAAGGGGACAACTGGGGGGCATGGAGCTGGGAACCAGCTCCGCTGCCAGAGGAGGCCGGGGACACCCGAGGACGGGGTTTTGAGGGAGGAGGCTGCGGAACTGGAACTCGAGGACTCCAGCCCGCGAACTGAGGGACGGCGACCCTCCCGCCCCGGCGGCACCAGCGGGTGGAAGCCCCCAGCTCTCGGGACAAGCCTTCTCCCGTAGGGGCGCTCCGGGAGGCGGCCGCCGGCTGGGCTGCAAGATTGCGCGCGGGCCGGAGCTCGGCGGGCCGCGCGTCGCCCCGGAGACCGACGCCGCGCAGGACTTCGGGCAGTTCCCCTGCAGCCTCCGTCTATCGGCCGGGGCTTCCGTCCCTTTCCCCGCGGCTCCCGGAGCTCCGGGGGCAGCTCGGGGTAAGGACCCCGGGCGGCCCGCCCGCAGCATACCTGTTGAGCCGGCTCCGCGGGGCGGGAAGCGTCCCGGGGAGAATCTGGGTTCCCGGGGCCGCGGTGCTTCCGGGCGGCGGGGGCGGAGCCGGGCGGGGGGCGGGGGGGGGAGCGGGCGGGGCGCTAGCTGCGAGAGGATTGGTCTGCACGATCCACCTCGAAGAGCGGTCCGAGGCCAGGGAGTTTGGAGCCCCGGCCGCGCCACCTTCTGCGGTCTTAGGTCGGAACTCCTGTGCCCATCACTCCACAAGCACACCGTTCTTCGTTCTCGCACATGGCGTACCAGGGGCTTTGCATACATTTCTTTGCAACAACCCAGCAAGGTAGTGGTCACCGTTTTCCAAACGAGCTAAATTGAGACGGGGAGAGTTTTTCGTGCAAGGTCTCAAATACTATCAGGAGATGGACAGACGCTGTTTGGTCTACACTTGGCGGCCTTACAAAACTGGCCGCCGCCCAGTGGCCTGCAAACAGGCTCCCCTCCCGCCCCTCCCATTCACCATTCGCGACTGCACATCAAGCTGCTGTCTAAAACGTTTCGTTACATGTCTAAGTTGAAAAGGATGTAATTTTCAGCAATTCTACTGACACAAGTAAAACATATCCAAAGTAATCTAAAAACCACGGCAATTTGAAACCAACCATCATTCTCTTTTTAAGTAAGCTCTTTTAAGAATCGCAAAGTTTACATCATACCTTTCTCTCCTTGAACTCCTTCCTATCCCTATAGGTAATGTTTTTCTGCCTCAAAGTTTTATTGATCACCCTATCATATAAATGGAAATTAATTTATATTTCCTGATCATAGGCTTTCATTCTTGACTGAATTATTAACATTACTAGTAGGTACAGAATTGGTAAAAAAATAAAATTAATCACATTGATAATCATTAAACATAAAAAGTAAAACTGTATTGGAAATTCATCACTTAAAGATGTCAATGGGCTTTCCCCCCCCTCCCATTAGTATCCACTCGATGAATGCTCACTTTTTGCTGGAATAGACAAGGTTCAACAATGATTCTCTTTGCTTTTTTTCTCCTTTTTTTCTTTCTCTTTCTTTCTCTCTTTCAAGCTTTAAGTACTGGGAAACCTCATTCAGTTAAATAAATAGGAATTGGAAGTTTTGTTAAAAGTGTCCCTCAATTCTTGCCTCGTTTTAAGTCAAGAATAATAATCTATCACTAAAACTGGCTCCTAATCATCCATTATATATCCTGAAGTGTTATTAAGAGCAAAACCTGCAAGCCAACTGACTTGTGAAAGGATCTGTCATCCAATCAAGACTCATTCAGTCTCTCAGTAACTATATACATAATTCCAAGTTCCCTGTGTTTGGGGGAATGCCCCAGCATTCCCTGGGGCAATGCTAAAATTTGAGATGACTAAGAGGTACAGAATACAGTATTTATGGAAGCTGGGTATCTGGAACTATCCTTAAAGCTATCCCCAGCTACCTTAACTCTTGAAAAGTCTTCAAGAGAGTGGTAAAAAAAGGGGGGGGGGTGGAGCTAACCTAAGTAACTCTGGGAAATGGTGTTTCAACTGGAATTCTAAGGCTAGAGGCACTAGGAACTGTACATGAACTCTGTACTCTAGTTGAGAAATTTGTTTCTCACAGGAATATGGGTTGATAATTTGGGAACTGCTTTACATCTATTCTGGTGTTGAGCAATTAAGTGAATAGTGGATGGTTGAAGCCAGGTTTTTCACTGTCAGAAAGAGAAGCTACAGAAAAGCAAGGAGGGGAAGGCTAGAATGAACCCTGTGGTACTAGATCAGAGTCCAAGACATCAGTATGAACTCATCCTCAGCTTAATACACATACAGATGGAGAGACCCAGAAGTGACTGTAGCTGTACGTATGTGCACAGGATAGCAAACATATATGGATCTCCTCGCTCTGTCTGCTAAGAGGGCCTAAAAGCAGTGATGGCCCAGTAGCAACAAGCACACCCAGCCCCCAGATCCTGGTTTCTAAGCCAATGAAAGGAACCAAGGCTCTTTGGAGAAATGGCTGACTCTGGAGCTGCGACAGAGAAGGCTGAAGACGCTCCTGGACAATCTTCTTGTAGTACCAGAAAGGAAGGAAGGTCTCAAAACAGAAAAGAATGAGGGCATGTCAAAGGAACACAGAGGCAGCCTGGAAAACTCCCAGTGGCCAAATCTAGACCAATTGAAGGAATAAAACAAATGATTTCGCATTGGATTATAGCCCCCTTCAGGAGGTAGAGCTGAGGATGAGCTGGACCCAGTGACTCGCGTAGAGGCATTAGGAACAGTACATAAACTCTGCACTCTAGTTGGGAAATCTGTTTCCCAGGGCCCAAGAATGGAAAATTGGTAACTTTACAGTGGAGAACCTGGCAGACACTGCCTTAACCACGTGACCAAGGTTAACCACAGCAGTAATAAATCATGTTGAAATTGCATACTCCCTGATGAGAGGTGATGGGAAGGGCACCTCACCTCCATGGTATTCTTCCCCAAACCCTTGAGCTCAGTCTGATCACGAGGAAAATACCAGACAAAAAACTGAGGGACATGCTACAAAATGCCTAACTGGTATTCCTCAAAAATGTCAACGTCCTGAAAAATGACAGATGGAGAGACTGTGAGAGAGCAGAAAAGAGTCTTGAAGGATGACGAGATGTTGAAAGGTAGATAAAGTGGGTGGGGTAAAGGTCTATACCATAGTTTTTGTACCTGAAGATAAAAAAAAAAAAATGGTTTCAATCTACAAGATGTATGTATTCCATATTTCAGGAGATCCTTATTAATCATCCTGCTGTAGATTCAGCTACTTCCCCTGGTTCTTCACTGGAGCACCATTCCTCATACCTGCTCAGGCTTCTGCTGTTTGCACACTTACCTCCGTGAGATCTCCAGGGAGGAGCCTCCTTCTTCTGGAGTACAATATGTCGCCTCACAACAGCATCCCAGGATGGAATGACAGGACCCAGCACATGCGTGTCAGAGTGACCCACACAAGTTGGCATCCCATTAGTCCATTAGTTCCATAGCACTCTCTACTTTCCAATACTTTCCACCTTTGGCCTATTTCTTTCTCCTGCACAAGACTGCCAGCTTCTGACAAGATCTGTACTGCCCCACTGCCCCCCCTTCCCACAGCTGATCCTCTGACCTGGGTGCCTCTGTGCATCCTGTGAGGGGTGGTATTTAAGGATGGCGGGTCATTGGGGAAGATCATGGATCACTACCCAGAAACAGGCCTTACTGGAAAACTGCGCAACATTATTTTCCAAGTAAATTTATTTAGATCCTCAAACCTTTCATAAATGTAAAAAGAGTTACACAGCAACTAAGCACCAATCGTAACAGTGCAGAAATAACATGATGGGCTGCTGCCATGGTCTCTGGTCAGCACCTTATGAGGAAGGCATTATCACCCTCATTTTAGAGTCGTGGAAACTGGGGCTCAAAGAGTTTAAATAATTGCCCACAATCACACAAACTGTAAGCAGTAGCATCCGATTTCTGTTCCAACTGCAAAGCCTGAAGCTCAGAGCCATTCTTCCACGCCTTTTCCTTTCAGTTCAAAAACTCATGAGAGTTACAGATTTTTTAAGCCTTGTGGTACTAATCAGGAACAATTTTAAATATTCACAGTTTCCCCCTCTTCATTCTGTGCCCAAAGAAAACTGAATCCCGTGAGCTGATATTATCCAAACATTAATTCCCCACTTTAAACATCTACCCGATGTGACAAAGGAGCACTTCCTTGGGCGTTACCCATCCAACACTTCTTGCCAGCCAGCTCGCTGCTTCAGTTCTGACACCCAGTCAGGCCTGGCGTCATCCTCCTCAAAGTCCCTGTGAAGACACAATTTCAATATTAAGCCTCCATAGCAGGGGCATGGTAAGTATTTTTTGGTGGCTCAAAGCAGAACACTACCATCACAATATTTACATTTTTAAAAAATGCGCTCCATAAGGCAACTGACCAGAGGAAAAACATTGTTAGCTCTTCCAAAGGAATACTTCTTTCATGTTTCTAGAAAATTTGCCAATAAAATCCAATATATTAAAAAATACTAAGTCCAAGCTGAACGGTTGAACTCAGGAATTCTATGATAATACCGTAACGCATTACTCGTCCCAGACAAAAGATCAAGATATGACTATTCATTTGTGATGTCGAGTAATATAACCAGCTCCTGCTAAACCTGAAATTAAGGTATGATTTTCACACACAATGGCCAGAGCCATGTAGGTATATCCCAACATACGTGTCCTCTGCATCCAGTCTAGGTTCCAGTCTCTCTGGGTCCAAAATGACAGAATCGTGACCTCCATCCACACTGTCTGACGCTTCTGTTTCTTCAGACAGGGGGCCCTTCAAGAACCCTTCTGGACCTTCAGAGGAAAATTATGCCAATTTTAACAGTAGTGGCGTAATTAGTGAATGTCGGACTAAAATCCTCCAAAAGCTTGCTGGCTCGCTGAGGACAATGGTATATTTCTTTTGTAGCACCTTCCCCATTACAGAGCATGATTTCTGGCATGAGACAGGCCCGTGAAGCATCAGTATGGGTATTAAATTTAAAAACAGTACTTTCTTCAAAAGAAAAATTTAGAAAATCATAATTAAAACCTTCAAATACAAGAACCTATATTAAAGTTATCTTTGGATCGTCGTCTTCCAGTTGTTTTTCTTTTGAGCTCCCCACCCCCAACTTTTTCCCATGATGGGGAATAAAATTAGGGAATGGAGACCACATGCGTGCTTTCAAAAAATTTTCTAGATGGCAACTGCTTTCAGATTTTTGCTCACACAACAGTAACCTAACACAAAAATGTGGGCTACATCTTTACAAAATCCTTTCATAACAGACCTATGACATAGGTTTTGAACAGTGAACAGGGACCAGAAACAAAATCCAGGACCTACAATTGCTACAACAAAATTCACAACTGTTAACCTTCCTTAACACCATCCTTCTATGCACCCACCTCTGCTGGGGCACCTATGACAATCTGCGTACAGCTCTATCAGAACACAGCTCTAAAAATTCACCTACACCACTCTAAACCTCTCTCCTTGAGTGCTGGTCTCCCACCAAACTCCCCCAGGGAAGGAGCTGTGTTTTATTTATTTATTTTTTTTTAAATCTTAACCTGGCATGTTTGGCACTCAATAAATACTGACCAAATAAACAAAGACAACTAAATCTGTTAAAATAAATATGGCCAAGATTTGCCACAGCATTACACGCTCTACTGGCATAATTTATCTTAGATCTTCACTTAGCAAGATGGCTTAATAATTGAATTATCAAAATTATACACACATGTACACACCCTTAATGCAGTCCTTTGGCCTCGATTCCTACAGATAGTATTATAAAAGGTAATTTTGTGCAATTTTAGTGAAAATGTCTGCAGAAATGATAAAAAAAAATCAAATCCTAATTACTCCTCTTTCTTGAGGTCTATTCAATACAGCAGGATTCAAGCACAGAGCAAAAGAAATCTTGAAATTCCTCAAAGTTTACTACGATGGAATCTGAACTGTAAAGTCAGTAAGGCAGTGGTGTATTTGCGTGGTTAAAAATGGGCTACTCTTCAAAGTAGTCCCACAATTATTAAAACAAGCAAACAAATAAGCAATTAAAAGTAATGAAGCTCCACGGGAAATTTTAATTAGAGCTCAATACTGGCTAAAAAAGATGCAAGAAAACCTAAAATGTACGATGCTATGAATCATTTTATAACTTTAAAATCAAAGTCTCTGGGAGGGGCGAATAGGGAATTTTCTTTAAATGGGTACATGCTTTCAGATTCGGAAGGTGGGGAAAGTTCTGGAGATGGATGGTAGTGATGGCTGCACAACGGAAATACACGTAATGCCCCTGAACTGCACACCTAAAAATGGTTTAAATGGTAAATTTAGTTTATGCATGTCTTACCACACTTTTTTAAAAAATCAAAGGGGAGGCGCCTGGATGGCTCAGTAGGTTAAGCATCTGCCTTCAGCTCAGGTCATGATTCCGGGGTCCTGGGATTGAGCCCCTGGGCTCCTTGCTCCGTGGGAAGTCGGCTTCTCCCTCTCCCTCTGCCCCTCCCCCTGCTCATGAACTCTCTCTCTCTCAAGTAAATAAATAATATCTTTAAAAATAAATAAATAAATAAATTGAAGTAAAAATTAAAAAAAATCAAAGAGTTTCCACAGGTAGGTAATAGACTTGAGTCACCTGGTCTATATATTGTATATGTTTGAAACGCCAAGCTGAGATCTGCATTCTTAAGGATGTTCATCAGAGTTTCTGGAGTCTCTTTCAGCCACTGCTTACGGGTGTTATTTTCACTGTACTTTATTACAGAACCACCTAGTTGTGAAAAGGTGACAATTAGGGCCACGTAAAAAAGATTTTCAGCATATATCTTCCAGACTGTATTTTAAGCGAAGTTAATTGTATTTTCCTCTCTACTAGAATCTATTTCACTCACCTACATGAACACTGCTCTGATATGCGACACCAAATATCTTTTACAGAGTGACATTAAAACAACAACAAGAACAATCTCTAGCCCATTAAACAACCATGAGAAAATGCTCTGTAGTGGGCACCTGGGTGGCTCAGGTGGTTAAGTCTCTAACCCTTGATTTAAGCTCAGGTCATGATCTCAGGGTTGTGGGATCAACCCCCACATTGGGCTCCGCACTGGGAATTGAACCAGCTTCAGATTCTCTCTCCTTCTGCTCCCTCTGCCCCCCATCCCAATACTTGCTCTCTCTCTTAAAAAAAAAAATCACCTAAAGAAAATGTTCAGTAGTAACAGCGTTCAACTGACTACTAACCTCTCTCATCCCCGGCTACTAAACTGGAGGAGAGTATGGCTGCATTTTCCAAAGCCGTGAGAGCTGTGCTGGGGACATTTTTCTCCCACTGTTGCCTGACAGGACTTGGTGAACTGAGTTTCCTCAGATGGACTGATTTATTATCTGATTTTAAAATGTAAAAAAGTATTGCTAAGCATATTATTTATCATCTATATGAACACATATACTTGAACAACTACATAGAAAGAAGTCTTTCTTTTCTCTTCCAAACTCAAATCCACTCACAATGTTCTTCAAGTCTAAGCAGTAAAGGGAATGAAAAAAAAAAAAACCTCCAAATGAAAAGGTAATCTTTAAAGTGAATTTTTAAAAACACATATATATATTATACAATGTACAAGAATGAAGCCCCAAGAGGTTGTATATTTCTGCACATGGTTTCTATGACAGAGTGCAAGAAATACTGTTTTTTTCTAAAGGCTCTTATTAATAAACACTATTCTCTTTTTTTTATGAGTAATAAAGTATTCCTATACCATTAAATAAATCACTGGATAAGCAAACAAAAATCTGCCTGTCCACTTGTTTATGACACCTATGACCAGTAAGATGAAAATTAATATTCCTTCCATATTCCCCAATTCCTTACTTATACAACAATTAGAATTTGAATAACTTACCTTTTTCTTTGTTTACTGTCCCCAGTGTACTTTCAACTGAATTTTTATTAATGTTTTCTAAGTTAGTGTGACTGTACTTTCTAGCTTCTTCTTCCCTTGGCTTTAAAAGGGATTAAAAATACAGATTAAAAATGCTTAAAATGCTACAAACAAAGTTAAAGTAGGCAAAGTCAGCTATCTTAATTTTAAATAAAGATTAATGAATTTAAAAAACATTAATAACCATAGAACCCCATACATCACTGTATGTTATATGTCATACATATTTTTATGTAAGTTAAAAACCATATACATACATATATATTAAAGTCATATATATTTCTAATCCTGATTTTTTTTTTAAAGAGAGAGTGAGAGCAAGGGGCAGAGGGAGAGGGAGAGAGAGAATCCCAAGCAGGCTCCATGCTGAGCGCAGACTACGACACGAGGCTCAACTCACAATCCAGAGATCGTGCCCTGAGCTGAAAACAAAGAGTCCGACGCTTAACTGACTGAGCCACCCACGTGCCCCTATATTACTAATCATTAATATTGATCAATGCAAATATGAAGAGGATATATAAAATAACAGAGGTATTTGAGAGGTCTTTATAGAAGCAATGAGTAATGAAAAATTTCAGTATGGTTTGCTGTATTGGGCTTTTCATGCTGGAATATCAAAATGAGATTTTTTTTTTTAAAGATTTATTTATTTGACAGAGAGAGACACAGCAAGAGAGGGAACACAAGCAGGGGGAGTGGGAGAGGGAGAAGCAGGCTTCCCGCCGAGCAGGGAGCCCGACGTGGGCTCGATACCAGCACCCTAGGACCATGACCTGAGCCGAAGGCAGACGCTTAACGACTGAGCCACCCAGGCGCCCCTTGAAATGAGATATTTTATAAAGTTGCTATATATGGTCAAAATGTTCCCACTTCACCTGAGTGGCTCAGTCGGTTGAACATCTTGATCTCTTGATTTCGGCCCGGGCCATGATCTCAGGGTTGTGAGATCGAGCCCCATGTAGGCCTCCACAATTGGCAGGGAGTCTGCTTGAGATTCTCCCTCTCCCTCTCCCACACCTTCCCTCTAAAAATAAGTAAATAAAATCTTTAAAATGTCCCCACTTAATTTGGTATTCTTCCAAATTATCTAAGCTCCTGATTTCATGAAATATAGTAACACACTGTCTAGATGCCATTAAATCTGCATGTATTTTGAGAAGGAATACATTTCCTATGCCTAGACAGTTTCCAGCATATAGGCTCTCAATGATTTGTGGAGTGAATAAACAGTAGGCTGTAGCTGGAACTTTGTTCTTATTTCTATACAGTGGTTCTCAGACTTCACTCCCCACCGCGCAAAGGGCCCCCCCATAGACAAGTCAGAATCGCGGCGGGTAGTGGTGATGAGCAGTTTTTAAAAGCCCTGAGGGCATTTTGATGTTGCATCCAGGCCGATGGTCACTGCTGTACGGACTACAGCCTCAAAGAGCGCTCCTGGCTCGGTGCCACTCGGCTCTGCCCTCACACCGTCACACCTTGCCGGCTTGCCCGGGACCTTCTTCCTACCTCAGCTCTTCCCTTATCTGACCAATTTTCTGGCTCTCTCTTCGTTCTGCTTACATTTTACCCTCTTTTCATCTGCGAGAACACATAGATGTGTCCACTGTAGGGGGTATTAAAACGACAGGGGTGGTTGCCTGGGACAGGGGTCAGGATTGTCTGCAAAGGGCCCTGAGGAAACTTTTTAGGAGGCTGGGATTTCTAGATCTTGATTGTGGTGGTGGTTATATGACACTATAAAATTTCCAAATTCATCAAACTCTACACTAATGGGTAAATTTTACTGCATATAAATTGTGCCTCAATAAAGCTGGGGAAAAAATAGATATTCTCACACAAATAAAAAAAAAAGTACAGGGGCAGGATCTATTCCATTGTGGCAACATAATGGTGGGATGCTGTTATTTATTTACTGCCAAATCTTCATTCCAAAAAATTTGACAAGTTTAATTATTAGTACATTCCATAAATAGAATGATTTGTTGTTAGTACATTTTTTCTTTTTGGAATTAAAAGGTGGATGAAGAAAGAAAAACAAATCATGAGTAGGGCACGATTTACTGGGTTGAGCTTGACAACACTCGGAAGTAGATCCGCTGTTCTCTTCAGGCCTTTACTGCAGCTTTCGTGTCAAAGAGCTCACAGCCGCCCAGGGCAAAACAAGACAAACAGGACCTTGAATGCCAGGCTGAAAAATGTCAACTTGGTCTGTCAGATAATGGGGAGGCAGTAAAAGTTCCGAACAGAAAGATGTCAAGAGCAAAATACAGATCTAAATATCCTTTAGCCATTAAAAGGAAAATATTCTGATACAGGCTATACCATGGATGAACCTTAAAAATACTATGCTAAGCAAAATCAAAACAAAACAAAAAACAAAAAAAAAACCCTACGCTAAGCAAAAAGATACAAAAGGACAACTATTGCATGATTCCGCTCCTGTGAAATATCTGGAATAGGCACATTTATAAAGACAGAAGGTAGGATGGAGGTCACCAGGAGCTTGGGGTGGCGGTGCTGGTCGGGGAGGAATGGGGAGTTACTATATAATGGGCAGAGTTTCTGTAACAGGGTGATGAGAAAGTACTAGAAACAGAGAGCGGGGATGGTTACCCAACACTGTGAATGTGATTAATGCTGCTGAATCGTATGCTTAAAAGTGGCTAGGATGGGAAATTCTGTGTTATATATGGTTTACCACAATGACAAACAAACCAAAAGCCAAGCTAAAGCAAGATGTTCATGACTGAAAGCAGAACACAGTTCTCTCACATCTACATTGAAACCACTGGTCATCAGTAATTAAAAACAGAAAAACAAGGCACATGAACCAAATGCTCGGGGATCTCCAGCAGCTCAGCTGATGGCGGGGGTGACAGCCACCAATTACTTCTTGTGCCAAAGGCCGAGAAACTGCTGGCCGGGAGGGACCAGGCCCCAGTCTTACAAACATCCCACGGAACCCAAGAGAGGGGAACCCAAGAGACAGGGGTTTCATAAACGTAATTTCCAAGCTCTTACCATCGTGGTTGCTTCATTTTCCAAAGCTATCTTGCTTCTGCTGGGGTCTGCTTAAAAAGAAAAGAGAAGGTAGGAAGAGAAGGCATGCAGAGGCTCACGTGATTAAGTTCCTCATGTGATGTGCAGAAAGCCCAAAAGACAAACGAAGTTTTTGAAGTCCAAGAGCCAAAGCCTTAGCCTGAATAGTGATATCAAGCTTTACCCACCAGGTAATTTATTTATTTATTTATTTATTTTTAAGATTTTATTTATTTATTTGACAGAGAGAGACACAGCGAGAGAGGGAACACAAGCAGGGGGAGCGGGAGAGGGAGAAGCAGGCTCTCCCCTGAGCGGGGAGCCCGATGCGGGGCTCGATCCCAGGACCCTGGGATCATGACCTGAGCGGAAGGCAGATGCGCTTAACGACTGAGCCACTCAGGCGCCCCTATCCCACCCAGTAATTTAACAGAGGCTGTTTCTGCTGTTTTATTCCTAATGTTAACATCTGAAAGGTAGGGCATCGCGATTCACTCATGCCTGCCCATTTAGGCACTAGAAGCTGAGATACTCTGCCTCCCTGGGAGGTCACTGTCACCTCCAGCTCAGGCTAGGTATGGCGTCTGTGCTTTTCCTGACAGCTATGACAGCCCATGGAACAGGGATCCCTCGTAAGAAGGGAGCTGCTTGTTCCCTCACGAGGCACTGGTGGCGGCAGTCAGCGAGAACCCGGGCGCGATCCCTTCGGGAAAAGGGGCTGATTTGCCCAGTAGAGCCCGGCCCTCCATGCTCCTCATTCATTCAACATTGTAAAAACTTTCTGTCGAGCACCTGTGATGACAGGTGCGGAGGATACCACAGGGAGTGAATAAGACACAGCCCCTGCCCTCACGGAGCGTTCACTGTTCTGGCGGAGACGCCAGAAGACACACGGTCTGCCATGCTGGCCTTTCTCCACTGGTTTATTCCTCTTTTTTAGGAATGGTAAGACTACACTTAGCCAAACTATTTTGAAACTTTTCTTAGACTGGCTTTTATTGTTGTTGTTGCCTAGCATTTTAAAACTAATTTCCCACTACCCTGGGATGCGGACAAAAGCTACAAAATAGTACCTAACGTAAAGTTAACACTAAAGCAAACTGTGGAAACAAAGGCAATTGGCTACCCCTTAAGGAATGGAGAAAAGCCTGAATTACAAGACCAAGGGGTTTGCATTACTAAAAGGATATACAATCCTACAAAAATAACATTAAAATTGAACTGTCAGAAAACAGTAGGGTTTTTGAGTGTTTCTTGTGGAGTATGTAAGCCCGAGAATAGTGGGCACCAAACAATGAAGGTTTGCAACATGTCCCTACAGTGAGTGGATGATCTATTTCTGTCTTCTCTCTTACTCTGGTCGAATCTACCATCTTCGGTGGATCTCATCAGATGGAAGGTCTGAGTCATTGATGACAAATAAAAAGGAACAAAAATAGGGGCACCTGGGTGGCTCAGTCGGTAGAGCCTATGACAAGTCTTACTCTCAGAGTCGTAAGTTCGAGCCCCATGTTGCGCATAGAGTTTACTTTAAAAAAAAAGAAAAGAAAGGAAAGGAAAGGAACAAAAATAGCTTTGAAAAAATTAAGAGATGACAACTTCCAAAGAGACAATAAATTACATTTGAAATTTGTTCAGGATCGACTAAATATGTATAGAAATTTTGTGCAGCTATTATGTGGACAGTACACAGTTTCAACTCTTGAAAAAGGCATGCATTTATTTATTTATTTATTTATTTATTTATTTATTTATTTATTTAAAAAAGAGTTTATTTATTTATTTGTCAGACAGAGAGAGCACACGAGCAGGGGGAGCGGCAGAGGGAGAAGCAGACTCCCTACTGAGCAGGGAGCCCAATGCGGGGCTCGATCCCAAGGCCCTGGAATCATGACCAGAGCCGAAGGCAGATGCTTAACTGACTGAGCCACCGAGGTGTCCCAAGGCTCTGCTTTTTAAAATTTTGTTTACCAGATGGTTCTTTGGACACTTGAGGATAATTTCCTACAAGATTAACATTGTATTTTCATGGTTAGATTCCCAGGCCAGGCCACAGAAGCCTTCTACCTGACCAAAGGGAACATGGTACTAATAATGAAACAGAGAACAATCTTTACATCATCAAAATCTCCAAACTAGGCTCTTTGATCCCTGGAAAATTAAAAGTATAAAAATCAGCACAGAATTACATCTGAAATAGCAATAAGAAAATTTTAATTTCAGGAGATCTCTGAAATTGTCTCTAGTAACTTGGAAATGATATTTTTCTTTTTTGTTAAACTACATTTTAAAAGAAAATTGAACAAAAAGTAAGCGTTCTAAAATTCTTACCTTTTTTCCTTGGTGTACTATGCTTAGAGTTTTTGGTTTCTTCTAATACCTGCTCGCCATATTCTGTGATGATCTGAAAATTTCAAGTAGAGAATTTAAAGATGTGAGGTAAGGTACACTTTTCTTTAGACACTGCCACAATGTCATTTAATTATCAACATTTCTTCCTCACAATCATATTTACAATTGAAAAGTAAAAATGCCATTTAGAAAATACCTATAATTTAGACACACAAATAGCCGTTTTTACACGTGTAGAGAAAGATAAGGAAGGTTACACAAATTCTCCCTGTGAGTATTCTCAGGGAACAGCATTATGGAAGGGAGAGGAGGGAAAGGAAGTTTTTATTTTTTGGTATATTCTTCTGCATTATTTGAATTTTTACAAGCATGTACTACATGTTGTGTTTAAAAGATAACGAACCATTTGACCCTACTTGAAAACCACTCCCAGTCAATCTAACATACCTCTGGGGGTAAGCACTTGCGGACAAGCCGAGCCAAAGAGCCTCTAGAGAGCAGTGTTGTAGCGGAAGGGCGATGTGAGGGATTCCTTTTAAACATCTGCTTGATAAGATGCTGGAGTTCACAGGAGTACTGAGACGGCAGTGGGCCCAGGGACCCCTGACATATTTTGAGAATAAGACTTTTCCAGCTGTTTGCCTGAAACTAAAAAGTAAAACTGAACTGTAAGAACAGAGACAAGGCAAGAGTGGATGAAATTATCAGCTCAGTGGAATTTTTATGAATTAATTTAATTTTATAAAAGTATCTGCTGCCTGGTCATTCTTCTTCCCAGAGGGAGCCTTAAGATACTATTCAAAATCTTACGGTGGGTTCAGAAGGAAGGTAAACATAAATAGTGTAAAACCTTCCCATCTAGAGAAAGGGTTAGCATTGATTCCAGCTTTGGATACTTTATCACTTATAATCAATGTGTGTGCAGATACACATTTTTAACATATTTTAAAAATCAAAGTAATGCATACGTGTAGCTTTTTAAGAAGTCAGTGGTACTAACAGGCTTACAATAAGTGTAACATCCCTTTGCTTCATTCCTCCCCAGAACCCCCTAGGCCTGCCCCCTTGTGATAGGCACTCCAGACTATTCCAGCTTTAAACGTCTACTGCCAGATCCCTTTTACCTTTCATGTCATCAAAGTAGCTATTAAAATTTGACAAGCAATAGAATGGGAATCAAAATGACATGCCAGAATAACATGTAAAAAAATCTTCACTGTAGAATAAACACCGAAATTAACATTAGGTGTTAGTCTTGGTGATACTTATGTAAGAGCATGTTCGCATTCTGCCTTGGAAATGCACCCTATTGATAAAATATGCAAGTGAAGATATGAAAAAGGAAAAAAAGTCAACAAATAACAAGGGAAAAATTCAGGTAGTGAAAAATGAGACTGAATCTGCTTTGTCTCTGGCTTTTGAAACATTATACCAGGTTTCTGCATTTCTTAAAGGTTTGAGAACTACTTTTGCCTCAAAGCAGATGAGAGAACAGATTGTGTGCCAAATATCAGGGCACTTAATTCTTATTCTTGTTAGAAAAAATAAGAACATGTATATGAAAGTTCACCAAAAAAAAAAAAAAAAAAAAGAATCAGGGGAATAAAGAATATAATAAGATACTGGAGTTTTAAAAATAATCTTATTTGTATAAAACAGTGGTTCTCCACTTGGGCTGCATATTAGAATCACCTGTTTTAAAGATTTATTTATTTATTTGAGAGAGAGAGAGAGACAGAGCAGGTGTGAGCAGAGAGAGGGAGAGGCAGAGGGAGAGGGAGAGAATCTCAAGCAGACTCCGAGCTGAGCTGAGAGCCCCACTCAGGGCTCAATCTCATGACCCTGAGATCATGACCTGAGCTGAAACCAAGAGTCAGACGCTCAACCAACTGGGCCACCCAGGCACCCCTAGAATCACCTGTTCTATAAAACACTACTGTCCAGGACACCCTCATGGGTTTCAATTCAATTAGTGTGGCATGGGCCCAGGCATCGCCATTTTGCAAAGTCTCCCAAGTTGTTCTAACGATGCAGCTGGCGTTATAAACCACATACATTCGAGGAAGACAGCATGTGGTTTCAGTGTGAGTGCCTTTCACCTAGTGGTGGTGAAGGCTTTTTCTCCATCATTCACTCTCATATTTCTCAGGCCCATCTGTAAAGATGCTTGCCGGGGGTGGGTGGGGATGGGCGAAACAGGTGGAGGGGATTAAGAGGCACAGACTTCCAGGTATAAAATAAATAAGTCACAGGGATGAAAAGTACAACACAGGGAATATAGCCAATAATATCGTAATAACTTCATATGGTGGCAGACGGTAACTATGGTTACCGTGAGCATTTTGTAATGTATGTTAAGTGTTGAATCACTATGTTGTGCACGTGAAACTAACATAATACTCTATGTCAACCATATTTCAATTAAAATTTAAAAAATGAAAAAATGCTTGGTTAGAGCTAAGTTTCACTCTGTACCCAAAGGACAGAATTTATTTCTATGAAAAGCTAAGACTTAATAGGGACGAGTGCTATGATTGTTCGTTCTGTGTAATAAATAACTGCTAAATAAGCCGGCCAAATTATTTAACCTCTTTTTTGTTAAACTAATTCTTAAAATATCTTGAAAAAAATAAATATAAAAATGATTTTTTTTTCACAATAGCCAAAAGGAGAAAATAACCCAAATGTCCAACAACAGATGAATGGATAAACAAAACAAGGTATAAACACATAATGGAATATTATTCAATCATTGAAAGGAATGAAATTGTGACACGTGGTACAACATGGATAAACCTTGAAAACATTATGCTACATGAAATAAGCCAGACACAAAGAGAAAAGTACTGTATAATTCCGCTTACATGAAATATCTAGAATACGCACATTCTCGGAGACAGAAAGTGGATTAGAGGTTACCAGGGGCTGGAGGGGAGGGATGGGGATGGAAACAGGTATGAATTCATCTGTTAGAAGGCGGAGGAGGGTCAGTAATGGATCCTCCAGACCAAGAAGGTACTTTAATACTGAAAAACAAAGCAAGCCACTCCATACCATTTACGGAGAGTTTTATGCAGGGTAATTACCGACAGGGGCAATGGGCTGGGGGCAAGACGGGCAGGGGAATGCAGGGCTTACACAGCTATTCTCTGCCCTATTCTCCACCCCTTCTCCACAACTATCTGGACCTTAACCCCCAGCTTCTCTGAAGGGAGGGGCATGGTGGTGAGGTCACGAGTTAGTTATCCAAAGTGATACCACCTGTGCACCAGAGGGAAGAACAAGATGGCAGGCCAAAGATGGAGTCAATGCTGTCAGCGCTCCTACAGCGTCCGAGGGAAGCACACAGCCAAGTGGAATCTGGCACATTACTAAGGACTTAGCCAGATATGACAAGAGGCTGCCTTTTCCATTTTACACACCATACTTACTGGATGCTTAAGGGTACAGAGCTCATACAGAATGCATCCCAAGGACCAGATGTCACTGGAAGCATAAAGAAGCAACGTAATGACAAATGGGTTATGAGTGATTATATGAAATATAAAAGAAAAGAAAAACGAAAAATTACCTTTAATAAGAATAAAAATCACCAGTAATTCCTAGCTATTAAAATAAAATACATAAGTGTGATCTAATACTTAGGTACTTACTAACAGTAATGTTCACAGTAAAACTCTCTGCTCCCAAGCCCCTACCCTCCAAATCAGGGTGGTTCAGATATCATTTCAGCAGCATTTGGTACGGGAGGGAGTATTCGTGGACTCAGACTGGGATAGCTGGAAGAAGGGCTTTAGGAGTCATTCAGTGTACCTTCCACCCAGACCATCTGGGAGCAACCCCAGGCCTTTTGATCACACCTCCTGATAAATAGCTCTTTACCTTGGGCACAGCCTGTGCCCCTGTTGGATGGCTCAAGGAATAGTGGTCTTCCTTATCAAAGCCAAAATGTGTCTTCTGGGAACCCTCATCCTTGTTAGCTCTACATTCCCAAACGAAGAGAATAAGACCACTCATTCTTCCACAAAACAGTTCTTCAAAACTCAGGCAGGAGTCCTATAGCTTGCCCCATACGCCCACCCTTCTTCATACAGAGCATTTCTGTTTCCTCCATCATTCTCATTACCTAGTTGTCATGCCCCAGACTTTTTCTACGTGATATTCTTTGCATTTTAACTAATGGCTTTAATCAATGGTTTCCCCCAACTTTCGATTTTTTTAAAATTTCAAACGTACAGAAAAGTAAATGTCCACATGCTCTTTCTTAGACTCCCCTACTGTTAAATTTGCCACGTTTGTGAGCTGTTGCCCTCTTCCATATATATCTGAACTTCTTGAAAAAAAGACTGCAGACACCAAAGACTTCACCCCCAAACATGTTAGCATGTATCTCCTCAGAGCAAGGATACTCTCCCTCATAAACACAATACCATTGTCATATCCAAGAAATTTAACCTTAATTCAATAATATCATCGAATATTTGTCCAAACTCAAATTTTCCCAATTGGCCCAGTAAGTTCCTTTATAGCTACTCTGTCCCCAATGCACTCAATTTTACTCTTAAAAGAAACTATTCAGTATGGATTATCATATTCTTTCCAGAAATCAGCTCGACAGAAGGTAACAAGAGCCTGTAGGTGTTTCTATTTCTAGGAATTCATGCCAAGAATGTGTTACAAAATAATGGCCTATTTATGTACAAAGGTCTATTAATCACAACACTGTTTATGATACTGAAAATTGGAAATATATCATTAGACCAACAACAATATTTGTGAAGACTTTAAATATGTGGTGATATGAATATGATATCATATAAAATTTTTTAAAAAGCAGGATGCCAAGTTATATATAGAATACATAAACTAGGTTTAGGGGGGAAAGTGAATGGATGGAAAAAACACCAAAATGTTATTAACAGCAGTGAAAAAGTAGGTGACTACCATATCCTTTCTTGTATATCTCTGTATTTCCAATACTCCCCCTGCTCACCCACTCCATCAATGGGCACGTTATTACTTATAGTCAGAAAAATACTATGTTTTAAGTCATAGGGTCTTAACACCATCTTCTTTTAATTAATGAACCTATCAGTCAAGTACTTATTACCAAGTCCTGCCAATATTAACTCATTGACATAATCCAGTGGTTCCCGAATTTTGCTGCATACTGGAATCATTTGGTGATGCTGGAAAATTACCGCTACCTGCTTCCCACCTGAGCTGCGGGACTTTTACAGGTGAGAGCAGCAGAGTGTGAGAAGCAGTCATGTCATTCATACTGTTCCCTAGAAATGACTAGCCTTTCCTTTGGCATTTACATTTAGCTCCTTTCAGCTCTGATTAAAACAGTTAGAAAACTGTGACTTTCATCTAGAAGCCTGGGCGTTTAGATTCTACACTGCTTTCAAATATATTTTTCAAAAACCAAACCTGACTTGTCGGCTACAATGCCTGTCACCAAGCAGTCATGCCTGGGACTTCTCGTACCAAGTGAAAACATTACTTACCTTTTATTGTTGTAAGGCATGTTCTCCCAAATTTCTGGCGGCACGTAATAAGGTGTTCCCACATATGTACAAGCAAATGCCATAGGACTAAAACCATAAAAAGGCAAAGCACAATTACAGCGCATTCCTGAATAATGGATATTTTGATTGCTGTCACTACTACAGAATAGATATACATACCTGGAGAGAAGACGGGCAGATCCAAAATCTCCCAGTTTTACTTTTCCATTTTGGGTGAGGAAGATGTTCTGCATTAAAAAAGAAGGCTGAGATCATGTCTTGCATCATTCACCCACAAGGCAGAGATCTCCGGAGAAGCTGTCTTTCAAAGCCTCCTGATGATGGAGATTAAGGGTAGAGATGCTGACAGCTGAGTCCCGGAGCGGAACAAAAAAGGGTAAGATACGCTCTTGTTCCTCTGCTTGGGAATTCAGGATCACTGCTTAGAAATCAAACAAGTGAGCATAAGATTTTATCGGCAGACGGGCACCTGGGTGGTTCAGTCGGTTAAGCGTCTGCCTTCAGCTCAGGTCATGATCCCAGGGTCCTGGAATAGAGTCCCGCATGGGGCTCCCTGCTCAGCAGGGAGTCTGCTTCTTCCTCTACCCTTCCCCCTGCTCATGTGTGCTCTTACTCTCTCTCTCTCTCTCAAAAAAATAAAATCTTAAAAAAAAAAGACCATATCAGGCAGAACCTGATGAAGCGCCTGGGAATGTGTCAGAGGGACTCCATGGGGCAGGTCCAGGTCTCGACGATTTACCTTCTGAGAACGTATGGTCTGGTCTTAGTCAGCACTCGCAAAGAGAGCTTGAAACCTATTAACATACACTAGTAAAGAGATTTAATGATCTTTCTCAGGTAGTACCTTACTTGGCTCGTATAAATATTAGGTTGACAAATGTTTCCAGGCTAAATGAAAATGTCCCAAAAGGAAAGAGAAGAACACAGACAAAAGACCGAGTGGAATAGTTTTTGTTTCTGTTTTCGCTTTTAGGCCCCAAAAGATATTCCACTTACCTTGGACTTGATATCTCTGTGTAACACACGTTTCTTGTGAATGTGATTTACTCCAAGGCACATTTGTGTAAACCAATTAAGTATCTGTAAGGAAAGAGCATGCAGTAACTACAGGAATGCAGTAACTGGTTCGTGTTAACCCCAAATCCCAAAGAATCGTCTCCAGGCATTAGTTGACCTGGATTTTCCGTAATGTAAGTACAGAACCCCTAAAAATTACATACTTCAACTAAGACTCCATGTTGCCTGGAGGAATTCAGAAAAACTGAATCCCATGTTCCATCATCTTGTGTATGATCTAAATAGCAATTTAGTTCAATAAAACTCCCACTATGGTTTTCTTGAATTCAACCAAACAAAAGTATTTCTTAAATATATATATAAAGGTAGTTCACCACTAAGGAATGAGTATGTTACAACTTTCTGTAATCATTATGTCAGATTTTCATTTGCCTTTTCAGAATGTTAATTTATTAACATTAAAAGATTTCATTATATTGTCAACCATCCTGTGAGTCAGCATTTTCTTCTTATAAATCCCTAGTCAATAGTACTCAGAATTTCTAAGTACCTAGGGAACCTATAATTAAATATCAAACTGATTTTTTTTTTCTTTTTTGCTATGGAGACTCATTCATTTGAAGCCAAGGTTGATCTCCTTCTCTGGAATCCATATTTTTAACAACACAACTTCTAAATAAAAATATTTATACCAAATGCTTTTATAACACGTTATACCCTAAATCAAACTAAGTCCCACTCAGGGTGTTTATTTAAATATTTTCCTTAGTCAAGTCATTCCAGTAATATTTAATACACAATTTTCCTTTAAAAAGGCAGGAAGTACCAGACTTAAAGGAAAGTGCTAAATTGTAAAAGGAAAAAGTGTGAGAATAGGTATTCCCATCACACAGGAATTTGGGCTTCATTCTTCTGATGCTCTAGTCATGCAAAATAAACTGTCTTCTACAATGTCAGTACAACAAAATTTAAAATTTGAAATATATAGAACAAAATAGGAGTAATATCATTCTGAAACTCTTCTAACACATAAGTTTTATTCCTTGATATTTTATAAACATATCTATTGAACTTGCTGAAAATACCTCAGGCAGCCACCTCCTGTACACAAAACAGTAACACCATATCTTACCATATCTTCAGGAAACAACTTTCCTTTCTGATGCTTTATCTTTTGCATTAGGTCCCCTCCGTCACAATATTCCATCACAATATACAGGTGTCCCTCAGCTAAAACAAACAGAAGACTCTTGAGGAAAGCCTCGTGGCCATAAAATAAATTCCACAATGTATTTATTTGGGGGAATTCATATTTACCTTCAAATGATTCTTGAAAGGCAACAATATTGGGGTGTCTCATTTTGGCTAACAGAACAGCCTCCTTCCTAGAATTCTGTGTACCAGAGAGAGACTAGAAGAAGATTTAAATAGCATAAATGGAACACTTCATTTTAAAATGGATAGCTTTGAGAGCTTTATAGAAATACAGTATACAGTTGACCCTGGAACCACATGGGAGTCAGGGACAGTGATACCCCGCCCCGTGCAGTCGAAAATCCACTTGTGACTTTTGACTCCCCCAAAATGTTAACTACTAATAGCCTTGGAATAACATGCAGAGTCAATTAACATATATGCTGTTTGTTACATGTATCATATAATGTATTCTCACAATAAAGTAAGCTAGAGAAAAGAAAATGTTACAGGAAAATCACAAGGAGGCGAAAATACAGGATTGTACTGCATTTACCAAATGCAAATATTTACAGGATTGTACTGCATTTACCAAAAAAATCTGCATATAAGTGGCCCCGTGCAGCTCACACCTGTGTGGTTCAAGGATCAAGTGTGGTTTGTATACGTCAATGCCAAAGGCAGTTTTATAGCAACGCACTGTGACCCAACTTATGTTTATCAAACTCTAGGAGAAAACGTGGTGATTTTTCAATTATGGCTACATGCTAAAGCTGACCCCTTATATCCTTACAAGTATAGAATGTAAACCGGTTTTCACATCATCCTCATCATAACTGATGTGGAGAGCCAGCATGCCACTAACCATAGTATATCCCTAAAGAAAAACTAAGGCTCTCATGTCTTACTGTCTGCATCACGTTTCCAGCCCACTGGCCCAGATGAAAAAGAGACTGGTTTGTTAGTGCAGTAAGGATGGAAGAAGATGGTTTACAAAGCTAGTTTCCAAAACTGTTTATCCCCTAACTTACTCTCCAAGCACAAAATCCCGAATGACTTATCTTTCAATTAAGAAACTGCTGTTGGGGGCGCCTGGGTGGCTCAGTTGGTTGAGCGACTGCCTTCGGCTCAGGTCATGATCCTGGAGTCCCTGGATCGAGTCCCGCATCAGGCTCCCTGCTCAGCAGGGCGTCTGCTTCTCCCTCTGACCCTCCCCCCTCTCATGTGCTCTCTCTCTCAAATAAATAAATAAAATCTTTAAAGAAAGAAAGAAACGGCCGTTGGAAAAAAAAAGGAATTAAAAAAAGATATTTAAAAAGGGGGCGCCTAGGTGGCTCAGTAGGTTACGCCTCCAACTCCTGATTCCAGCTCAGGTCATGATCTCAGCGTCTTGCGATGGAGTCCCCTGTTGGCCTCTGTGCTCAGCGGGGAGGTTGCTTGAGATTCTCTCTCTCCCTCTCTCTTTCCTGCTTGTGCTCTCTCTCTCTCTCCAAAATAAGCAAATCTTTAAAAAAAAATGCAAATTCACAGGCCCATCTGGACCTATTCAACCAGAAACTCAGGGGTGGGCGCAGCAATCTAGGTTTTAACCTCCAGATGACTTTGAAGCCCACTCGAGAATCACTAAAAGAGGTCAAGAACACCATGGGGAAATAAATACTTAGAATTCTGAGAATTTTATTAAAATGTATTTTTAGAAAATTGATTAAGATACTCTTAAGCAGCCTCCATGGCACAAATTCTCTCCTGTGACAACTATGATAAACAAGGATAAGGCAGCACCTTCCTCACCTTCCAGGGAGATAAAACCCAAAACTGATCCACAAAATAGCTTCCCTGATACCAAAGGTTACAGGTTAGGATTTTGCTCTTCACTGTATTTTTTTATGCTCTGTTTTCATTAATATGGCACCTGAGCTGCTTCTGGCAAAGCTTCTTACCCTCTTAGGTAGGCAAAATTGGAGATTATTCATTGAGATAAAATAAACAGCAATCGCCACCTAGACTATTTTTCTCCCTTTGTGCTAATCACAAAAATTACCTAAAATCCATATAAAATACATCAAGGTCTTGTAAAGCTAATGAATAAACCCATTATATCTTTTGCACGAAAGAGCAATTCCATGTTAAATCTCAAGAACTCATTTTCCTGGGCAAATTACATGTCCATTTTCAACTTGAGCTAATGGCTTCAGCAGTGACCTTGGGAAGCCTTATTTCCTTCATGGCAAATAGCTGATTACTGCTTTCCTGCTGAACCAGAAGGGCTCGGCCGAAGGAGCCCTCTCCGATCACTCTCAGGACCACGTAGCCATCCATGCTGGGGCACCACGCAGTCCAGCTCCACCAACACGGTCACCACGACCTCTCCCAAACTGTATTCAAAAACAGAAACGTTGACAATTAAATATATTTTCTTTTTTTTTTTTTAAGATTTTATTTATTTGACAGAGAGAGAGAGAGCGAGAGAGGGAACACAAGCAGGGGGAGTGGGAGAGGGAGAAGCAGGCTTCCCACCGAGCAGGGAGCCCGATGCGGGGCTCGATCCCAGGACCCTGGGACCATGACCTGAGCCAAAGGCAGACGCTTAACGACTGAGCCACCCAGGCGCCCCAGACAATTAAATATATTTTCAAAAGGCAGAATGAATTCAAAGTAGCTCAAAATCACCACGATAGGACAACAGCAATTTATTCCTTTATGGGCTGAACAGCTAGACCCTGAGCACCCATGCCAGGTTTTACAATCCTGAATACAAAATACATTTACAGACTGTACTGCATTTATCAAAATAGCCGCATATAAGTGGCCCCGTGCAGTTCAAAGCTGCGTTGTTCAAGGGTCAAGAGTGGTTTGTATACGTCAATGCTAGAGGCAGTTTTATAGCAGTGCACTCTGACCTCTCATGGTCCCTGCTAGCATGCCTGCCCCAAAGCAGATGGGACCTCAGACCTCAACAAATGTAGGGTGATGAGTCTTACAAAAAGAGTTATGCTGGCATATGGCAGAAATATCCAGAGGAGTCGGGAAAATGATATTTAACTGAAGCCTGAAGGATGAATGGAAGTTGGCTAGGCAATGGGGGGAGGGAGGGAGGGTGATGTAGGCAGAGGGACTGGCCTATTTAAGAGCAAAAGAGATTGTGTTCAGTTCAAGGAATTGAAAGAGGACTGTCACAGGCTGGTGAGGCAGACAGGGCCTTATCTGAAGGCCACTGTAAACCAAGCTCGGGTTGCTGGATTTTATCCTTGGGGTAATTAATGTGCTGTCTCTGAAGGATTTTAACCAAGAGAGCATATTAGAAAAAAATCACTCACTATAGCTGCAGAGCAAAAGGACTGCACACAGGAGAGAACAAGAGGGCTGGAGTGGGACTCCAACAACAGAAAAGGCGGGAAAATGGCGATGGAGTGGAATGGGGATGGTGGCAATGGGGACGAAGAAAACGAAAGGAAATATGTGGAAAGAATTGGCGAGATTTTTGGTGACAGATTTATGGGGGACAAGCAGGGAGAAAGGGAAAAGGTAGACCTCCCAGGTTTCTAGTGTAAACTGGATGAATGATACCATTCCCTGAGAAAAAGGAAAAGCACAATGGTTGTGAGTGTGTGTGTGTTTCACTTTTCTGGCAGTGGGAGTGTGGCATGGGTGCCGAATGGCATGGTGAAGGCAGACATTTGTTCCTTTTAGGATCATGTTGAGCTGGAGATGCCTGGGATTAAGAAGAGATAAGCAGAGTCTTTGAACTTCAGTCTCCCTTTCTGTATTTCCCAGATGAGGCAGCTAGCTGGATTGGTTCATAGGTAAAGGAGACTGAATATAAAGTTCCTAACACTTTGCCTGGTACAGAGGAGGCCCTGGATAAATGGTAGCCATTATTATTATTAAAACCTTAGCAACATGATGCATTAAAAAACAACAACAACAATGGAATGAATTAACTTAATTTTCAGAAAGCCTACTTGTAGTGTTTGGTTTTTTTTCTAATCACACCACAAAGAATTATGAGGCACAGAGAGCACGGCAGGTAAAGCAAAAATCACAAACTAAAACATACACTACAGCAACCTGTAAAATGTCGTTTGTATTCATGTGTGTCATAGAACCACCCTGCAACTTTAGAATTAATTTCTCCATATTAACCAAATTAGAGGCATTGTGTTCAAAAACAATTCTTTTCAAGAACAGTCAGGTCTTTCAGTGTATTTAGGGATCTGAAAGAAAAAAGTTAGTTGCCACTATTCTCACTGGCCCTTGGTAATACCTGATTTAACGAGGCGGCCAAGGGCGCCTGGGTGGCTCAGTCGGTTAAGCGTCCGCCCTCAGCTCAGGTCAGGATCCGCCCTCAGCTCAGGTCATGATCCCAGGGTCCTGGAATCGAGCCCCGCATCAGGCTCCCTGCTCCGCGGGGAGTCTGCTTCTCCCTCTCCCTCTGCTGCTCCCCCTGCTCCTGCTCTCTCTCTCAAATAAATAAAATCTTAAAAACAAAATACAAAATACAAAAAACAAGGAGGCCAAGTTTTCCCATATTTCTATTCTTTTATTCTTCAGGGTCTTTATTCTATGTCATGGACAGTAACCGATAAGCAAGAACCACCACTGACTTTTCTTAGCTGAAAACCAGTATTTATTTGGTCCTTTCTGCCCACATCTGCCCGTTCGTTACTCAGTACGACAGCCGTAAGATCAGTAAAAGACCTGTATATACTGAGCGTGACGGAGTCCCTTTGCATGCTCCTCCCAGTCAAACACGAGTAAAATGATTTGGAAATGGCCAGAAGTGGGCTCACGGGGGAGAAACCTTGGCGCGCAAGCTGAGAAGGCATGCACGCGGGGACCGCACCACGGGGGAGGCCGGCGGCGCGCAAATCCTTCCTGCCGGGGACCCCGCGCCGCCCCCAGGCTGCCCCCAGCGCTGGACCCCGCGCCGCGGCGGGCGCCGAGACGACAGAGGCGGCGGGGGCGGGGGGGGAGCCTGCGGGCGAGCGGCCCAGGCCCGGGGCGGAGCTGGGGCGGGGATCCGAGAGCGCCGAGAGCGGGTCTCCCACTCGCCCCCACCGCGCGGGGGCGCCGCCCGCTCCCCAGGCCCCAGGCCTCCACCACCGGCCGCGTTCCTTCCTCCAGACGCTCCCTGCCCGGCGGCGGGACCGCTTACCGGCTTCCCCGGCGACCGGAGCCGACCCCGGCGTCCCCGGACTAGCGCGTTTCCGCCGGGCGGGCCGGCAGGTCGTCTCTCGGGTTGCCGGTGAAGGAAGGTTCTCGGGTTGGGCGGGAGGCGCTGTTATCGGAGTAGCCGGGCCTACTAAGGGCGCGTTTTAAAACTGTTGCTCCATAGCGCCCTAGAACAATGCCAGTATTTTTGAGGGAAAGTGTCTCCCAGCAACATGAGTTTTGCCTGCAGGTTAAGCGGTAAGTTTCTCGGGCTCAGCACTCCGCTTACTAGGTGTGGGATCTTGGGCAAGTGTGGAAGGCGCAACAGTGAGTGGCCCCCGAAGAGATGTCCACATCCTTCTCCCTGGAAATTGTGGGTGTTAGGTTCCATGGCAAAGGGCAGTTAAGACTGCAGGTGGAATTAAGGTTGCCAACCGGCTAACTCTAAAATACGGAGATGATTGGATTTTCCGGGTGGGCACCTCCAAGTGGAAGAGAGGGGCAGAGTGGGGTCAGAGAGACATTTGAAGATGGAGGATAGGGCCACCAGCCAGGGAATGCAGGAGGCCTTAAGAGGCTGGAAAAGGGGGCGCCTGGGTGGCTCAGTCGGTTAAGCGTCTGCCTTTGGCTCAGGTCATGATCTCCAGGGTCCTGGGATCGAGCCCTACGCCTGAGCCCTGCATCAGGCTCCCTGCTCACCAGCGAGTCTGCTTCTACCTCTCTCTCTGCCCCTCCCCACCTGCTCTCTCTCTTGCTCTCTCAAGTAAAACCTTAAAAAAAAAAAAAAAAAACTGGTAAAGGCCAGGAAACAAATTGCCCTCTTGAACTTCCAGAAGAAACACAATCCTGCTTATATCTTGATTTTAGTCCAGTGAGATCTAATCCAGACTTCTGACTTGCAGAAGAGAGTACATTTGTGTTGTTTTCAGCCACTGAGTTTGTGGTGATTTGTTACAGCAGCAAATCTAGGAAACTCATACAGCAAGGCATGGCACCTACCTCCTAGGAGTATTGTGAAAGTCAAAATGGATATATTAGAATATATTTTGGAACAACTTCTGGTTCTAAGTGCTGAACGTGTTTCACCATAAAATGGTAGAGTTAATAGGTGATTATTCTGTAAGTGTAGTGATAAGAGCAGGGTCTCTGGAGTATCATCTTCTTTCTGAATGGCCAACATTTGCAACATCTGCTCTGCTTGGTTTCAATTAAAGAAAAAAAAAAAAAGAACTATACATGCCTATGCCCAGAATGCTGCTACAAGCTGAAGTCTCCATGAAATAACGCTCCTGCTGATTAGCCACAGGCACAGACTCCAACCACTTTATATTCCTGACAGCATTGCAGCAAAAGTCATAAAAACACCCAACTCTTTTTTTCCCCCCGCCCAATGTCCATAGTCATGAAAAGGACCTTTTATCTTGTTCCATGAGTGTATTAGTTTGCTAGGGCTGCCCTAACAAAGTATCACAAACCGAGTGGCTTAAACAACAGAAACGTATCGTCCCACGGTTCTAGAGCCTAGAAGTCCAAAATAAGGGTGTCAGCAGGGTTCTTGCTGAGAACTCAGAGAGGGACCTGTTCTGGGCCTCTCTCCTGGGCTCGTAGAATGCTATCTCCTCCCTGTCTCTTCACATCGTCTGCCCCATTATAATGGATTAGGAACCAACCCTAGATCGGTCTGACTTCATCTTAATTAATTATACCTGCAATGACCTTATTTCCAAATAAGGTCACATTCTACTGGGGCTTAAGACTCCAACATATCTTTTTTGGGGTGACACAATTCAGTCTATTAAGGATCAGCAAGCACAGACTAGTGAGTATGGAGGAAGAAATAGTGAGAACAGATCTGACCCCTTTTCTCTCTAGCAGTTGCCAAGGTGTGGATCCCAGTCAGGGGAGCTTCTGAACTGGGCAGTGACTGGAAATTAAATATTACTATAGATAACATATACAAGGTACTAGGCACTGTTTTAAGTCAGTCAATACATGTGAAGTGCTTAGAGTAGGACGGGGTAAGTGTTAGCTATCAACTCATTTTAATCTCCAAAACAACCCTAAAGCTACAATTATCTCTGAGGCACAAGAGGCTATTTGCCTCAGGTCCCACAGCTAGCAAGTGGTAGAACTGGTATTAGAACCCAGGCGGTATGACTCAAGTCTGATTCTTAACCACTATC